TTTCTTAGAAGATGAAGATGGAAATCCTCTTGCATCAACAGCTGTTGATTCTATCTGTCGCACAATGTGTCGACTCTTTGAGATGTTGGCATCCAAGAATATTGCACCACCATCCTGGGGACGCTTATCTGAACAAGCTTACCTTCTTTTTCATATTGCTATCAGGTACAGCACATCCAGAACTCAGATTCTGCTCGAACGACTGGAAAGCAAACGAAACTAGGCAAAGAATGTGTATTCAGCTTAGCGAACGGCACGCAGGCGAGCAAAAGCGAGGGCTAAGGGCGTCAAACCTGAGGAACTCGATCAAGATGATCTAGGCTCTTATTCTGGCGATGACGAAGATGGAGACGATCTCGAGAACTGGAAGCGGAGCGCTGTGCCAGAAGATCTCACACATACCACGAAGAGACGCAAGACATACGAGTCTCCGCTCTTGTCCAGTAGCGCTACTACCCCTTCGTCAGAACCTGAAGAACTTACCTTGACCTGATCTCACACCATCAGCAGTGCAATGTGATAAACCCACTGCCATCGAGACTTGGACAGTACCTCAAATCAAACTGAAAAATCCACTGTACGTCAATTTTTAAAATTCTTCACAATGCTAATTCTGAATTTATTGGCAGTGATGGTCTTACCCTTCCCCAGAAGTCTCCACTGGTGCTGCCATCATCATTCGAGTCTACAACTCCAGTTCTCACATCTGCTGTTGCCATCTCCCAACCCAATGCCCTCGTCGATGAATTTTCTGGCAAGTCTCCTGAGGCTCTGGTCAAGACTGTCATGGTCATACACCCCCTTGTTGATACACCCATACCAAATGGCCAGCCCACCACTTCAGTCTCCAGCGTTCCCATTCACAGTGTCACCGAGCCCACCAAAGTGCCAAAGAAAGCCAGCAAGGCGCGTCCCAGCAGTAAGAAGAATGGGAGGCAAGTATTTCTTTCCTGCTTACATGCTATCATTAGTACTGACATTGATACAGGGACCTTTGCATCCTTCGTTGGCTCAAGCAAGTCAAGAAAGACAGGACTACAGCAGAGTTTCGTATCTACTGGGACGCACTTGATACCCAACAGCGCAATGTATGTTATCATTTTTTCTCACTGCTACTACTAGTACTAGTACCATCATGCTGAACTCATCCGATTCTGTTAGTCTTACGAGTCTGAAGCAGTTCAATTGGTGAGTGTTACTTCAGGTTGTATTTTCAGTATTGATCCGAATCTTTACTCAGGTTTCCTCAAATGTCTGGGTCAAGAATACAGTCGGTGCAGTCATCGATGGTACTTTGCATTGAGTGCGCACATTGCGTGCCTGGGCTGTTCAGACTACCTTCATTCCATTGTTTTCATGCTCTGTTTCAACTGCATATCATTCCATGGATTGTATACGTATTTTGTACTACTAGTAGCTATGGCTTGAAGCAATATGATATGAACTATTCTCGCATGATATCAAACCGCTCGCAAGGAATGCAAGGGAGTGCCACATCGTGTAGAAACAACTTGAATGACTCTCGCACATCAGGAAAACTACCAGTTGCTTTTTTTACTTTATTTGTCACTTAATTACACGAAAAGGGACGCATAAGTCGATGGAGTGAAAAAGCGCGAGCCACTTAATTAAGCCCACTCGTCCTCTGGATTTTTACTTAATTCACTTAAATAAGCAGAAAAAGCGGTTTAAGCATTTGATAGCAGGATAACGAGGATACATAGAAAGCGTGATAAGCATGAAATTAAGGAGACTCTCAGTAACATAAGGAACTGGGGGAATGGGGGAAAAGGTGGGCATGCAGGCAAAAAAGCAGTCAGCGGCAGAAAATATGATAGCAGAGCTGGCGGAAAACATGATATACGGCAGAAAACAACCACAGGACAGCGAAATTCATGCACTGGCAGGTGCTGCAACAAAAACAAAATCCTGCAACAATGGATGTCAGTGAGAGGGCGCCTGAATGATAAATACTTACAAATCATAGCACGCTTGTCATCCTCCGACTCGTCATCGTCGATCAGCGAGCCCAACGGTGTTTCAGTGACATCATTCAAGGTGGTACGCGCCATCTGTACTGTAGTTTCGAGGTACCCAGCAGGCTTGCCTAACAGAGATTTGATGTACGAATTAGTTGGTTTAAGCCAGAGAGCTGCCGAAAATAAAAACGGAATGTTGGTCTTTTTCCCAGTAACTTTGTTGAGGACCTTCGGTAGCCTGATGCTAACCCGACCTCTTGATGCGGATGACAGAACATTTTGAACTTCGAGTACTTCATTTGCGATCATGGAGACAGCGTGCTCAATCTGAAAAAAATGAGCATGATTAAGCCATTATAGGTTGAGCTCACCGCTGCAGCAGAAAGAGCAAGAGGCCGTAACATCCCACTTGTTGCAAGTGCGCACATGTCGAATGAGGGAACCTGCACATAACCAGTGATGGCGTTGAGGTGTGCTGTGCCAAATAACTGCAGTACAAAGGGTGAGTGGTATGCAGTAAGTGGAGATGGATTGTCCGGGTCCTCGAACAAGAATGCCCATTCAACATTAAGAGATTTGGCCAGTTTGACAGGATTCACGTCGGAATTTCGTGATAAAAAGTCCATGATGATGACTAGCCCTGTGGAGCCAAAATTGCTGCGCCACTCTGAAATGCGCTGTGCAGTCTGTATAGATTTAGCTCAGGTCGCTAAACCTAGAATTAAACAGCTGACTTACGAGTGAATGTATAACTCCACCGTGAACAACCACTATGTCGAGATCGTTGTACACTGCGTTAAGAACAAGCTGCGCATGATGGAGAAGGACCTCGTCAGGAATACTCCAGATATCTTCATAGCTTCCGGCCCACAGCATTATGGTAGGGATAAAATTCTTCGCCCAGCGCTGATCCATTTGCATCGCTGGAGGTAGGTCAACTGTGCGATAGGCACTGCGTGCTTTGATGTTGTCTGGTGCAGTATCTGCATTCTGCTGGCGTGTGGTAGCAGGAGCACCACGGGCATGTAGTGCGGAAGATTTGACCTTAGCCTTTTTATGAGCTGGCGGCTTGCTGTCGACTATAGCCTGAGATGCAGTAACGGATGTCTGTACATTGTCAGAAATGAGTGCGATTAGGGCCAGAATCCTTACTGAATATGTTGTGCGCAGAATTTTCTCCTTTGCTGCGTTAGTTTTGACAGGGAGCGGTGCCTCCGAATCAGAACTCATGATTGCGTCTTCTACCAGTTCCGCATTGCCATCAATCTCCATGGACCAGGACACCAAAGACTCCTCATCGTCTATGGTGCTAGCTTTCCGCTTCAAGAACATATGATTGTCTTCCTGTGTGAATGGCGCCTTAGGCTCCTGTGAGTACTGCTCCTCCGGTAATACTTGTGTCGACAGAGCCATAAGCTCATCATCCGAGTCGTCTGATGCCTCTGGTGGAGCCTCAGGCTCATCGACATCATAGTCCTCTTCGTATAGCGTGACAACCTGTGAAAGAAGGAATTAGTGGATTCGGATGCTGGCAATGAATCACTGCCAATAGTACCTTAGATTTCCCCTTGTTTTTCTTGCTCCCCAAGAGAGCATCCTCACGCTCCAACGAATCATCGATATCATCTGCAAACGCGCCAGTAAGAGTATCGTCTGCGACACCATCCGGAATTTGAGGCAAAGCTGCAGGAATCTTAGTCGGAAGCTCAGCGGTTGAAGTCGGTGCGGAGGAAGCATTGCCCTCTGAGAAAATTGATGACGGAGGTGCTCGAGTTGAAGTGCTATCAATGGATGGACATGACAGCGGCTCTGGATTTCCAGGTTTGACCCCTGAGATCCAGTTGGTCACTCGGCCACCTAATGCAAGTTTTGTGGATGTGTTGATACTGGAAGTAAGGTTTAGAAAAAAGAGTGTCGATTCAGTGAGGAGCAACATGGTAATGTGAGAGATAAAAGCCTTATGGTGATTTCCCATCAGCACGTGCATCATCACCTTCCACTTTTGACTCGGATGATTCAGTGAGCTTCTTTTGCATGTTACTGATGGCATCCCTTATCAACGTCTTTTCGACTTTCTTCGTCACCATCTTTTTCCCCCTTCCTGCAGCTTTATTTTCCACATCCCTGGCAATGTCAGTCTCTGACACTAGGTCCTCCAACATACCACTATCAGCAGGACTGTCACCACCACCGGTGTCTCCTACCACAGACTTTTTCTGAGTCACTTTTGGCTTTATCGCCTTGGCCCTAGGCTTGGGCCGAACGGGAGTCGCCTTTTTCATGATCAATTCCTTCTGGGCTTTCTCCATCTCAGCCTGCAGAGCAGCAATACGCTCAACCCCATTTTGGTGCGCTGCTTCCTTTGCTTCTCTCGCTTCTTTGATGACAAGGTCATCTGCAGCCTTTTGAGCCGGGGATCGCCTCTTGATCTTCGTGTCGAGCAACACCTTAGCAGGTCGGGCAGTTGCAGTCGATGGGCGGGTGCGCCGGGGAGCGTCTGTCATGGACATGACTGTGCAGATGGGGGAGACGGTGAGGGATAAGACTTTGCGGAAGAGGAAAAGAAAAGTAGGGTTTCAAGTTGAGAAAAAAAGTCGTAAGTCCCACCCCCAACAGCTGCCGACTGTGGTAATCGGGGTGTCACCTTTTGTTTAATAGTATCAAACTAGTACTAGTATGTGTGTTCGGCACTTCAAGTTCTCTGCCTTACTTTATTTTACAGTCAAGATGCCCATCGCTCGCAGGGACCATAGTTCTCTCCAGTTTCCCTGCGGTTACTTACACTGCGCACGTCATTTCAAGTCTCAGGGAGGGCGCAAAAAACACTGGAACACCTCACACTCAATATTCGGACCAGCTCCTGCTACCACCAGCGTCTCACACACTGCTACCACCAGCGTCTCACACACCACTACAGTTGAAGAGCAGCCTGAAGTACTGGATGGCCACTTCTCAGCAGGTCATGATAACATCTCTGCAGGCGGTGACAATTTTCCTGCGGGTACATCTGACCCAAGTCAGGCACTTAATGAGCCTGACATTCCAGATAATTTGAACGCAGAATTTTTTGGGCCGGGTGATAGATTATACCGCAACTATCACCCAAAACTAAATGGTATGTTTCACAAAGTCCTTCCAGCTAGTTACAACTAACACGTATATCAATATAAGCTCGTCCTTGCGACGTGACAGGACGATTCCTTGCAGATGGAGCGCCCCCGACACCACCTCCAATCAAGTCACCTGATGACTGGGCTCCATATCGAAATCGTGTCGAGTTCGAGACTGCAGAATTTCTGTACACGCGCAACCAAATGTCTGCCGGAGACATCAATATCTTATTGGATCTTTGGGCTGCAACCCTCCTCAAATACAACGACAAACCTCCGTTTGCGGACCACCGTGATTTGTATAAAACTATTGACGCTACGCCAGTGGGTGATGTCAAATGGCAATCCCTCAAGGTCCAGTACACTGGGGAGAAGCCCGAAACCAATGTACTACCCTGGATGGACCAATCTCACGATGTCTGGTACCGAGACCCCCATGAGGTTATTCAGAACATGTTGGGGAATCCGGACTACGCTACAGAGATGGATTATCGGCCCTACCGTGAGTATTTGACTGATGGCGATGAACGCCAATGGCAGGACTTCATGTCTGGTGACTGGGCATGGAACCAAGCGGTACGTTGTCTTTCATTGTTTTCTGTCGCTACACATGCTGAAAATTTCAGTAGGAAACTATTTCTGAAGATCCGGATACACTCGGCTCAACGTTTGTGCCGGTTATACTCGGAAGCGACAAGACAACAGTCTCAGTGGCGACTGGTGCCAACGATTACTATCCCTTGTATGTATCAATCGGGAACGTTCGTAATAATGTCCGACGTGCACATCGTGATGCCGTTGCCATTATTGGCTTCCTCGCTATGCCAAAAAGTATGTTTCACACTACTACTATTGTTCTGCGCTAATCACAGTCAAGCAGCTACAGAGGAGCACGCAAAAGACTCAAAATTTCGGAAATTCCGTCGGCAACTGTTTCATTCATCTGTCGCCAAGATTCTCGAGAACTTAAGGCCTGGTATGACCACACCAGAGGTTGTACGCTTCGGTGACGGCCACTATCGGCGTGTAATTTATGGCCTTGGACCATACATTGCAGATTACGAGGAGCAGGTTCTACTAGCGTGCATAGTGCGCAATTGGTGTCTGAGGTATGTTCCTAAATTATCTCCAACATCCCTCTACCTTAATGCTACTAGGTGTATGTCACATCCTGACAGTTTAGACACGAAGTCACTGTGTCGTCGACGTGACCATACAGAAGCGTTAGTTGAAGAGGCAACCTATGGTGCTTTGTGGATGGAGTATGGGATTGTTGGTGACCTTGTTGTAAGTCTCGCGCATCTTTTCTATCGGAGTTGAGACTCAATCCTTTCTAGCCGTTCACAAACGATTTTCCACGCGGCGATATTCACGAACTTATCGCGCCGGATATCCTGCATCAACTGATTAAGGGAACCTTCAAGGATCACCTAGTCAAGTGGGTTGGACAGTATCTGCAACATGTCCATGGTACGAAAGAAGCGGAGAGAATTCAAGCTGATATAGATCGAAGGTGCGTCACTTTGTCTCGAGTTGATGATTCGAAAGCTCACATCATCAAAGAATTGCTGCAGTTGCTTCATTTGCAGGTCTCCGACGATTTCCAGAAGGTCGGGGATTCAAACAATGGACGGGCGATGATTCAAAAGCCCTCATGAAGGTTAGTTCACTATCACATTAACTAGGATATTGCAACTCGGCTAACAATAATTCAGGTCTATTTACCTGCCATCGAAGGTCACGTCCCAACAGATGTGGTGCGCACGTTTCGCGCATTTCTCGAATTTTGCTATCTCGTATGGCGCAACATCATTACAGAATCTACTTTAGGTCAAATTCAGGAGGCTCTTGACCGATTCCATCATTACAGGGAGATATTTGAATCTACGGGTGTTGTCTTCACGTTCTCTCTCCCTCGGCAACACTCTTGTTCCCACTATGTCCTCCTTATCCAACTTTTTGGTGCGCCCAATGGCCTTTGCTCCTCGATCACCGAGACGAAACACATCAAAGCTGTCAAGGAGCCATGGAGGCGCTCGAGTCGCTACAAAGCCCTTGGTCAGATGCTGGTGACAAACCAGCGCCTCGATAAGCTCGCAGCAGCACGCATTGATTTCAAGAACTGCGGAATGTTAAACGGCACCTGTCTGTCTGCCACACTCAAGGCATTAAGTAAGTTTTATAACAAGTTACATCTTTATTGTTGGCTTAAATTTACACTAGAGCGTTTGCGCTTAAATAAGATGCCTGATGCCAGCCAACCCAACGAGAATAGCGCCACGGTGCCAGTACTCTTCGACGCTGATGTTACTATACAGGGTGATAACGAAGAGGGCGAAATTGACAATGGCCCAACACTGGTGCAGGCCCATGTCCAGTTGGCAAAGACCCCTCGTAAGCTATCTCATATTTTACAGTGAACACTCTTCTAATAGAATCGCAGAACGCAAACGCGCACACACTATACCCGAGCTATCCACGGAACTCTCTATCCCCAATCTCTACAATGTCCTCCGCCGCTTCCTATTCGAACAAGTGTACCCAGACGACCAGCACCCTCCCTCTGAAATCCCGCTTTCGAGATGTCCTCGATTTGATGGGAACATCCAAGTCTTTAATTCTGCATCTTCGACATTCTATGCGCCCAGCGACCGCAGTGGAATTGGCGGTATGCGCCGTGAGCATATTCGTGCCTGTCCTATTTGGAGAAACGAGGCGCCCCGGTATGACTGTGTGTTTGTTAACACAGATGCAAGTGTTGAAGGGATGGTGGGCATGGATATAGCGCGCGTAATGTGTTTTTTTTCTTTCACATTCAATGCAGTTTCGTATCCATGTGCCGTTGTGCGCTGGTTTGACAAAGCCAGCGACGGACCCGACCAGGACACTGGGATGTGGATTGTGACACCTTCGTTTGATACTGACCATTCTTTTTCTGTTGGAATCATCCATATTGATTCTATTTACCGTGCCGCACACCTCATTCCAGTCTATGGAGCACAGATCATTTCACGCGACATCAAGCACCATGACTCATATGATGCTTTTCGAGCATTCTATCTGAACAAGTTCGCAGACCATCATGCTTTTGAGGTCGCATCCTAGGTGTTTTGGTCTTCTCGCTCTTGTAAGTTCATTCTGTCCGCTACTCGCATATGTGGTCTAATTACTGCGTCATCAAGTTTGCAGAGGCTAAGCCATGGCGCGTCAGACAGGCTATCATAGAATATATCCCCCTTCTCAACTCTACTTCGACAACGACATGAAAACACGCGTCTCGTCACTCTTGTGCCGCCCCCTCCGAGTCAATATGACCACGGCTCTGCTGTTGCGAGTACAGGTGATGGGGTCATCATCTGCGTGATCTGCGGCGACTTTTCAGCAAGCACTTCAGATCTAGGATGAGCTTGAGCGGAGTGCTTAGACGACGAGTTTGGTGAGCGCAACTTCTGCGCATTAGGTGAGTCTCCATAGTGCTTATTGCAATGCTCAGACCTAACTCCATCATTGAGTTTGCAGAGGCTAAGTCATGGCGCGTCAGACAGGCTATCATAGAATATATCCCCCTTCTCAACTCTATTTCAACAACGATATGAAAACACGTGTCTCGTCACTCTCGTGCTGTCCCCTCCGAGTCAGGATGACTATGGCTCTGCTGTTGCGGGTACAGGTGATGAGGTCATCATTTGAGGTGACGAAATCTGCATCTGCGTGGTCTGCGGTCATTAGTTTCAGCAAGCGCTGACGGGTGACTTGGACTTGGACTTAGTAGTAGTACTGGTAGTACTACGTGTACCCCACTTATTGCGCTTACAAAACTTTTTCTGCTTTTTGAGCTTTTTTGAATGGTGCCAACTTGTGAACTCTGAATTTGCTTTCCAGAAAGTGCATTAAGTCGGAAAAGTAACACTCCGAGAGAATTTAAGAGACAAAAAGTGAGATAAGTAAGCGGTGGTTTTCCTGATGCACGACGACGCACGATATGGACTCCTTCTGCATCGTGTATTCGTCCGGATTTCTTGTCGAGATCGTGCGAGGGCGGTTTCAGCTGGCAGTGCACGATGTGGCACGCTCTCACACGTTCCCGCACTAACCGGTTTTCACTGGGAATGAATGCTCGGCGGGGAGACCACACAGGTTTCATGGAGTCATTTGCATAAGTAAGATGATTTTGTATGTAAAATACATTAATAGAATAAATCTCTTGATAAGCCTTATAACCTCTTTTGTCTGAGGCATAATGCCGTCTTCTGCTGCGACGACAAGGACAATCAAGTCTGTAATACTGGCACCACGCGAGCGCACTGCAGAAAAAGTAGCATGTCCGGGTGTGTCAAGAAATGTAATTGTACCACTAGAGGATCCCTTGACAGGGACCGATATGCTGCGTGATATCACCAGCCTCATTATCAGCAACAGACGCAGGGCGAAGGGTATCTAAAAAAGTGGTTTTACCGTGGTCAACGTGACCCATGATAGTAATGATAGGTGGGCGTGTTGGAAGAGTAGTTGGATCTCGATGTGGAGCACTGAACATTGCATGAGCACACAAACACATCAGACTTCTCAGACTACGTACGAGGGATATATGTCAAAGCAGCTTCATCATTGACGATAGGATTGCGGCCAAATTCTTCCGCGAGAAGGGCAGTGCAATCGGACGTCAATACTATAGTAAAGCATCAGTAACGGAGTGAAAAGGGAATGGAATGAACGGGACCATGATCATATGACGCCTCAGCCGCCATCCCTGCATTGATCATCTTGCGTTGAAGTAGTGCTGCAATCGTTGAGTCCAGGTAGCCCTCAATGGGCCCCTCATGAAGGCACGGTCCCGAGCTCTCTGAGAGATTACAAATTTCTTCCAATGCTTGAGCCCACACCGATGGCTTGGGACGGTAGAGCCATCCGGTCCTCTGATGTCTCTGTGAAGCCACCGCTGTTGCAGGCAAGTATTGGCAGGCCACATATCATGCCTTCGACTGGTCTAATTCAAAATGTTCGTTAGCTGTTGGAATGATTCATGCATGAAAGAAAGAAAAATACACTCACGAGCGACCCGAGGGATATCAGAATCTGATGCATCGATTGTTGAAATATAGGCTGCAATATTAATGCCAGGATAGACGACTGTCAACTGGTGTCTAAGTGAAGAGAAGTGCGACTTGCTTACTCGTGCAGTAAATTTTGGGTTGGCGAGAATCAGGTCAACCTGTGCTGGGTCTCTGGTAAATGTGAATTCTGTACGAGCGGTGGCACACCTACTCGTAGTCACTTCCCCTAGCCAATCCATTGGGAAGCGATAGATGTATTTCAGGATACTGACGTTCTTCCTCTGCAGGTCCTCTACATAAGCACCGTTTGCTAGAAGCTTGTCAGGAAAATGGCAGTAGAAAACGACGCACTTCCCGCACAACAGTCAGAGGAACGATATGCAAGTGGAGAGTTGATCGACTAAGAAGACTGTCGTATTGATGCGCTGACGTGCTCATGAGGTGCATTGTGAGATGTAGCTGTCTTGCATGTGCAAACATGATGTGAAACTTTCCCTGTATAGACCGAGGTAGCGGTGGAATTACATGACGGACGCATAATCTTCCTGTAAGAGAGCTGTATAATAGTAACGCGGTCATCAAACAAGTATTTCCTAACGTACCGTCTCTTGTCTCGTAGAAATAGTGGTGCTGGTCATGATGAGGTGTATATATGCACAAAGTGGCCCAGGGATTGTAAACCCAAGGCATCCAGCCGTTCGGCTCCTCCTACGTGTAACATGTCAGAGTGAGTTGAGCTCTATATTCAAATTTTCCATAACATACACACCGGTTCCCAACTCAGGGTGAATAAACGCAATGAGCAACTTTGAGCTCTTCGCAGTCACTCAAATTCAATGAGTGTTCGTGTGTTGACTGAGGCAATTAGGCTAATTGTGACGTACGTAGTAGTGACTATTTGTCACACTCGAGTCACCCGAACTTCGTCTTTTGACTTCGACTCTCAAGAACGCCTTAATCATTGCCTCATATTGGTGATTATATGATTCAACAGAGTACCCGAGGTTCGATTGCAATGTCAGTAATACTCTTGAATGCTCAACGTCCTAAGTCTTTGCTAAGATAGAGTGATGCTACAGAGCCACCGTTTCACAAAATCACAAACTAATCGAGGAAGCGCGTCGTTTGCATGTTCCTTGTCTCTTGTCTTTCGACTACACATCACGCTTACTCGATTATTGTCTCACCCACCCACCACCACTGTCTTGTTAAGTGCGCATGGTTTTCTCGTTCTCTGATTTCGTTTTTGTCGCATTCGTGTCAGAACACGCTGTTTATGTGACGCAAGAGTCCATGCATCACGCGATACGCAGAGCTGCAAGGTTCGTCAGAGTCAACAATAAATTCCTTCAAGATCTAGTCTTTGCTGAGACGAACACAGACATACGCGTCGGGGAAGCCGAATAAAACGAACCCTCCTCCCAAATACTGACGATGTACAACACAAAAGTAGGTTGCACCACCCTTGTGCGATGCGCCCATAAAATAGTAGATGAAGTGTCTTCTTGGAACATGCAAGATGATCCGTCATCTATTATTTTGTGGGCCAGTTCATTCTCTACAACGAGCGAAGTGTCTATTAACAGGCAGGAACCAGTCCGAATCAAGATTGCATTTGAAATATTCAGCCGACTGTAACTTGGTCAGACCGCCGCCCGCGCATAACAGTCACACCAAAAGGTGGATACTGAAATCTTAGTTTTCAGTATCAGCGACGGTATGTGTTTATGGGAACTCAGGCAAGCCGGCGTGCTCACACCAGCCAAAGATAATCAACATTGATTTGGCAGAATTTATCGTGCAACCGCTTGTATTGATTTTAATGGGTTTTGCAACTGACAGGGGTTCAGCTGGGTAAATTGAAGGTCGCAGATATGTAAAACAGTGTCTGATGGTGAGGCATACTTATCTAAATATACACGCAACAGTACTTAACTTTACGGGTCAAAAGGCTGCTGCGCATCCGAAGACGATGGTGAGACCTAGTGAGCGCGAGTAACCGCCAGAAATCCTGGGGACGGAAGAGAGTTATACGAAAGACGCACGCAAGGAACATTACTACACAGCCGATCGATAAAATTGCTTTAAGATGTCGGCAAAGCGGTCATCGGTATTTGGCACTGGCCCTTCCTCCTTAGCGATCTTCAACTTTGATGTCGGTTGAATACACCAGGTTTATTCTCTTGTGCAATAGGGGGAAATCGTACGCAAGTTGAGTAACTCGAATGTGTTTTATCAATTTGCGAGAAGGTTTTCTAATGCTATATCATTCTGGAGTCTGTCCGAGGCAGCCCGAAAATCCGTGCAGCAATAAGCATGTCAAACATCTGCATACCGTGTGATCAATTGTCCACTGAGAAAACGGAAAGATGACCCACCGTCACGAACACGACTTCTGATCCAATCAACAGAGGGTTAATGGCAGTACGTTATCTTGTTTGAACCGCTGAGGGGCTATTGATACAAGGCGTCAGGGGTAAGTCATGGAGCTGAATTCTGGATCCAAAGCGTGTGGACCATACTCACACCCAAGCCGCAAGTAAGGCCTGAGCAGCACACATCGCCTTCCGCGCTACTCGAGCCGCAAAGTCCGTTTTCATCTGCGCACTGTGCACTGACAGACATAGATGTTGTCAAAGCAGCAGCAACAGCGAGAAGGACTGAAAAACGCATGAGTGATTTAGAAAGTGTGGAGAGGATCCCGAATGATAAGGTCTGATGCTGACGATAGAGAGAGTCGATGGCTTGCTTATATATCCCAAAAATCGTGTTTTTGAGAAACACATGCTTGGAACTTCTATCAAAATGGTCGCAGCTGGCGGACTTTAGTATTGGTACAGGCAAAATCACATCATGATAGTCGGCGGATGAACAATCCAGCACATGTGAACTGGAGATATGATATGAGTTTACCACAATCTCTTGATCCACTTTGACGTAGTGATAGCTTACATTTACAGGAACGACTTAAGGGATGGTAGCCTGAGTGAAGCGGTATTAATGCCAATGGTAGTAGTAGGTCCGAGAGTTAGTAATTGGTAAACACAGGGTCAGATGCAAGTTGAGCGCAAAGGATATGGGGATACCTGAAGACTCTCGCGATACTTAGGATACATTATATGAACCCAACGAAAATAGCGTTGAGAATCCGGCCTGCCAGTGGCTTGGGGTGTTTAAAGTAGCTTGCAATTTTCAAACGATTTTCGAGTTTGAATCGTCTCATAAGTCACGTCCAGAATCGCCTTATAATGCAGTTCACTCATGCTTCCGAGTCTCCTGTCTTTACTTTAGACTTGCCGGTTGAACGCGCCTAGTTGCTGGTATCCAACAATTACTTCGGAAAAACAGAAGTATTTAGTAGTTACTTGGTTACCAGTCTTACTTCTCTAGATCTTGGTTGAGCTTAACAGCCTGAGATTATGCGTTTCACACCAGCCCGAACTCACTTAGCAATTCGGGAGGTAGTAACATACCACAATCGTCACCAACAATGATTGGGGATAGATACATATCATCCGTTTTGTCTTACAACCACCACGTAGGAACTTCGTGCACCACCCGAACCGAGCTTGCTCAACGAAATGTACTCTCCAATTTGTGCTTGAGAAGCCATTAATGCTTCGGCTTCAACCCAAATATCTTGTTCAAGTATTTTAATCTTTCATTTCAAGGACACGTCTGATGCTGCTGGATTGGCGCCCATAATCCAAATGGAAAGAATGCGCGGCGTTATAGCTGCCAGAGTCACCGCGGTTGTCAAATGCCTCGAACACGCTTACGTGTCTGTCTGTTCAGCAATGATTGATCCCCTTTTAGGCTTGCAGTGCAAAACATGTCATTTGATAGTATTCCACAACCAGCTCGGACTCGGAGGGAGGGGGTCGGTGATTGTCAAAATACATATTCTCAGGTCTTTCCTTGGACCATTTTGACTCGCACAGAACCTGATTGATGTCTTATATATTTTTCCAGGACGCTACATAGGCTCAATGGACCTTCCATATGGTTGCCTGTGATTCCAATTTTTGCAGTCCATCTTTTCAATCAAATTATTACGCAGGTCTCGAAAATTGTTCTGATCTACGCCGCTCTGAAACCGTCGACCTCGACCGTCCGGTAATCAATATGTGCGCTTTCCCCTCCCGAGTCAAAGGAATTTGATTATCAGAATATTATCGAACCACTCCCGCTTGACGATGGACCAAAGAATCTCATCTTGCAAGACACGCATTTCTTGCGACGCTTTCTCTCCCTGCTGATGTCCCAGATGACGCTCCAAACCCAGTTCTCATTCTTTATCCATACACCTTGCATGAATTCTTAGGCAACGCTTCTGGTGTCAGTACTTTATATATTTATGTAAAAGTCTATTCATGTTTGATACAAACTCTCAAAAGCTCGTAAGACAGTATAGAGCTCACGCATGAAGTTCATGGGTAACAAACGTATTCTCCTAGCTTGTCAAACCATCATGCCCTCGGCTAACTCGCAACATACTGGTGTAGCACCAATCCCCAAATAATGACAGCACATCAATGGACTGTGGCGGATGTGATCGTCACCATGGACAGACCTACTAGTTTGTCGTCCCTCATTTGATCTCGTTTTGCTCATGACGTTCTCAGTCTGATTATAGTGCTTTTACAACAATGATGGAAAGCGGTACTACGCTGGAGTATACAAGGCTTTTCGCATGGACAATTTAACCACAGGGGTATAATTTCAAATTGACAAAGGGTCCTTGAGGCAAAACAAAGCAAGCTCAAGGCCCAGGGATTCCATCGCCTTGGATCTGGGCGATTCCCCGAGCTGCCTGTTTCAAGACCGCGCGATACGATGCACTGCAGTCCGATACACGCAACACGAAGGGCACAAACAGCATACAAGTGTCCAGTTTTGTAGAGGTTCTTTCGGCCTGCTAGTCTCCTTGATAAGGGTTTGTATCGTCTAGGTCCAAGTCATGGTGATAGAAATAGCGCAAAATAATCTTGCTTCACCTCGATTGAAAGAGCCCTCCACTCTTCCGTTCTGACCGTTCCGTTTAATTTGGTTATGGACAACAAAGACTTTATAAATAACTAGTTTTGCACTACGGCTGTAACAAAAATATTGATTATGAGATTGCGCGGCAGGATGCGCAATTGAAGGTATACGAACGAAGCGTCTTGTGCAGTGATAAATCAGAGTTTAACCTTCGGTGCAATTCCTTGACTTGACAATGTTGCGCCACCGTCCAGAAGAATATGTGCGCCCGTAACATGCGCACTGGCAGGAGACGCAAGGAAGAGTGCAAGACCAGCTAGGTCCGAAGGACGGCCAACACGACCCATGGGTTGTCGTGATGTGAGCTTTTCCTCGCCTACGTTCTTGAATCCAAAGGCTGTCATCTTCGTGGGGAATATCCTGTCGAGGGAATTAGCTGTAATTCAAGTGACAACGTGTTAGGTATATACCCAGGGCAGATTGCGTTAACACTGCGGACGGAGAAATCAGGACTAGACATTATCAACTGGAGTTTCTACATACGTGATCTTCTGGGGTCCCAACTTAACAGCCAGTATTGATGTCAGATGATTCACTGCGAAGAATTTTAGCGTAGCTCTACACAACCTCGTCGACAGATATTTTCTTACCTGCGGCCTTACTGATACCGTCTTAAAGAGAACAGATATCATCAGGCTTATCACGTCGCATAACAAGATGACGCACAACTCCATGTCCCATGTCCATCTACACTTAACGGACTTTCCACAAAAGGCCTCACACTCGCAGTTGATGAAATGTTAATCACGCGGCCGGGATCGAATGCGCTCGCATCCTTTGCAAGCCATGATGATAGTCTACCAGCTCGTGAGTTTTTAAAACATTACGTACGGAAATAATGCTTACCCGGATGTCACTTGGTATATCAAAACTCAATAATAAGCAGCCGAAACACAAGGCTTCACTCACAGTAAAACAAGCTTTTCACGTTCACGGCCATGACATTATCCCACCCCTTGTCTTCTGGAACGTTTTCGAAAGACGCTCCCCACGAGACGCCTGAATTATTCACGAGGATGTGTAATTTCTTCGCGGGCTCTCGGACCTCTAGAGCGGATATCAGAGCGTCTGTGCCAGTTTTCGACTTGGTATTGTGAGTGAATACCACATGTTGATAGTTTTCTGGGACGCTACATACGCTGAGGTTTGCTACGATGTAGTCTGCGGATCCAGGACCTTTGACATTAGGCTCAGCCACTGTCTATGGGTTGTTGGAACTTTGACTGCGCTTGGGAAACTGATGCACGCACCTCCTTCAATTGGGATTCCTTCCTAGCCGCAATATAGACCTTTGCACCATTTTGTACGAGTGCTGAGGCAATAGTCTTGCCAATACCAGTACCGCCCCCTGTAACGAGGGCTAGTGTAACGATGCTTAGTGATTCATTATAGAACGTGGCACTGCCATGATACGTACCGATCTTGCCCTTCACATTGAACAGCGACTGTACAGAAAGATCTGGAATACAATGAGCGCTCAAAATCAGAACTTCGAGAAAAAATGAGTACCGGGTGTGGTCATGTTGTTTGTGAGACCTGAGATAAACGGAACCGATCCAAATCCATGAGAGGAGAACCCAGACCTCGTGGTACAGTCAGGGATATTTGGAGGGCGTGACGTGACATCATCCGCGTGATTTCGACGCGTCACTTATGAGACGCGTCTGCTTCCATCGTTCACCCTTCACAGTGCTACTACATATGCATATACTGGACAGCAAACATGTCCCCAGTAAAAGGGTCTGTACTTTTATCTGCATAATTAATATTTCTGACCTGTCATATTTCTCCTAGTTCTCGTACGGGCTTCACCGCAGACGAGGACACGCTCCTCATGAAATACATTGCAACATATAACCCTACCAAGAAAAACAGAAGCGGAAACGTTTTGTACAAGCGCCTTGTGCAAAACGCGAGTTTCTATCATGTTCATCTTGTGAAACAAGTCCTAACGCTGATATAGGCTGATAACAAATGGAACTGGTCCAAGACACACTCGTGGCAGTCCTGGCAGACCAGATACAGGAACAATATGGACGAATTTGATAGGAGGATATTGAAGTATCAGAAGAAGAAAGGAATCAACCCGGAGGAGCAATCGGGGAAGGAGCCTCAGTTTACGCCATCCGATGAAGAAGAAGCTGCGAGGGACCGCTCGAAAGAGACCAGCAAAGGGAAAAAGCGGGCTGGTGGCCGAGACATTTCTGAGCAGCGGAAAGCCAAGCGATCTAAGCTGGAGAAAGACCAGCAATATGCCGGGAGTAGTCGCTCGCCCTTGACCAAGACCGATGAGACACGTCAAATTCCCCCCGTTGGACCAAGCGACCAAGCTCGTAGTGCTTCCCCTAACCAGGAACCACCAGAAACTGTGTACGACGTGCCTCCGCCTTCCCCAAAACCAGCAAACACGTTCAATATTCCTTCGCTCCCTTCTCGTTCGGATACCTTGCCTGTTCTGTCATCCGAACCCAATTCTCCTGTCGGGACCCTGCCACCAATCTCGTCCCAGCTCCCACCAAGTTCTCAGCCTATTGCATCATCTTCGCAGCAGGTAGTTACCCCAAAGCCGCCGCCAGTGCCCAAACGAGTCTTGAAGCACAAGTCCGTTTCTTCCATCTTCGGTTCACTCTCGCCAACAGATGATCGTTCTACTCCTTTGAAGACCAGAATTCTCCCCAAAGTGGTAGAAGGACACTTTACAACGGCGCTCACCGATCGGTTGGGTCATGTGCGTCCAGGTAGTCGTTCTGAGGAGAAACAGCCGATGGTTTGGCCTCCCGTTCGAGGCAAGAAGGGCAAGGAGAAAGAGGTAGTACAAGGACCGGCTGCATTGATTCCTTCAGCGGTTCAGGAACGCGATGGCCATCTCGTCAACGGGGTCGATTCTCAGACATCACAAACAGCTGTAGTGTCTCCAAAGCGTGAGCCAGAATCTCAACGACCTCCAGCTCCTCTTCCACCACATTGTATAGAATCTGAACACCACCCCTTCAGTCAAGTCCCACTTCCTTCCCCTCCTCATCCTCCACATAATTACAAAGGTGCAGATGCAGCCGAATCTCCTCTGAAGCATCGCTCGACGAACAGGGTAGGTCACCTCGTTAAGGGTTCATGGGATAAAAAGCAAGACAACATTATCGGCCAAGCATCGGTTATGGCCCAACCTACGGCCGGGCCTTCAAAACTAACTACTACTGCCAGGTCTTCGGGTCTCACATCCTCTGCTGAACTACCGCATGAACAGCCAGTCGCTCCGGCGACACACGCTCAACGTCTGCTCAATCGTGCTCAAAAGCGACATCGGAGAGAGACAGTTGGTGGTTATGACCTACCGCGCATGGACCTTCGCACTCTATCAGCAGTATCAACTTCCCGAATCCCCCGTTCTAGAGCCAGTAGCTCGGTATCTCACTTACCTCACCGTCACTCTCTCCCTGTCCATCCCACATCATCAGCCGTCCCAGCCGACCTCTCCGGCTACATTGTCACGCCCGGGCCTACGATTCCACCAGTTCCACTTGCGCTCATAACCCCCGTTGACCTACCCGTGTCTGCCTCTGTCGGATTCAGATCCGTGATATCAGGCATGGGTGCCGCGTATGGATACTCACCAAATGTCGTGCTCGAGGTTTACAAGCGCGTTGGAAGCTTGGAAGAGACTGAGATGTATGTAAGGGGCATGCGCGATGCTTCCGAGAGCTGGATTGAAGCGAGACTCGAGCAGAGAGAGCGGGAAGCGCGTGAAGCTAGGAAAGCCTCGAATGAGAGGGAGAGCAGAGAGAGCGATAATGACGATGGCGAACCGCCCCACAGCTCTCGTCATCGACCATCCTTGCAGCAAGCTTTACTTGAGCGACGGTTGCCGAATGGGCTGCGGGTATGGCATGAACCTGAATCATACCAGTTGGAATATGAACCTCTACCTAAGAAACAAGCGGCGCTGAAGAAGCGGGCGTCGATGGGCGAAGGTGGCAGTATGGATGCCAACTGGAGGGCGAGTGTGGTTGGGCGTCACAGAACTAACCAGGCAGAAGACGAGGTAGCAAGGGCTGCTGTCGACAGTAGTGAAGGGGGTGATGATGAAGCCGCCTCGGAAGAGGAGGAGGAGGAGGAAGAAGAAGAGGAAGAAGAAGAAGAAGAAGAAGAAGAGAGCGTAGCGGAGAAGCTGTTCCCCGAATCTTCATCAGAGGACCTTCAGGATCAAGATGAGCCCGAGCATGCGTCCGATAATGCAGAGCAGTTCAATGGGGATGTCCGACATCACGAGTTTTCACTCCGAGAACCTCCTCGTGCCATGCGTGTCAAGCGCGAAAGCCAGACGCCACCCCCACTTTACGGGTCGCATGGGGATTCAGCGAATGGGGAAGAGGTATTGAATGGTGCTCTGTCGGACGTTCGTCACACGCGCTCAGTATCTCTGCCCTGGAACGCGGATGAGGGTAAAATACTTCTTTCCGGGGATTGGCAGGTGCGCGAGGTGCTTGGGAGGCGATTGGGCAAACAAGGCATAAGAAAAAAGATTACGCAGCTGCTGCGACAGCATTGAAGTTCACTGCATAAGCATGTACGCAGTATTTTTTTTGTAACGAAGCAATGCAGGAATTCACTGATATGATGACTCAGACTGTTGAACGGTGGAAGCGGTTGGTTGCCGTGACTTCTCCGTATGCTAAGTACTCGTCTGTGAATTCATCAGATTATAGGAGTACATGATACATATGAAGGTATTGAAAACGTTTGCATGGGAACTCTTTTATGGATCAATCTCAAAGTCAACCCTAATATTGTGGTCATCTTTGCGCAGGAGCTATTTTTCGCAACCGCAGCAAGACGTCACTGATCTTTGGACGTGAACTTGGCTTTTGATCCCAGCACTCCTCAATCAAGCTCCAATATCGAGTATCAATAGTGTCAGGTCTTGAAGGCCTTTGGCCACTCTTTGCACGAAGTATAGCGCTCATTCCACTTGTACGCCCCGTCATATTCCACGAGTGGGATCCGGTAAAAATCTGAGGAAAATGAGAAGCAAAGCAAGACTAGCGGCAGGCCTCACCAGATACATGAGCCATGCAAAAGAGTACACGTCGCTTGGGATGGTTGGATTCTGCTGCTCCACACCATCGGTGGAGTCGGAGAGTAACTCTGGGGCCGCCCAGGCTAGTGCTCCTATCTTTACATCGGTATATGTGACCGACAAATTGTTAAAGCCGCCTAATATAACGGAGAGGCCAAAATCAGTCAGTACGGCCCTTTCGTCGTCGTCGATCAGAACGTTCAACTTTAGAAAAAAAAAGACGTTATCAAAATGTCTTAGATAGATAAGTGAGGCTTACTGGAGTGAGGTCTCCATGAACCACAGGATGTTTATGAACTGTCCGTGTCTTAGACATTTCTGAAGTTCAACGGGAACTCAGACATACGATATGCCAGCCCTTCAGCAATATCTTCCACCTGTTAAATATAGTTAGGATCATCGAAGAGAAGAGGAGAACCTACCCAAAGAAGGCGTTTTGATAAAGGTACGTCAATCCTTGTACGCAAGTACACATCCAGTGATCCATTCTTCATCCATAGGGAGACCATGCCTTCGAAACGACCGAAGCCTGTCGTAGTGCCCAACAACGAAACTATGTTCATGTGAGATAGCCTTCTCCAAGCTGCAAGTTCGCGCCTCAAATTCTGCGAATCGATACTTTAACATACGAACATCTGCTGGTGGACTTCTGTGACTACCTTCTTTACTTCATCTATTTGTGAAGCCTCGATGTGCATAACCTTAACGGCAACCTATTCTTCATCAGGCCGGTGACATACGCCAATGCAAAAAAGTAACCTTGACTCGGCCCCCAGTCTTTCTGTTCAAGATGGCTTCGTAGACAGATCCATAGCCTCCGCTAGCAAAGGGATGATTATCTCTCTTTTCGATCTGTCCAGTAAGATCAGGAATGCCGATGGATACGAGGTAATCCTTGATCTTTTTCAAGACGTCCGATGCAGATGGTCGCTTTTTTGGAAGAAGTGACAAACATGGTTCTATAAGCGCCCATTGCTCATCATCGACTATCGAACCCTTGGGTCGTGATGGTGTCACGCGCTTCCGAAGCTGATCAGAGATTTCCACGGATGTTGCATCATTCCAAGGCATGCATACTGTAAAGACCTGGAGGAAGAGGTTCTTAGTTCAATGCTGGGAGGCGGTATTCAATCTTACGTAAAACATGATACAGCCGAGGGAGTATACGTCGCTTTTAAAAAGAGTCTTGGGAAGATGTTGGAATATCGCATCGTCTTTCGGAACGAACCATTCTGGACCTGCGAACCGAATTGCGGGCTTGGGCGGCATCTGAGACTGAGGACATGTGGCATCCCTTGAGGAAAGCCTCACTGACTGGCGGAAACCAGAAAGACAAGCGCTATGTCGCTCAGTAATGAGTACGTTGTCCTGTAAGGAAGATTGAGTACATGTTCAAAACTACGATGATTAAAATCATACACTCTCTAGGTTGCCGTGAACCACGAAGTTTAGATGAACTTTTGCACCTCACTACTCGCTTCAGTTGTTTCATAACTTAAAAGACAACGTACGATGTTCAAGACCAGAGGAAATCTCGTGCAACTAAAAAGGAGGGTTTTAGAGTACAAGTCTGCTGTCTGAAAAGAACTCACAAGAGTTGCCTTGGTAGCTGTTCCAAGGCCCGCTTTACGAGTATGAATGAAGGAAGTGAGAGTGCCGTCTGGCATCCATGGTATGACCAGAGAATGAGACGTTTTGTCCTTTTTAAAGCCCAGGAATGGAACTATGTTGTTGTGACGAAGAAGGTTTGATGATAGCAACTGTAATTCCGGATGAATTGTCTTGATGATGAGAGCAATCGCATTGAGTCTCTGAGACATATGCCAGTACTGAGTACACTGACCTCTGAGTATTTTTCGCGTGGATCACCCGACATGGACTTGTACGACTTAACTGCCACCTAAAGCACATAAATTGACCAATTGTCGCACAAGACAAAGTCAACCTACTAGCTTTCCGCTGTCTTTAAGATTGCATTGGTTCACCTCAGTATATGGCGTAGAAATACATTGTCCTTTGGTGGGTAATATTCGACTTGTAAGATTATAAGTCTCGGAACTAAAGGCATTACAATCAGCGATGTTTTTGCAACTTAGAAAATGGACGCCAGGGGCGCCCAGGGCGCACATAGTGGTCCTGTGGATCAGATACATAAGCCAGTGATCTTTCCAATGGTACTCTAATCAGGGTTACCCACATTTGCTGGCGTGCAGATACGAGTATTGAATCCTGAAAGTTAGACCTATCTGATAGTACAATGCAAAGAGCGCGAAGGAATGTGGAAGAACACGAATCACATTGAAGTTCATAGGCGCACGCACTTCTGAGTGATACGTACTTCTCAGTCACATGCACTGCTGAATTTTGGAATACACGTTCTGGAAGGGCCCTATCAGAACTTTCAAACTAGTTCCAAACGAGCAAGTAGATCGTACACATGACAGACCCGAATAGGAATCTAAGCGCTTGGTGGAATAGGCCGATCCTTTGACAAGACACTGGACAGTGTGTCAAACAAAAATAACGCTATGCCCGGCTGCGATACGACTGTGATTCCTTGGGTCCACTGGCACCACTCTTAAATACGCAGCTTAGTACACAGTATTAGTTTCTCTGCACTTGGTCCCAACGCTATAATTAAGACCCACCTGACAACAGCACCGTCGCCTGACTTTCATCTCTTTGTGAGTGCCCACTGCCACCTAAATCAATGATTTACTGTGACGGTGCAGGATAATCGGGGTCGAAGATACCATCAGCTGACACGAATCGCTCACTAGCACAGGCTGTGGCACCTCAATCGAATCCTAGAGCTCCCTGACGTTCCAATTGAATGTCTTCAAGTTCTCAGGCCAACAAGCTCGTGCCAGAAAAACTTGTCATCAAGGTCAATGACGACAAGCAAAGGGTGCTGGCTATTGCATATCTCTTCAGAGACCAACACGTCATCGTCTGTTCCCACGACGGTTGTCTCCAAGTCATAGAAGCAAAAACTCGCAAACGTCTCTGGCAGGATACACAGAAAAAATAAATTTGTGCAATCGACGTAGCACCAGATGGTGAGCGCGTTGCGACTGGCAGCAAGGATGGAAAAATTCGGGTTTGGAGGTGGAATGGAAAAACTGCGAAGATGATGGCCGAATCAAAGAATCATACTGCTGCAGCAAATTGCGTATGCTGGAGTCCACATGATGGTGGTGCTTACATCGCTAGTGGCTTTGATGATGGCAGCGTAGCAGTCTGGCCAGTATCATCGGAGCTCAAGGACCCCATGAGTACTCATGATACCCGCCTCCGGTACATACATACAATCAACTACTCACATGACGGCACACAACTCCTTATTAGCGGTTATGACCGCGAAATCTCGAGATTGACGATCAACGAGAAAGCACAGGAGGTCCAGCTGGATGAAGTCATCAAAATTTGCGACAATCCTAACCACGTATCGAGTGCAACATGGGCTATGACTACAGATGGGCATGCAATTGTCGCTGGCTTAAAAGACGGGAAGATTATGACACTTGAACTTCCGGAAGGTCGGCCGCTAGAGCTTGAGGGACCGGGTCACTCTGACCTTGTCAGCGCCCTCAGTTCTGTTTCCAGACCAAACGCGTATGCTTGCAAGCGCCTCTTATGACTCTACCCTCCGCTTTTGGGATCTCAGCACCAAGCGAACAATTGGCCAACCACTCCTACATTCCGCGGATCTCACCTGTGCAGCGCTCGCAACCAATGGGAATTCAGCAGCTACCGGTACTTCCGACGGCGAGGTCTACCTTTGGGATATAGCAGACTTTGTCTCTAGTGCAATGCCAACAGGGGATGAAAATGTGGGTACTCACATAAGATTCCATCCACTTATCATTCACTGACACCACGTCACGATCAGGGTCGTGATGGAGACGCGACTGCTAAGCCTGCCTTTAACTTTGACGTATGTGATGTTCGCGTAGATAGTCCATGAGCGCTGGCTTACAAGCATACCACAATCTACAGCCTGACTCGCACATCCCTACCCGCCAACCGATTATTGTAACCCGACGGCCATCACCGTCCCTCAACGCTCCAAATCGTGCAAAAACAATATACGATGGTTTCTTTGTAAGCGGCACAGTCGCTAGTTGTCTCCGGTCATAAATAATCTCTGAACTGCAGGACGACATGCCTCCTACAGTCGTAAATGATCCCACTCCAAGTGTTAGCAGGCGATTTTCTGTACCTGTTAAAGTTGCTGCGTCACGTATGCGGTCCCGTATGCGACAGGTTTGTCATGCTATCCCTTTCCCGCTAAATTTACTACTGAAATGACTCGATTTGTAGGTGGTGCACCGAACACAACCCGAAAGGTCCCTGGCGACCGGCATTCAAGAAGAAAGACGAAACCAACATAGGCAGCAGTATCAAGTAGCCAGTGACATTCTGCCTGCCACATCCGAACAGCAATTAGGGGCGCCAAATGAACCGATGATACAGGACGCTATTCTTGTGAAACGTACCCGCTGGGTCAACGCCTTGTTGCGCATGGGGTGCATACCCCAATACCCCGAGCCGGCGGATTGACTTGAAAGGTACTTTGCAGTGTGTACTGAGTGTGGCTTCCGAAGTTTCATGTTGAATGGTTTTACTTTCAATTTAGCTCCTACTAGAGACAATCGCACCGCATTATGGCAGGAGGATATAATCGTTATAGAAGCCAAGCCTATTTACAAAGGCTGCGCTGCTTGCGGCTTATGATCACTAATTGGGACGTCTTTCTTCGCAGGGCTGCAGAGTTGGGTCACTGGGAGGCGGCACCGCCAGGTTATGTATAGATTTAATTTGTAATGTATACCTAGGTACAGATGAAATTTGATATATAAATTTGTTCCAAAGATTCAGACCCATTTTGCGTTCAGTCAGAAGTTTCAAGCTCAAGTTCCTTTCGCAGAAATATACAAGCCTCTTCAGCGGATGGGCGAGAAGAGGTCCCGTGTTCCAAATTAAATGGTCCCCAGCACCGTTGGATAAATTCCCAATGTTCTTGAGATACGTCATTGCCTCGGACTGTGCAGGGTGGTTTTCCTTGATGAAAGGCGGTATTCGCTGATTCAGGCGCAAAGGGAAGTTTGCCAGAGATGACCTAAAAAGGTGTGATCGATATCAAACGACTGCAGACACCATAGCTGACATAGAGCATACATAATTCATAATGGAACCAAAGGAATACATATCGCTGTGTCTAGAGAGAGAAAATGGGTGAGGTCCATTTATAGACGATATGAGATTGCTCTTACATAGATGGTTTAAACGGGAGTTGATTTAGTTCGGGTGCCATCCACATTACAGCCTCAGTGGCGGAGTAACTCCCAGTAAATTCCATTCGGCAAGACAGGCCAAAATCAGCGACTACCGCGCGTCCGTTAACATCCACGAGGATGTTGTTCTGTCCACCCATTAGTCGAGGCGCCTCTACGGAGTGTTATACACACATTTGTCAAATCTCCATGCACAACGCGTTGGGAATGAACTGCATTTTTTGTGATCAAAAATGAGGCAAATGATGAATACATAGCGCGCACGATAACGAAGGCCAGTGGCGACGTCGCAGAGCTGGAAATCGATTAAAACATTGAAATAGCTATCAACCTATAACATACCAATTTTAACTTCTGTCGCAGTTCCATCGTCGGATACCTGCTGAGGTACACTGATAGTGTGCCATTCTCCATCCAGGGGCAAACCAAAGCGTCACAACCAGAAACCATGTAAATACCTCGTGCGACTCCGAGTAGAGGTAGGATGTTTTCCTGCATAAGTCTTGCCCAGATGTCGATTTCACGCAAGTACCCCTGACACAAGACACCATGAATTGACTGAGAGCACAAGGGTGAGATATCGAACCTTCCACAATTTTCGAGCTGGAATATTGCCTCGGAGTCGAATTGACTTGAGAGCTACCTGGATATAGATCATTTATATATCTTCTTATCTTATAAAGAATCAGCTGGCCTGTATGGTGTTCCCGTCCCTCTTCAGCGTGCACTTTCTTATGTCTGCAAAACTTCCTCCGTCAGTGGGAAAGAGAGGGATGTCGTAGAGAATATTTGTCAGGTCATCTGGAGATATATTGACTTTACTAGGCTTGTACTGATCGAGAAATTCAAGGATTTGTGTTGCGGATGGTCGATCACGCGGTATGAAAGAGCAACAGCGTGTGATGAAGTTCCACAGGGAATCATCAATACCGTCACCCCCTGGACGTGACGGCATACGACGCTGTCGAAGTTCGTTAATAATGTCGCCCGATTTTGAACCATGCCACGGCAAACATCCTGAGAAAACCTGAATACAAGCTTCAGAATAGTCAATATTTGCAAGCACACACTCACGTGGAATAAGATACAGCCGAGTGAGTATATATCGCTGTTGATGATAGGCAAGGAGTTCCCGCCTACTTTATGGATGAGGCATTCAGGAGCAGCAAATCGCACTCCACCAGGCTCAGGCTTTCTTGAGAGCTTACTGGTATTAAGGTCGGTTGACAAGGAGAAACCGGTCAGATATGCTCGATTTTCTGGGCCTATGAGAACATTTTTCTGGAAACATGTTGAGAAATTTTCATGATGGTGAATGGATATTAACAACGAACACTCTCTAAGTTACCATGAATCACATGTGACTTGTGAACTGCAAACATTCAAGGAGTTAGCGTGAGGGCCCATTATGATGGAATATTACTAACGATAAGTGACTCCAGAGGCGATGTCACGAGCCTAGCGAATTATGTTATCGTTTGACGAGTAAGTTATCTACTTGATTTACCAGGGACAACTTGAGTGATGCCTCGATTCCTGCTCCGTGGTACGCGATATAGCAATGGAGGTCTCCGCTTGGCATCCAAGGGAACACTAACGAAGGGAAGCTGCCATCTTTGAATTCTTCAGTGGTACCTAACAACCGGGTGATATTTGGGTGATTGAGTTTGATGCGCAAGTTTATTTCTCTCATGTTTCGCTGAAGCGTCATAAAAATAAGCAGTTACGCGAGGAAATTAAAAAGTACTAACATTGTAGTACTCTTTATGCCATCCAAATCGGACGGACTTCACTGCGACCTGCGGAATAAGGGTAGATTAAAGCTGAGCTCATCCTCCGGTGAAGTCAACTACGAACGAGAGTGCTTTCGCAGCCGGTCGTCAGTATGCACTTGTATACATCACTGTAATCTCCGGATGTGCTCAATATCGGATTAATAACATCAGTAGCACTAGGTTGGGTGTAAGTCAGGACGTTTATACCATATATTTGTGTGGTGCTGACGGTATTTTCAAGTTTGGTTTGGGATGCACTGAGTTCCTTCGAAGAGCTGTGAGGGCGTCGTTCAACAAATGACATGTGCCTCTTACTCACATTTCGTGTAAAGCTGCAATAGTTGTGGTTGTGGGATGGGTGACTACCAAGGTCAGCTAGCGGGCGGCAGGAGAGAGAGACATAGAGAGAGGGGGAGAGAATTTTCTAATTTATATATCGCAACAAACAATAGAAACTGTCACTGTGCGGTGTTCTGTGAGCTGTCCGGGAAATAGTGTATGGGAAAGGGGGGAAAGCCAGGGTTCCTTATTGATGATGAGCGGAAGGTAAGAGTTGCCCACAAATATCGATTTTTCTGCGGCGCCTCTGCAGATTAGCGCACAGCATGAGCCGCTGGAAGTAGACTAGCGCACTACCCCACGTCATTACGATATATTATTTAATATTTATTCTCATACGTAAACTGGTAATTAAAATTAATATGTACGTTATTCAGGGCCGCTGGTCGGTATCACGGTTCTCTCTCGGTTTTCACTATACTTGATGTTTTCTGATCAGTATGTTTCTGTCTTTCTGTCTTTCTTTCAAAGTGCCTTCCAATCATCTCTGAAATACTATCTCTCTACATGTAGGAGGCGGCAGTATGGATACGAAACAAAAATAGCTGATTTGGTAAGTGCTCGGCATTTCCTCCCGACGCACACAGCCTCATGGACCCTGCCAAGTGAGCAGCCTTACGAGAACGCCGAAGTTCGATAAAGAAGCCCTCCTCTGAATGGGCTACGGTGTCTGCCAGTAGCCGTGACGAGGCTGGGGTAGCATCTAGACATGTCAACTCAGCCCCCCGGTGCACAGCTAGGCGGCTGCTGTGTAACTTGGGCTGGGGGAGGAAACTACATAAAATGTGCCAGCACGTATAGCAAGGTTCCATTGCATCCGTTTCTTAGCCTTTCTACCTGCGGACCGTGACAGTAGCCTATCCAGAGAATCTGCAACACTTCACATCTTGTGTTGATTGTGCTGCTCTAGCTCGAATCACGTTCTCTAATTTAGTGAGTACTAGCCTCTCGTGTCTCTTCATGAAATCGTAACAAGCTGTTACATAGTTTCCCGTCGAAACTGTCAACCACCGAGTCTCTTGAATCTTTTGGCCTTCGACTTACCTCGCCCTACTTGCCGTAGCGAATATTTATTTTTGTGTCATCATGCTTTCTATTTCGGCTCAGCCTCATACCCAGAAACCAACATGTCTCGATTACAAGGAAATGCACTCCGCGACAATCTCATGCCTCGATTTTCTAGACGAAGATCGATGCATCATCACCTGCTCTGAAGATGGTTCCATCCGAGTTCGGAAGGTGGATACAGGTAAATTTGTGGGTGACCCTTGGGTAGATATAGGAAGCGGGGCTATCCACGCCATGGCAGTATCACCAGATTACTCGCAGGTCGTAACTGGCAGCCAAGATGGCAGGATACGCCTGTGGACTGTGGCCACCGGGAAAATGGCCGGAAGATGGAAGCAAGCTCACAGCCTCACGATATTGTCTGTCTGCTGGAGTCCGGATGGGTTGCACGTCGCCAGCGGGTCTGAAGACGGAACTGCGATCATCTGGGATACCAAGCAGGGCGATATTATGGGACGTCCTATCAGAACTAACCACCGACATGTGTACGCAGTACGCTATTCACCTGACGGTGCGATGCTCTTGACGAGCGGATACAACAACACAATCACTTTTTGGGATGTCAGGAAAAGAGTGGCGCTCAGCTTTGTAGAAGCATGCCATTTATCTCAGCAGGTGCATTGCATCACGTGGACTTCATATGATAGAATTTTCCTCGGATGTAGTAATGAAATCGTGCAGGCGACAGCTAATACCCAAGGGAAAGTCGCCCGTTTAGGCAGAAGTACCGGTCCTATCTGCGCCATTGCCTTATCTCAAGACGGGCTTTTCTTGGCCGCCGCTTCTCTCGATAATACCATCTCCCTATGGAATCCAACAACCAACAAGTCGATCGGTCGGCCTTTGGGTCATCCTAATGGCTTGAGGTGCGCGGCTCTCGCAAGAAACAGCAGACTGCTCGCCACCAGTGGTGTCAACAGGAATGTGTATATCTGGGATCTTCAGGTAAGCTGTCAAGTTACAATATCCCCCAATGCGATCATTGGCGCACTCATGTTCATCACTTGTTGCATGTAGGGCGTATCGCAAAGACCATGGTATAAGCGTTGCATAGCGCGGTGGAGTTCGTTATTCAGAACTGTTGGCCAAGTCGTTGGAAAGGTCTGTCGCATAATTCACCTCGTAATTTAGTCAAGCTGTGACCCAGCTTACCACTAGGCATTTAGTCGTCTGAAACCATTTCCGCGCACGCCTGCCGCTGGAGTGAGGCATGGTGCGCGAGAAGACTCTTTGCAGGCCCGTCAAAGTAGTCCGCTTGGAAAACAGGAAAGTGCAGTGCACCAGCCTGTCAGGGTAAAAGACAATGTTTGGTTTCGTTTTTGGCTGCGGGTTGGCTGTTTGTCTTCCGCCGGGATGGACGATTAGATATTTTCGCTTTGTTTTATCCTATATCGTCATGGGATGGACTATTAGATATTTTCGCTTTGTTCTATCCTATATCTCCGTGCACTCGTAGATGCTATTTTGTTCTTATTTCTACTTATGTCTTCCGACGGGTCTGGGGTCTGGGGTTTTATTACACGTCTAATTAGTAACTTGGTTTTGTGTACGGGACATATTGTGTATATTCTTAGGTCCCTTAGTTCTGGTGGATACTCTAGACCAACCCATTCACCACTGTTTGACTGCAATGATTTCGGCAGGGACGTTTGAAGTGACATGGGCGATTTGCAGTTAGATTGATGAATGTCTCAGCTTTCTGCATTGAAGATGGTTGTTGCCTGCCGCATCATCTGCTGTTAAGTCTTACAATAATGTATGGCCTCCATGGAAGTGTCACAAATCCCAGGACGGCCATTTATCAGTTGTTCAAGCCCAAGCAAATTAGTCATTCGTCGCATATAATTGTAAGTTTCTCTCATGTCATAGCTTTCATTACCCAGAGTTTAACTTTGACCCTCAAAGCTCCCAAACTCCCAGTTGAAGCAATCCTGGTACCACAATCAATGCCAGCAGTAAAACAAAATTAGAATAGACTTACAATACAATCTTCACCATCCGCTTTCGCCTCAGGGACCGTCCTGTCCCCTTCCTGAGTCCAGTCCTCACTCAACAATCTATCAATGATATGAACAATCGAGTGTGTTCGCACATCGACAGACCATCCAAGGTGCGTGACAGTATCGTAGCGGATGACCTTTCCCAAATGGCAGCGTGTCTCCATGGCATAGCCTGCGACGCCACAAGACGAGGTAATACCGGTACAGGTGCCCATTGGGATAGGATCAGCTGTGTGGAAGACGTGGGTGATGTGTTGTGTCGAGGGCTGCATGTCATCCGAGGGATCAGTATTTGAGAATGATTATGAAGAAGACTTGGACTCACTGGAGAAGGCAGGTGTAAACGCGTCGCAGCTAATTTCTCGGAGGGCGCTTCAAATGCGACGACAGGGTGCTCCAAATGTCACACCGATAAGGGAGGCGAGGGAGCCACCGAGAGAATGTCCTTTTTGAATGATGAGAAGTGCTCAGAAGATATAGCGTTTGAATCCACCTATGAGCCAGATATCGGCATTGGGATACAGATATGTGACGTTATTATATAAATTCTGCAGCGCAATCAGGCCGGAAAACTAAGTTTTGAATGCGCACACACCAGTCCGACAGAATAATATAAGCTCTCCTCCGTCAAACTCTTCTCCAGACATTCTTGGTCACATTTAGAGCCACCCTGGTGGCAATTGCAAACCGTGTACCAAGTTGGACCAACTCTTGCACAACAACAAGAAAACAGAAGGTTATCGTTGAGTTTATCCTTTCGTACAGTTGGGCCACCGCCGCCTGTAATCCAGCCAGCGGAAGTACCCTTGATCGAAAGCACTACTGTTGAGTTGTCGTCTGAGACAAAGATGTGCCCTCGAATACCATCTGCATCAGGTTCCCAACCAAATGGTGTAGACTTGTGTTTTTTAACAAATTGCAAATGTATCACCAAGGTAGTTAAACGTACCTTATTCCAGCCATTCGGTGTGTACCAATCTGATGCAGTGGGTGACGTATATGCATTGGAGGTCATCTTCGCAAGTGTGAGGAGCGTTTCTCTCTCTTCAACATTCGGCCCTAGGACGTTGGTTGTATCCCACAATACTTGTTCGCTCTGGTCATACCTGATAGAGCGTAATCGAGCGCTATGAAATGCCTTGGCTGATTGCGGTTTGTGCGTTTGAATGTTCGATGTGGTCGTGACATATGAATCTGCGGCAAACGATGGCGCAACATTGGAGAAGACCACCCGGGAGTCATTAGTTATAGCGTGCTCGTGCCGCAGCTGGAAGGACAACGAGGTGCGGGCTGGCAGGACAGCAGGTGGCTGAGAGAAGTCGAGCCAAAGTAGTGAGCCGAGCCAGAAGCGAAGAGTAGTAGGCAGTAAATAAAGCATTGCGGGTAGAAAGTCTAATGGTATCTATGCATGAGACGTGGGGTAGATTCTCGCTCTATCGAACAACCGTGTTCGAGCCTTGAGGCAAGCTCGTCTGCATGTGCTAAATTGGGAAGATTGTGAGGAGGTTATGATTATGTCAGCTTCGGTGAATCCAACTCCGAGTCGAGACTCGTCGAGACCGCGACGTTGGAGTTTGGACCGCCCATGTAGGACCGCCTTAGTTGAACCGCCTTTTACTCCACACTTGATCATGTTTCTCATCGACGGAAACAAAGACTTGACTTGACCGGATCGCACAGGTTGTGGAGCTCGTACAAGCGCCCATTGATGGGCCCTGGGTCTAGCCCGCCTTCGCGCAAGGATCCCACTTCTGATCTCTGGGTCCTCTTAAGGCAGAGGTAACCATTATAAAACGAAGCGGCGTCTCGCTAATGCTAGTACATCTCCTGCCTATAACCACTTCATGGAACTCTGCCTGCGACACAATGACCCTACGCAAACCCTACTCATGACCCAAGACGGCATAGTCATGTACCAGGTCAACACAGCAGTGGGACAAACTACTACGATAAGCCGTTTCGAAAACCACGCTCAACTCTTGAGCACTGGGCGAGTATCTTGTGTCGTTGGCGAAGTCGATAGTAGCCGATTGAGGTTGCTCGATGGTGAGAGCCCGATAGAAATCGCGATGGTTTCGGGTGTGGAAGAGACCGAAAATTTCGATAGGTAAGGAACTAGATTTAATGCATCAACTTTATTTTGAAATCGTAAAGACCTTGGAACTTTAATGGCCCAGACGACAAGCCGTACACATGGCAAATTCTATTCCGTTCTCCGGTGGTAAGCCACCACCGAATCAATATCCACGCTATCATTGACCGTAATCCAGCTGTTTGTATCCGGCACTGCACCCATCCCTCTAGCACGATATAGACAAGCGAAAATTGGTATCATATCACGATCAAGACGAGCTTTTCTCGAAATATTCCCCGCTGGAATAAATGTTATCGATTTCATCGTCGTTACATTTGTATCTTATGCGAAGCATCATTGGCTGGACGAGCCCCACCACGAGTCTAATCCATCAGCAATTTGATCCTAAAAGTGAGGCTGTTGAAGGTAGGCACACTCAAAAGCACTGTTAAATTGTTGTTGTTGATCTCTTGACTCGTCTTCTGAACCGTTGGCTTCAATTTTCAGCTAGATAGAGGATTGAGTTGTGTTTCTCTGAGTGGGTTTTTGTAAATTATATTGAGCTTGTGGGATACTTGGAATAGCATTCTGGCCAACTCCGAGCACTTGCTTCCGAAATCTGAGAGCTAAGCGTGAAGTACATCGCTTATCTTTCCGCGATCTTGTATATATGCCGCAGAGGCCGTTCGTGTGCTCTGGTCATGAGAATGACTGAGCGGGACCTGTCAGCCGACTCCAAAAGCGTTCCCAGAAAGGCTCAGTTCACCCTCCATATTGGTATCATAGGCTGACTGCGCATGACATGGAATAGAATGGAAACTGAAACGGATGTGCAAATTCGGTATTTGTGTTCAAGCTTTATACCGCATCACTGTCAGTTCATTGAACATCGAGTTTGGTTGTGAGTGACATACTAAACATTTCATATTAGAGCAGCCAACCTTGTCTGACTAGGTTCAAGTTGTCGCCAGAGACGACACAGCACTTGCTTGTCTAAGCGCCCAACCTGAGATAACTCCGAGGCTTGCCGTCATCATGATATCAACCAACCAAGTGCATCCGGTGTCCATCGATTTAGCTTTGACGTTATCCGATACATCACCTTTCTTTGCCGATCCTGCACGCCTCCCAAGTGCACATCCCGAGCTGCAAGGCCTTGCCTACGTTCAAGCCGTGGGCACCGGATTGATGTCAAACGAACACGTATACAGGCTAGAAGACAAAGAACGAGCTGCAGTTGTACTGGACTTTTTGAAGAGAGAGGGAGGGGTGCATAATGTGGTTTTGCTTGAGAAGAAGCAACGGGTCAAGAGAGATGAGTTTTGATTTGTGAGCGTCGCTTCATTGAACATTTCTTGGAGCAAGTTTTGATTCAGAATCAGATAGTACAAGAGGTGCAAATATCACATATGTGACTGTCCCGTTGCAACCCCGGGATCTATGTAAGTACTAAGAGTTACGCGACTATATATATTCGACAAAACCAGCGTTTGTAAGGGTTACAATAAAAGACCTGACCTGAGTGTGCAACTGTTGCTACCTAATGGAATAAAAATAACAACAAAGAAAAGAGCATGACATTGGATTGTTCATAGCAATTGCCTGCGATCACTATGGTGGCAATGCACTTTGCACATAACTGAGAACGTGGTCAATTGTTGGTCTGTCAGAAGACTTTGACCAGCATTCTTGAAGAAGGGGTATGTGGCGCCTGTCTACTGAACTGTCTGCTGCCATGGGTTGCATACCCTGGTGTCTGGCAACCATGATATGGAAAGGGTCTTCCAGCCAATGATAAGGGACCTTTCCGGATAGCACCTGAATTATAACTCAAAATGCAGGTACTGCAAGGCAAAATGAGAAGCAGCGTACCTGAAGTAGTATGCAACCGAGCGAGTAAACGTCGGAGCAGGTTGTCGGCTTTCCAGCTTCTTCATCTGTAAGGTTTATCAACTCAGGTGCAGCCCAACGGATAGAACCCGAGTAGTAGGTTTCGCACGACGAGCTATCGCATTCCGCAAGGATCGCCGACAGACCGAAATCTGTTACGTGAGCGTCTCCTCTGGAATCGATTAATATGTTGTGCTGTAATCGTTTAGCTTGTCAAACACACGTCTAGAGCTACAACCTTACCCCAGTGAGGTTCCCATGAATGACATGTCTGTCGTGAACTGTGGGAATTGTCAAATCTGTATGTGAAAATGTATGAACCAGTACAAACGATACTGAATAGCTGCCGTGATCTGTTCAAGCTACAGGAAGTAGTTGTCAAGGCAAATCAGTTTGAATTTCTTGACAATAAGACCCACGAGTATGAACTTGTCTCGATCCAATAGGTTGGAGAACTCGAGAGATAGATAGTTCGTCAATGATCCATGCTCCATCCAGGGAGTTATGAATGCGGGGAGTGGTCCAAATCCCGAGGTCGTCCCAAAAAGGCGAAGTACATGCTTATGATGCAATGTTGTCCACACGCGCACTTCGCCGTATATCCTCTGAGACATCATTAGCATGAATATTGAGCGAGCCTTTGCTGTGCACCTTGCGCAATGCCCTTATCGCTTTTTTGCTTGAACCGAGGATCCTCAATGATTTGATAGCCACCTGTTGTGAAACTTGGTTGGCGGTGACACTTGAAGGAAAGAAGAGAGGTACCTCTATTTTTCCATGGGACTTCCAAACCATACCACATCGGTAGACATCGCTCCAATCACCGATGAAATGAGGATAAGTATCATATCTGAAAATGCATGACCGAGGAACCTCTGTCGATTTGTCCTGGATCATATCGAACCTATACAGCGACTTGTTTAGACCAACAGACCAACATGATAAGATATTTTTTACAAAGAGTGCAATATTACTTGCAGTCCAACGACCCCGCCAGTCTGATGTTTCATGATTGAAAAGGTTGAGAACTGTCGATTTGCTAGCTTGGATGTATGCTCACCTTCAGACAAAAGATATGAGCCATCGTTGTGCACCTCTGTCGTGGGTCACAGAGCCAGACGGAAGGCTAGAGATAAGCAAGCGCTGAAACTATTCGAAGGCTATGTGGCACCTGGGTGCCGAAATTTCGAAGGCGACTAAAAAGGGATTGGCCCTACTACGTGTCAAGGCATCAAGTGCCAGATGCTGTGAGCAGGCCCCAGGCAGATGGCAACCTATGACTTACTTACATCACAAGGCTATGTAAACTGAATTCAGTTATATATTATATATAAGTTGCCTTTGAGCGCCTACAACTGGTCTCCCGCGACTGTGGAGTTGAATACAAAAATCGCACTCTGGTACACGATACGGATTGATCCGATTATTAATATGCTCCTTGACTTGTTGTTCTCATCAATGCGGCAACCCCCCCTTCCAATTCTCTTCCAAGTGGCTCATGCACTAGCACCATAACCCGTCTTGTAGTGTTTTGCTTATTGGGCTTCACCATCGAACACGTCCAGGCCCGAAGCTCCCTGTCTGTCCAGACTCCAGAGCCAAATCGACCCTCAAAAATGCTGACTTGGTGTGACACGCACGCGGCCGCCATGATATTTTCGTGTACCACTCGGCCTGAGTCACTGCAAAGTGTACCTAGTCTATAGACAGGTATGGACTCTGGAGGTATATGTTAGTGCTCGGGAATTTCTAATCGGATCCTTAGACAATCTTTTTGCTACTGCTATCCAGTATGACTCTTTTCGTCAAGGACGTGCAAGGGCATCCAGCAACGAGCTGCAGTGATTTCGACGAGGATGAAATAGGCGCCGACTTGACTCGCGAACGGTTTTTTCCCGCATGGTAGAGCCCAGTCCTTATCTGAAGATCTGAACTGCCCCAAATCCTGACTTCGGATAAACATCGGCCTTCCTAAAGCCTCAAATTAGATATTTGGCCAAACTTTCGGTGGGAAATACCAAGCTCTCAAGTTGGGGGAGCTTGGTCGAACGTATTCACCACCCAGCTTTTTCACGTAACAACTGTTAGCATCATCCGCTCGTGTCATCCATCTGACGGTTCCCCGTTGAATTCGATGCCTGAACGTGAACGGGTCCTCGCCGGCTGTGGTTCCTTCCCTCCCTTCTTTATCACAGTGCGTTTTCACTGCTTACCATCGGTTTTCTCAGATGGTTGATATCAGCGCCCTGTACGTTACCATGGTTAGCGATGATATTGTAGGGGTTTTCTTTCCCAAAGGCCATTGTTCCACGTCACTTTCTGATTTTCCCACGTCTGTCGTCATAGAGGCAGCTCCCCAACTTCTTCAGCCTTTGTTACGAAGATGCGTACCCGTTCTCATGTTGTAGTTCTGTCGTCGATGCGCCGAGTTGGGCGTTGTACTTACTAACGAGACTTTGTTTGTTCGTCTTATCATATATCCGTTGAGATGCTGTATGGAGAAATGATTGTGGCTACTATGCGCCGACCACATAACGACTTCCTTGTTGACCCTGAACATACCCTGAACCACAAACCAGACCAGCTCTCGAGTGTACTAGACGGAATTGAGGTCCATGAGGCTGCTGCTACTGACCAGGGCTGCCAAGGGCCTCTTCAACGAAACCCATCACCAAGGTGATGGGAAGCGAATCGCGGACTGTGCCCTGAAGATTGCTTGAACCCCACAGCTTATGCTTGTCTCAGAAAATCGGTTATGAATAGCGAATAATTGCTGTCCCAAAAGTAGAGTTGGGGTTGTGGGCGTGGAGTGGCCGGTACCCATATCGATTGTATGTTTTTAAAGCATTTTCGTCCTGGTGCATTCACGTTTTTCTTAAGAACCCAGTGATGTATACAGTTTGGTTTGTACATACAGAATAAGTCAGTAGTGGTAATGTGGGTGCCGAAAATCCTTGAATCATACATATCTATGAAATATGTTGTGATACTGATATAATGTGACATGTACGATATCCAGAATGATGGGGCCCTCGTGCTGTCAGAAAGACATACCCGGTGGCCATGACCCCATGTAGTCCATAAGTGATGAGATTAAAAAATGAATGTGCGCATAAAAGGGATGAACGGGTAGACGTGACAGGCCTATGTGGTGAGAAGCTCGACTTCTCTTGACACCAACTCTAGCAGTTGAGCGGCAGTTGGGCGGCGTTCTGGGACGGACCAGCATTTTTGAATGAATTCCCAGTGACGCTCCGCAATAGGAGGATCATACGATCGTGAAGGTTTGTTTCCTTTCGATATCTCGATAGAAACCTTTGATTTGTGTCTGATCTCATAATAGGGCTCGCGGCCGGTAAGGATCTGCAAGATTTTCAAGAAATGTGTCTAATAACATGGGCGCAACGGACCTGATAGCTGAGGCTTCCAAAAGAGTAAATATCACTCTGGGTCGTGGGTGGGACCACGTATTGGATGTCGAAGAATTCTTGGGCTGCCCATCTCACAGATGGGGGAATATGCTGCCCTCGGTGTGCTGGAGTAACGTCGTAATCTGCAAGATGAGCGATACCCGCGGCATCAATCAAGACGTTGTTCTAAATGCATTGTGATGAGATACAGAAATGAAATGCATCGACAAGTAAAGATGGCTTACGCCATGTAGGTTTTTATGAATAACATTCTTGTAGTGCACTACATTGATGAGTCAGGATGTATGTCAGGAGTGGAATTCTGTAGTACTCACGGTGGCGGAGTCCAGCCGCTATTTGCTTGATCTACCTTATTAAATTAGACGTATTCAAGCAGAAAGAGTGGACAAAGACTTGCCAGGTAAAACCTTTTCAAAATGGTTAGACTGTCAGAGTTTTGTGCGAGGTATGAGGTCAATGTCCCGCCCGGCATCCAGTCATATACAATTGATGGAAGTGGTCCGAATCCATAAGCGAATCCTATAGGGGTCAGAATATTGTCATGCTCAAGCGACGTCATCCAGGCATTAACGCGGATCAATATCTCCTAGGACAAATTACCTATGAAATCATCTCGAGACATTAATTACAAACCTGAGTTTCGGATTGCACTATGTTTCCGAAAATTTCTATCCTCAATGACTTTACAGCGACCTGTTTTTTATAAGGTCATGTTAGATGGGGTAAATTATCCAGCACAAACCTGTTTAGAGGTTGTAGCGGTAGAAATTACAGCCTTGTATACATTTGCCGATGAAGTTCCCCCAATCAATTTTGCGTTTTGAATTTTCGAAGTGAGGTTGCGCATCGGATACGGAGCATTCCTTGGTAATATTAAGCGATCGATAGGATCAAGAAGACAGCAGCTTAAGCGCTTACACATGATCCTTCTTCTTGTTCATCCTGAGCAAGCTCTGCCAAACACGTAAAATAACGTGGATTAGCGGCATCTGAGTTCTGGATTTTGGAAATTAGGGATCGCAGGAGACCTACGATGGAGTCTTTGAGCTTCCAGGCCCCAAAGGATTAGGTAGTCAAGGTGCGCTCTCGGTTGAGATATGAACGGCGTGTCTTGTATTTTGGAATGTTTGGCTATCATACCCAATTCGTTTGATCACCTAGATTTTCCCTCTTCAGTTCTCAATTCGGAACTGCCTGCAGCGGCCTGCAAGCTCACAGCGATTTTGTTTTCTGCTCCGCGCGGATTATGTCAGCCATCTCAGAAACTTCAACTCAGCAAAGCACTCGAATACAAGCCGCTTTGTCTTTCGTGACTGTATAGCCCATCTACGCAACTCTGTTAGCCCATTCTAAGTTCAAGTCATCAACGTCATCCTTTACCAAACTTACGAGTATCTTTCTGATGGAGTTAGATCTTCCCTCTATTTTTTCACTCTTTCCGTCAGTGAGTAATAGCAGATCTACGTCTGAAATCAAAGCGGCGTATATCAACGTGGGCAGATAGGCTACTAGTACAGGCATGTGAACCATAAAAACCGGGAAAGTCGCTATACTAGCTATAGCTCTATTCGTTATTTGTAATCCAGTGAACACGAGGTGCGTAACATCTATTTAAACTGCCTTGCGCAAATAATAGAACCAGGGTTGGTGTATATATCTTGACGCTGGACCTTTTGACCCCCGTTCTCATCAAACCCCCACCCGTGTAATGTCCAAGCAGTCAACCGACGATCTTGTCGACCTCACAGAGCGTATCACGCGCACCTGTACTTTTTGTTTTACTGGAGGTGGGTTTGGTGACATCTGGCGCTGCACGCTACAAACCGGTGCGACATATGATGAGGTACGATTTCTCGCATTGATAACCAGCATACATCTCACATCTTTCTAGGTTGCAGTCAAAGCGATCAGATTTCAATCTGTAGAAGTCGGTCCATCACAGGAAAAGGTAATTTGAAACGTTACATTGCCGACTTATCTGCTTACTGGATTTGAAGGCGCTTCGACGTGAACTGGGAACATGGAAGAGACTCAAGCATACAAATATCTTGCCACTACTTGGCATAGCAACAGGTTTTAGCCCCTTCATATCTATGGTCTCACCCTGGTGCGAACATGGTTCGCTAGCAGTTTATCTCAATAAATACGAGAGTATTACTCTGTCTGATCGCCTCCGCCTAGTAAGCGCTCTACTTAATAACACACTCACCTATTTACCAATGCTTTGATATTTAGCTTCAAGACGTTGCATCAGGTCTCCATTATCGTGTGTACTCGATGCCTCCTCAGGTGTCTACGTCTTGCTAATATGTATATCCATGTTTGGCGCAGTACATCATGATGGTATCCCGGTGGTTCACGGTGACTTGACTCCAGTAAGACGGGTTATAGTCGATAGATTTGTTGATATATCATCATTTTACTCGCAGAACAACGTACTCCTGAACGACGACAAGAGGGCTGTCCTCACAGACTTTGGCTTATCGTCCGTGCTCGGGGATATCACGGGCTTTTCATATCTTCAATGGTCTTGTGCTCAACCAGGAGTAATTCGATACAGCGCCCCCGAGCTTCTGAGGGACCCTGACGCACCTGTCCAACCAGACATCCGAAGTGATATCTACTCATTTGGCTGTCTCGCGCTTAAAGTATGACTTCAATGTGTCCATAACTATTCGACATGCTGATATCAAGCTTCTGCCATCTAGGTCCTTTCGGGAAATGAACCTTGGGCTGATGTCAAACACTGGAGAACCATCCTCATCAAAGTGGCAGATGGACATTCACAACAGAGGCCTACCTGCAGTCCAGTTTTGGATGTACACTGGCAACTAATACAACGATGTTTCTTGCAACCTGGTGCTCGACCATCTACCCATCACATTCTGAAAATCCTTGAAGAATTACAGTCGGAAGGTATTCGTCAAATTGTGTCCTCGATAGTCGACTAACGCAATTTCTGGAGATCAAAAAGTCTCGCCTGTGAATCGATCGATCGACTTCAATCGAGATAGACCTACGGAATCTTCCAAGTACAAAGCATGTAATCTCTCTGTCCAGGCTCCTATGGAAATGCTTACTCCTGTTCATTCAGACTACTGCCAACATATCTCATTCGACACATGTTCGCGGAACAAATCATCATATAGCATCCACGTCGCTCAGCTCTATACCTAACATTCCTGACAAAGGGAAAGGCCCTGCACGCAAGTTTAGTTTGGATCTTTTCCGTCGCAAAAGCGTGCAGTCGGTAAGGATTGTACTACATACTCCACAATACGAAATACGAATAAAAAATTCGAAACAGAATGACACACCAGGCGCGAAGATCGAACAAGAAACTACGGGTCATTTGTGGGTTTTTTGTCAGTGTCTCATTCACTTGCACAACTTATAGTATCCTGCCAAAACCTAGCAATATTATTCCCACCCGTTCGTTGACGAGAGTAAAAGACTTTCACGTACCTCCAGGGGGACTTTGCAATACATTTCAGTGTATCTTGCAAGACAAGGCTTTCAAAAAGGAGAAGGTCAAGCAAATTTCTAATTATATTCTTTGTAGTATTGATAATTGTACAGGTCGCTGTCAAGTCCATCAAGGTACGAGACGACGATGAAACGACTATTGAGGAAACTCGAAAGGTCAGCCTCAGTCATGAAAGAAACACTTCAACACTAATCTCTATATATATTAGATTATCCTAGAGCAAGTGCGAGACTGGATGTCTCTCCGCCACGAAAATCTATTGCCTATCTACGGTACTACCACTGGGTTCGGCTCTAGCCTTCCATGTTTCGTTTCGCCTTGGATGAAGAGTGGATCCTTGACCAACTACCTAAGCGCCATGAATCAGCCTCTCCCAAGCTCTAAGAAATTTTTGCTTGTGCGTTTATTAGCCCGTCAAATAAAACTTCTTCTTACTTCACAACCCGCATCCAGCTATCTCGTGTCGCAGCTGGGCTCCACTTTCGTAAGTACTGAGATATCCCTCAAATCTCACACGCCTCATTGGTTTCATCGATAGTTCATAGCAATGTCATAATACACGGCAATCTCAGTAGTGTCAATTTATTCTCATTCATTTTGGTGGAGTCTGCTGATAGCCGAAGTAGAATAATGTTCTCATTGATGATCGCTGTAATGTCCGTCTCGCGGACTATGGGCTATCTTCAGTCGTATCCGCGTGTGGCGAACTCTTTCAGTCCTACCATTGCGGTGCTTTGCGCTGGACGGCCCCGGAACTCATCAGCGACGACGATCAGGATGGCAACGAGTACAGCGACATCTATTCTTTCGGATGCATCATGCTTCATGTATGCTAAGTTGATATATCACTCTTACTTTAACACTTCAGCTAATGTCTTTTAGGTGCTCTCCGGAAAGTTACCGTACTGGTGGCTGGACGATGTTCTGCGCGTACTTTCTGCGCGACACAATGGCGTGAATCCAGTTCGTTGCGGGACGGAGGTGCATGAGGGACATGTGAAATTCGTCCAGCATTGCTTGTCAATTTCTCCTGCGGACCGACCAACAATGGAGAACATAAACAGTTTTATTGCCAGGTTCATTGTAAAGTAGATCCCACTCAGGTTGATAGTCCCACACAACCAAATGTTAATCAGACTACTTTCAATGGCTACCGATGTTTCATGCTCTCTCGGAGTTCTGGATTTCAGAACTGATCTTTTTGCTCATGATCGACCATATACTGCATCAACTCGTGTATGCTTATTTTCAAGAGCAAACGAGAAAGATAGTGCAAATAGTGTACAAATTGTCGGCTTTTGTAGTGGAATAACATGATAAAAAGTAACGACCGAAGGCCACCGCTTGTCATCTGCAGATATATATGTTAGACGTGATCCAGTCACTGAGTACAAGGTCCATTAGAGAGCCGCACCAGCAGCATAACCTGAGTCCCACGACCGAGATTTAGCTCGCTCTCCCTCACGCCACTGACTCTCAAAGTAAATGAAGGTGACAACAATATCATCCAAGATGTCTACTGCTTCTGGTGATATAAGAAGCGCAGCAGACTCCTTGCGCCTGAACAAAGCCTGCGTAAGCGTAGTGACAAAAGTGGCGATGCATGCCTGTGAACGAGCGACCTTTAATGGCACGAGCTGTTCATATACCATTGATCAATATCGACTGATGGGTTTACGTGCCGCACAACAACATAGACACTCACTTGCGCTCGACACTCGCGAATCTGCCATTCATACCACTCGCCGTGGATGCCCTGAAACTTCTCAGGACTGCTCGGAAATCCTTCAGCGCTGAATATTTAGTTTCACTAAGTAAGTTTCTTACGATGTATATAGTCCCGTCTTTATCATCTCGATTGTCCTAGACCCCACCAGCACTGCGGGCTGGTCATTGGGGTTGGCTGGCCACTCAATGATGCCCACGTGGAGAGATTCTCCAACAACGTTTTTCCGAACGGTCGTGGTTGCTTTACTTCCACAGAAGGGTTGATTACGTGTGACTGTGTCAGAGGTGTAGTGTATGGCACGCTCTGGGCAAGAGAACGTGGTCTGGAGTGGAGTATTTTTTGCTAAAGATAGGCGAAGGGTCATAATCACCAGGGGATTTGAAAAATCGTGCTCCTGTAGGTGTACTGTCCTCCTAAGGAGGTATCAGAACATATAAGGGTGTCCGTGACTTACCGTCGACTACCCACAGCTTCAATTTCGGACTTCGAGAGGCAATGCACGAACTAGAGGGCAGAGCAACGCCCGGCGCTCTAATTATGACTCAGAGCATATAAGAAGGCACCAGCAGCAAAAAAATATACCCACCCCATAGTGTCAGGTACATAACGAGCTGTCATCTATACTCACAGCTAGTATTATGTAATATGCACTACAGCATTCGCTGAGTTTGAAATCATAAGACTCACTCGTCAGGCCGCGGAACCGTATAATTCAAAATCCATGTAAACATCAAATGCAACAAAGGCCTTTGTTCTTGAACCAAGATTCTCACAGCGATGATTAGCTCAGAGTCCAAGAAACCAACTGTGTCTTTCGACAAAAAGTCAGGTCCTAGGGTCTTGCCTCCAATCTTTCCTCCGTTTCCGGCAGTGCCACACGGTGTCACCATAATTCCTTTCAAAGATTTTACGCCGTACGGCTACAAACGCCTTAGAACAGAAACTGGAGAAGAGATCGAAGTTGATGCTCTTGGTGGCTTGCCTACCGTGAAGGTTCTCTCTGAAGAAGAGGTCATTCAGAGAAATAAAGACAGAAGACGGCGCAGAAATGCAGGACAGAGCGCGGATGCTACAGGAAGAATCGTGCCTTGGTGGGAGGAATGGGAAGAGGGTGAAAATTCGCGTACCACGAGCGAGCCAATGGAACTGTACTTATCTCCTCTTCCTGTTCACATATGACATAACTAACTCTCAGATATCTAGGCAGAAAAGCCTCATCGATCGGATCCACCAAGCAGCGGATGATTTCCGGATTGGCCGTACATGGCCACCGATATCTTCAGGAGTCAGATCATTATGGGATCATGTACAGAATTTCTTTTGTCATTTGAGCGTTCTGATTCGTTTCTGCTGCAGTTTCGTTTATACATCGGCCTTCTGTCTACCTTGCCGATCTACCGCAAAGTCAGGAAGTCTAAGGGCAATACGGACATGACTTGTGAAGGTGGTGACGCCTCGGATAACGATGATGCTCCAAAAGCAAGACAAATAAACCCCAATATTATTCAAGATCCACTGGAACAGATCGCCCATCCAGGCAAACAGCTGGAGCCAACGGAAGGAGAGGCAGATGTCACGGCTCGTTTACTTGAAACTTTCCTTGAAGACATGGAAAAGTCTATCAAGGTCTTCATGTCTTCGTACATGCGGGATAAAGGTTTAATCTGGCAAGTTTATCTACTTCCTTGCTTATTGTCTGGCATTCATGGTTTCTGCAGGTCAGAACGCAACCTTTTCATTGCACCCACAGTACTCCACTTTTTCCTTCGTTTCATGCAGCGGAACGGGGTTTTCGCTGGTTTTGAGACTCACACCGAAAATTTAAACCGCGCGGTAGTTGTTGCCGAGCTCGCTATCAGGGAGCTCCCTCTGACGGCTAGGGTTGCGCGAGTTTTGCCGGGTATGTTCGATGCTGCGTGCAAGGAGTGCTGGGGATACAAAGGAAGCCTCAGCATGTGCATCTCCACCACTCTTGACTCGGAGGATGGATGTACTGGCACTGATACACCTCCTTCGTCTACTGTTGGCACATTTGAGGAGGCGCTCAAAGCTGATCATGCTGAAATCGTATCTTCGGACGTTGTCCTTGATTCGTTAATGGCCAAGGAGGTTTTGGATGATACCCTCGGCTCTGGTGATGCCGTGAATGTTTCTCCTCCGGCGAATGACCCCTGGGCTGCAGCTATCACTGCGGAGCAGAACACTACGGTATCGTGGACTGATGTCAAAGTTGACTCACTGTTTACCTTCCTTGGCCCAACTCAATTGCCTTTGACGCATACCGTTGGTATCGTCGAGTTCTCCACGCGCAAAGTCAAAAAAATAATGCTGCCAGAAGCTATCAATTCAATTCCAGATTCTCCCCCAATAGCAATTGAGCAGGAGCTAGGAAATCGCTTCGCTCGTGTCGTGCTGGAACCTTGGGTTCGCACCCCAACAGATGAGCTTCTTGATATCGCGAGACCTGTCATCGTGTCATCCAGTCGCGGAGCCGTCATCAAGGACCCATTCGCGGACAATACTGATGTATCTGATACCCACTACCCTTCTGATACATACAACCCCTGCCATGACGACCTGACTATACTCATCGACCCAGCGTCCGTAGATTGCTTCCACGTCGGCCTTGGCTTGTGCGGCACATGGGTCCAAATGGCTCGTTGTGAAGATGTGGAGAGTTCTATCGTTCCTATTGACCAAGGTACTCCGCGTGTCAGCAAGCATCCTCGCGATTGCTTCTGGTATCTAGAGGCCGTTGTATCTATCTTCCCCAGCTTTTACACGGAGTCGGAGGTGGAGATTGACCTTGGCCAGACAACCGACAATGATGACCTCTAGGTCGCAATTCTGCAGCTTTTTGGTATACCGGTATAGGAAGAGATCACCATTGTATGTTTTATTACCATAGATATTTCTCATCACGATTAATATGCTTTATTTCATCTTGCTGAACTAGTTTTACACGTTGGTAGCCGAACTTTCATACATACAAAGGTATTAGTTATTGAAGTTCGCGCCATACAATGTGTATTATTTGTGTATATCCAGCCTCATCGTTTCGACAAGAAAACAACTGTACTGAGAGCACAAATAGAGATACAAGTACACTTAGGGGTAAGTACATAGTATTGTATTGTATTACGCTTATCAGTTATGAGCACGATCGAGGGAGTTCACACATGACCTGGTGCAGTTGAGTGTGGATGTGGATGAGTGTGGATTTGCGAGTGAGATGTGTGGCAGCGTTTGAGTTTTGAGTTGAGTTGAGTTGAGTTTGACAATCATGAAGCATTTCAAATTTCTTCGTTTGCAAGTGGCAGGATAGGTAGGTAGGTAGGTTAGGTTATCACTTCCTAGTACTACAAGCAGATCTCCAGAATCGTCAGAATCATCATATTCATCATATTCATCATATTTTTGTGTCTGTGCGTGTCCACCAGCCCCCCAAATATGATGATTTGTCGTCTTTCAAGGAATCATCATTAGGGTTAGGTACAGGTTAGGTATCACCGAACCCTAACCACAATGCGGGGTTCCGAATTTCGAGCTCAGCTTGTTGATTTATACACTTTCGGGTAATGCTTTACTTCCTTTGAATCCTTACCACCACCATGTCTTTTGCAGACGCTACGCGACGAAGTCGGTCTGCTGGAGCAAATGCTGAGGACACCTTATTCGTGAAAGGCGGTTGTCCCGTGGCCTTCTTCTTCCATCCGAGTGTTAGGGAAGGACGCGATGTACTCGAACATGAGATCACGGTACTATTTTGTTTAATGTAGAAACATCTAGTTGCTGATTTCATTTAATTGTTGTAGACACACGGTGGTAGTGTATGCGAGGATGAGCGACGAGCCAACGTGATTTTAGTCGATGAAGAAGCTGACATCGAGCATATCCGCCGGCGTTACTACCGCTCAGATGTCCTCTGGCAGAAGCGCGTTCATATCGAGTATAGGGATTTTGTCCTTAAATGCATCAGGGATCGAAAATATGAACACCGTCCGCCAGCAAGGAAGGGTATGCCCGGTGCTCCAGTTGGGCGCGTGTATGACATTTCGCGTCTACTCATATGTCTCGTTTGCTAATGCACTCATCAGACGCGTACCATTTACCGCAGAAGATGATGATCATCTCGCCTTTTACATTGCAACCGCCTATCCTAATCCTGCTAATGGGGGACGCAGCGGGAATTTGGTGTACCAGCAGTTGACAGAGCAATTGGTGCGTGAATCAATCTTAAGCAATACATATCTTAATTCACAAGAATGCTCTTCCAAGGCTGATGAACCGGAATTTATATACTGGGCAAAAAGGCACACATGGCAATCCTGGCGCGAGCGCTACAGAATGAATCGTGTTCGTTTTGATCCTATGATTGCCGAATATGCGGCGCAGCTCAAAAGCGTGGGCCATGGGTTCGGTCACGATCCACGCTCGCGTCTCTATAGGAGAGAGGAGGAGGAGGAGGAGGAGAGCGATGAGGAAGTGGAACAACATGCAGAGGGTGGCGCAGGACCTGATAACTTGGCCAACAGGGTGTGCAGCAGCGTTCCACAAGTCTCTCGCAACCAGGTTCAAGACAGCGACATGCCCGATCATGAACCTGGCCTTGCACAGCCTCAATTGCGTAGGCGGCGTCGCGATGATTCTGATACGTCTCAGCGTGCAAGTTCCCGAGAGGAGTCGCCTCAAAAGCGACAGCGTGTGGCCAGTCCAGCTACACCATCAGGACCTCGCACCTCCGTTATGGAGAAAGGACGACGGGGAGATGGTCATGGCGGTCCTGGCCGAATGTCAAATGAGAACAATGGACTATCACCGGAAGAGAGACATCACGAGCCTCTCGCGCGGGGGGCGCTCGATGGCGCGATTAGTTTTGACAATAATCAAATGCCCGAGTAAGTTTTATTTTTGTGCAATGTATCACAACTACTTAGCTAGTTATTTATTATGGGCAGATTCGACGCGTTACCAGTGCCGCGATCACCTGAGCATGGCGTTCCAGCAACTCAGTCTGATGAACCATTGACTACGCAGCAAACCCTAGTCAATTCACCCACCGACATACGATCCAGACAGGTTCCAAGTGCTCGAGTTACCACTGTGGTTCAAACGGCGTCGACGAGCTCACAGGCTATTTCAATTGCACAGCCCCTGCGAGCTGCACGAAGGCCACCTTCACACCGTGGACGAGTCCAGCGAGAACAGAAGCCTGCTGCCGGCACTGAAATTCATTCACGGATTAAACGGACGTCGAGCAAATCTCGCAGTAATCAACCTGCTGTGACCGCTTCTGACGCACCGTATCGCCACACTCGGGCGAGATCGCAGTCAATTGACTTGCCTTCACAACCTGCACCAGCATCGAAGCGCCAGAGAGTGGTCTCGGCGAAGGGGAAAGGGAAAATGAAAGAACCGGAGCTGGAGGAGGTTCTTGAAGATGATTCCGAACGGAATGCAAGTCAAGGACCACATACTCCAAATCGCTGTCTGGAGGCCGACACATTCCAAGAGCAGCAGGATGTGGAAGACCACCTTCTGAAGGGAGGGAGTAGTCTCATCGATAGTGAACAATCTGACAGTGAGGCTTCTCACGAACAACAAGAATTTACAGTGGACTCCTCATCTGAAGATCCTTCCGACTCTGATGATGCAGCCACGCATGAGAATCTCGAGCGTAGTGGACAGCGGCTTACTAGGATGGCAGCAGCTGGTTTCCGCAGTCGTCTTCCGAATACCTCAGTGTTGTTAGCCTCGAACAAGGCCCGAGTAACCACAAGATCATCTGCAATTCGAATCACACGCCACGCGGCCCAAGCTCCTCCCTTCCCTTCTCCAGGCACCACCAAGACGATTAAGAGGAGAGGGAATTAACCTTAGTCATTAATCAACCCTGTCCATAAATCACTTAGAATCATTAAGCCTAATCAATTGATACCATGTGCGCACGGACCATCCGGAGTTACTGGATCCGGAGTGCTTGATTGACTGTTTGTTGCTCTCCACATTCCTCGTCAGCAAGCACGAAGACGAGCTCGTTCGTTTTTGCCTCACTTTTACATCCTTCCCAAAGTTTCCTTGTTGATCGTGCGGTGTCCCGTAAACCCAATTGCTTTTGAAGAAGATGACTAACACATCCGCAGGATTCAAGCGGTCTTGGGAGGGTCACGCAGCCGAATCTCGCTCGCACAAGAGACACAGAGACGAACCTAGAGACTGGCGGGATGTACACCTAAAGTCTCCCACAGATAAGCGTAGCAAATCTAGCAGTAGCAGACGAGACAGTGTTGATAAGCGGGAGCCTAGACGGTCCAGAGAAGACTCGAGGAGGCCTAGCGATTCTCGAGACTGGGACAGAAACAAAGATAGGCGCGACGACCGTGATAGGGATCGTGACCGTGAACGAGGCCGTGATCGCGACAGAGAACATCGCCGTAGAGAAGACAATCGAAAAGATGAATATCGTCGTCGAAGTCCACCTCGGAATCGCCGTTCACCTGCACCATCCAATGGACATTCTTATCAAGCCAAGGACTACTCGGACAAAGAAGAAGGCGAGTAAGTATCAAAGCATCCAAATGTACGAATACCCTTTCACACCACTTTCTTTTGTCAAGAATTTCTCCTGCACGTAGCGCCCGTGCGGCATCTCTGACTCCATCCACACAAACTCCATCAGAGGCTGCTCATATTCAGAAACCGGTACAACCTCCTACTCCTCCACAACCTGATGCGGAACTTGATCTCGAGATCGATACAGCCGCTGCAGAGGCAGCCGCTCGAGCCGCTCGCCGTGCCAGGCGTCAAGCCATTTTAGCCAGGGATTCCGGGGTAGCCAGTGCTAATAAGAGCTTCAGCCCCAGCCCTGGGCCTAGTAGTGCGGTCCAACCGCAACCTGTTGCATCTGTGTCTGATACACCTCAGCCCCACAGTGCTGTCGATACTTCCGCAAGTTCAGCAGCCGACACCTTCAAAGCGAGGCATGATTCAATGAGTAAGCTTCTCTATATATATATATATATATATCGCCTGGATTAATGTGTTGTATCATGCAGGCAAACGAGATTCTGCATCTCCACAACCAGATGATAGTATATTTGAGCTTGCCAAGGACGATGAAGATGAAGATCTCCGTGCGAAAATGCAAGATGGTGCACCAGATCAGATATCTGCTGCCGACTATGATCCCAGCCTAGATCGCCGAGAGGATGAACAAAGGCGAGTCCTTAAAGACGAACCCATGAATGTAGAAACTATTGAGGAGGAAGAGGAAGAAGAAGAGGAGGAGGATGATGTCGATGACATGTTCGCAGCAGCTGTAACCGAGAAGAAGCGAAAGAAGGTCAAGAAAGTTGTTGTATGCTCTCATTACTTTGTCTATCAACGATGCCTGACCTTGTATGCAGAAAAAGGCAGCACCCGCCCTTATCACGACGACGTTAGACTCTGCTTCGGATCATGAGGGTTATTACCAAGTTATCCTTGGTGAGCAACTTGATGGTGGTCGGTACCAAGTCTTCTCTTCTCTTGGAAAGGGAATGTTTGCCAATGTTGTCCGGGCACGCGTTCTTCAAGATGCGGAAACAGGCAAAGAGGTGGCCATTAAAATTATCAGGAGTCAGGAATCTATGTTCGTACATTTTCGCTATATGTGCTTCTGAGGATGCTAAAGCAACTTCTAGGCATCGCGCTGGTCTGAAGGAAGTACAGATATTGAACAAGTTAAAACAGGCTGACCCAGAAGACAAAAAGCACATTGTGCGGCTAGAGAGAACTTTTGAACACCGTGGACACCTTTGTCTTGTGTTTGAGTCCATGAGGTTGGGGGTTTTTTTTTTATTCCACTTCGGTATTTGACAAAAAATTCTCTAGCATGAACCTTCGGGATGTTGTGAAGCGCTTTGGAAAGGATGTCGGCCTGAATATCAAGGCCGTTAGAGCTTATGCACACCAGCTTTTCCTTGCATTGAGTCTTCTCAAGAAAGTCAACATCATGCATGCGGACATCAAGCCTGACAACATATTGGTGAAATTCAATTTAGCTCTGGCAGCTGTCGATTCACTAACGACAAATTCAGGTTAATGAACAAAAGACGTTATTGAAGCTGTGCGACTTAGGCTCAGCATCGGATGCATCGGAAAATGACATCACCCCATATCTTGTTAGTCGGTTTTACCGTGCGCCTGAAATCAGTACGTTGCTTATACTACTGTCGAAGTTAAAAACTAACGTCATCTTGCTTAGTCCTCGGAGTCCCGTATGATCTAGCCCTCGATATCTGGTCCATCGGGTGCACGCTGTATGAACTATACACGGGGAAAATCCTTTTCCCTGGCCGGTCAAACAATCACATGCTTCTACTCATGATGGAGCTCAAGGGGAGGTTTAACACTAAAATGATCAAGAAGGCGAAGTTCGGAGAAATGTATTTTGATGAAATGGGTGGGTTTGAGAGCGTAGAGACGGACCGTGTTACTGGTGCCGTGAGTCAATGTGATCCCTTATCTAATTTTTTGTGTCAGCTGATTGTTCTATCCAGAATGTTGTCCGCAAGGTTCACATCTCCAAACCTAGCCGTGACCTCCGCGCCCGTCTCATGCCACCTGCATCGGTCAAGATGAAGGATGACGAGATGAAGTTGCTCACCTCATTCATCGATTTGTTGGACAAGTGCATGGCACTTGATCCAGCAAGGCGGATTACTCCCAAGGAAGCATTAATTCATCCATTCATCAGGGGATAGGATTGCCATGAGTATCTTATCTCGGGTCTGTACTATGTTGTTCCCGTGGCGTGTATTTATATTCCTCTTGTTGTTCTCATCAGTATAAATTGCACCTCTGACATGTCTGCTGGCCCAGGTGTGACAAGGTATGATGATAAGGGGATCTCATCGCTCCATGCGTAAACGAGGGGTATATATACTTATCAATGTGTAGATACTTCTCCAATCACGCGGCAACAGTCATGACATCTCGTTCGAAACGTACGTTCTCTCGGAAGGGTGGAGAGCGATGAGGTGATTGCTGATATTAAGCCTGCGGACAGTCGGAGCGCTCCCTACATTCGATGAACTGCCAAGTTTTCATGATTTCAAGGGATGCGCATGGGACGTATGGGGCAAGGATGATGAGCTAGGCACGATTAACCTACTCACTCCCGAGGTAGTGGCACGAGCTGCTCAGGAGGAGATTCGGTGCGTTTATCTCACAAGAGACGAAGTGATATGATTACCAATAATGTGTCTTGTTGTCAATGATAGTCTGGGGCGTACAGTTTCATTGAACTGGTGCGAGTAATACGGCTTCCGCGTAAAAACTGAAATGTTCAGGGCCTTACAATACTACTAACCAGGCCAATCCACTTCCCCTCGAGGGTAAGCGGATGATCGCCGCGTTTCGTTCAGTTTTAATTGATCTTCGCTTGCAAGCCCGTTTTCGAGCGTAAGATCCCTTCCATCACTACCTTCGCGAAGTACGGCTCCACCGTACCTATCCGGGATGACATTATCCATATAGTATGTCCCCTTCATGCCCGATTGATGAATAGAACTTCACTTACCTAAATTTGCAGAACACACAATCAGGTTCCCAGTGGGACGGTTTGAAGCACTATGGGTTAACAGAACACAATGTGTTCTACAACAAGTATATTGATTTGGTACATCGAGGGCTTCGACAGAACTCACGGATTTCGCTAGCACTCCCGCCGAAATCCTCTCTGAGGGCGAAATGGAATTACACGATCCGAGTGAGATCGACCATTCGAAAGTTAAACTTGGGATACACAGTTTGTCTACAATTCGCTACGCCGTATACTATGACTGAGTACTACTTCTAGACTGGGCTAATCATGGCATAAGCGGCCGCGGCGTTCTCCTGGATGTGGTAAGGTATTACACGGCCAATGGCGAAGCCCTACCTTACGATCCCTGGACGAGCCATCCAATCACTGTTGCCGAATTAGAGGCTATCGCGAAGAAACAAGGGGTTGAGTTCCGACAAGGCGACATTCTTCTCTTGCGCGTCGGGTTCATCCAAAAATACTATGCGAGCACTAATGAAGCAAAGGCCGATTTGAGAGGTGGCTCAGAAAAGGAAACATTGTATGCAACCCCATCCATATCCTGACGCCCCTTTCGCTTAACGAAACAAAATTTAGCGCTGGAATAGAACAAAGTGAAGATATGAAACGATTCCTCTGGTATTTTATTATCAGATTATTACCAAATGATGACCTGATTGTGCCTGCAGGAATAATCATTTTGCTGCTATCGCATCTGACCAGCCATCTTTGGAGGTGCGTATTCCCCGCGGGTACTATCGTAACTCTGATCAGTTAATTGCGTCTTAATAGCGCTGGCCTGCGCCAATGGGAACACAACTTCACCAGGTCAGTATAGGTATCAGCCACTAGCATTATCATTGAATTCCTACGATCTTGCAGACAATTCTCGGGTAAGTCTCAGCCCTTCCCAATATGTTTTCACCCCTGACAATGAGTGATGTAAGCCTATATGGAATGCCTATTGGTCTGTATTTCAAAACAATCTTCTACGTCAAAAAATAATCTTAGTTTCACCAAACAGGCGAATTCTTTGATCTTGAGGCTCTCTCTAAATTGTGCCAAGAGACGGGTCGCTATACGTTCTTTTTCACGTCCTGGCCTTTGAACATGTCAGTTGATTTCCCTTCTGTATGGAGCTGTCTCAAATTCTTTGTTCAGTCTGGGCGGCGCCGCGAGCCCCCCCAACGCTGCCGTGAGCATCCCTCATAGACATGCCCTGTCACGCTAATGATTCTTTATAGGCATATTTCTGAGCTGTCCTTACTTGACACGAGTTCCTGGTAGCGCTCATGTGAGTCGACTGAGGTGTAAGTTTGTGAAAGTCGAGACGTCAATCGAACATGGTTGTGGTTATATGAATTGTAGCTGTCACTGAACGACGAAGGGTTGCGATTGACCCTATGCAATGTATCTTTGTAGAGACATTACCTTGCTAATCCAATCATGTCCACGAAAACTAAATCTTCACAATCCTCAGGAACGTATAATTACAACGTGATATTTGTATGATAGTGGCACACCTGTTTGTTTGTACTTGAGAGCGTTTCATATCGTCATGATCAATAGTATACTTAGAATAATCCTACGCGGAAGGACGCCATGTATAGAACCAAGGGTACGGCATCAACCAGAACAAAATCATACAGCCAGGCTATGCCGTCTGCCGTCATCATCTTCAAGCGCACGACGGACAGCACTTTGGTGTGCGCTCCGTCGACGCCCCTCCATGTTGACCCAACCATTGATGTTCCCGTATTCGGCATCAGCTTGTGCGCCTTCGCTTTCGTCGTCGTCAACTTCGACGTGAGGGCGTGACTTCTTCCTTTTCACGACAGTATTTGGAGTGGCTGAGGATGACGAACTCGTGCCCGATGAAGAACGAGCAACAGGGATTGAAGACTTAGATTGTGAAAAGCCTTCTGAGGATGGTCCATGCTCGGGGTCATCATTTTGAACACTAGTTGTAGATGATCTCTTCTTCAGCCCTAAAGCAGTTGCAGGCTGCATCAGTGGACCATCAGGCTTCCGCATTTTTCTAGTGGTTGAACCATCAGTCATAGCAAACTTTTACAAGGGGTGGGACTCACGTGTTGAGCTTGGGCTCAGCGTAGTTAACACTTTTCCGTGTACGACGTTCGCGCCCTCCCACAGGTGCTTCTTCAGAAGTAGAAGCACATGGCGGAGGACTAGAAGATATTGGAGGTGTCAGCAACTGCGAGATCTGAGATGTTGTTGTAGGAGTGGTGGCTGGCGTCGACAAGAAGCTCCGCGTTGTTGCCAGCGAGGTGACTCCGGATATTGGCGTTGTTCCATCCGTATCAGGGGTGTGCTGTCGATCCCGATCTGCAAATCGATCAGTCAGAGAAGACACGATCGCATGCATTCGCATTTCGCGTTGCCGAAACGCGCGCCATACCTGAAGCATTAGTGTTTAACGGTGGTAACATAGCACGGCTTCTGGGTGAGTTGGTGACATCCTTAAGGCCCGAGTGGTCCTCGCGTCTTCGTCGCTTCCTCTCCTGCACTCGTGAGGAAGTAGCAACCTCACCCTCTTCTGATGGTAGTTCTCGTTCAACCTGTTTCATTTTTTTCTCCTTCTCTTTCTTTGCCGGTGGTACGTAACCTGAATCATTATCCTGAGCTGGTTGTAGTTCCGATTTCCTGATAGCTTCTTGTTCTTCATCATCCTCAGCCAAACCAGCCTCCCTACGAGCAGGAGACCCGAAGGCGGGGCTAGCAGCTCTCGGTGGAATTATCCTATCACCACCCGTACTTACACTGAGGAGCCCCCCCTCCCTCCTCCCCGCTTTCCTCTTGCTTGACGACCCTCGTTCCTCTGCTGAAACTTGCGGTGGCGTTGGTAGTGGCGGAGGCGAGGAAACCCGGGCAGGTAATGGCAGGCGAGATGCTGCAAGTCTTGACTTGTTTTTTCGCCGAATAGTAGGACTAGGTATACGCTCTGCCTCCTCTTCATCTTCTTCCGGAGAAGAAGCAAATTCTTCGTCTTCATGTATGCCCGGTACGTTGGGCGCACGCGCAAGTTTGGGCATTTGTGGTGACGCATTGGTATTCATGAACGGTCGACGAGCTCTAGATGCTGGCCTTTCCTTGGCGGGAGAGGGCACCCCGGGGGCAATACCAAGTGACTGCCGCAAAAATGTCAGATGTTTGACCAAATTAGCAGTCTAGCTGGATCTCAGCGACAGCAGGTGGGTCCTCGGGGTATGAAACACTCACCGCGGCATCTGCATCAGCCATTATTTTCCTAGATTTTTCCTGTTCTTTCTTCAGTTGTGTCGCAAGCGCAATTTCGGATGCTCGCAGTCGGAGGTTCTCGACGTATAAGGTGGATATTTGAGCGTTAAGCTCTTCGATGCGGACGCTGAGAGTCGAATTAAGTCTGGTATCACAGAGTAAGTTGTTTCTGGATTATGTTGAGCTTGACAGGGCAACATACTTGGTGATGTGCTTATTGGCAAGCAAGAATTTCTTCTTAACTGAATGCCACAGACGTCAGTCGGACCCAGGGCGACATAAATGACATACAGTTTTCAAATTCACTGAGAGCATCGTTCTGACGGACATTAAGAGAAAGGCGTGAGTCTCGCCTGCTCATCGTGGGCGTCGACGAGGACAAGCTCTGTGGCTGTCCCGGTCGTGGTCGTAGTTGGGTCCAACACGCGCTGTTATCGAACAATACTGTATCCACGTGATCAAGACGCGTCCCCAATATGGAAGTTCGGTATCTTACCCTGCCTCAAGGCAATGATGGGCAAATTCTTCCCTTCAACCTTCCTTCTAGGGCCCAGACTCCAATTAAAACCATCTTTTATTCCTAGTAAAGCAACAAGTCGCGACTAAAATACACAAGAAGTGGAGTACAGCTAGTCAGCAGCTTGCACGTTCGCGGGTATTGCCTGAGGCTATGTAGTGATAATCACTGTTCCTGACTGGCTTCCAGTTCTTCCACTGACGGCACATCGCGCAACCATCCACCAAAATCAACATCCTTCTCTAATAATTCGCTAACACGGTCAACATGTCTTTCCACATCAAACTGTGAACGGTAACCCCCTCCTAGGACGCTACCACTCATCCCATTGTGGCACGAACCTCTAGTCTGGGTAGAGGTAAACTGCGGGAGAAATGCGTTTGGATTTTGAGCGAATGACCGCATTGGGCTGACAGGTGAGTGAAGAAGGAGGTTGTGATTGGACGTAGGGGAATCAGACGACCCCGAACCCGGGGTTGAGAAGTAAGACTTTACAGACGAAGGGTTTTCCTTGGCAGGCTCACTCTCGGGGCAAATAATATTTTGCAAAGAAGGCCCCAAGTTTGTCTTCCGTTGAGGGGTGGCTGCCAGCAACTCAGTGAGAGTGGAAAGCCTACCTTCACCATGAGGGGAAGCTGGAATGACTGCACGTTTCGACGCTACCTCTGGCACATTTGCCGGTTGTGTCGATGGCTGAGAGCAGAAAGCTGGATTTTCTCCACAGGGGGACCGTATTCGTTGCTTCTTCGAAGTGGAAGACACCATATCATGTAAAGGAGACGGTGATAGAGGGCGTTTGTTTGTTTGTCGCCCATCGGAATGTATCGGAAACGAAGGGGATATGTCAACTGTATAAGGGTGTTCGCCGATATGATTAGGATCGCCATCCCTGGGAGTTGACGGATGTGAAATAGACGATGATGAACACACAGGGTAAATCGGCGGGGGCTTTGTCCGGACAGGCACCACAGCGTCATGTCGTGGTTGCGGCGTTGAAGTTTCAAGCTGTGATGGGAAGGATGGAGGAATATATGGCTAAAGGTTAGGTAAAGTAGAGGCTTATGAGTGCGATAAGAAGGAAATATCCGACTTTCGCACTCACCGTTTCCGGAAAGTCTGTAATCTTAGGTAAATCTCCATGCAAGGACCTCGACGGGGTCTTGAAGCTAGCTTTTTCTGGCACATCACCGCTGGCTTCCGCTGGTAATTTGGAGCCGCTAGCGGTAAAGCCACCTTTTAGATCTCCGTGGACCCGAAAATTAGGGGAAGGATGTCTATCTGAGCGTCCCTTGTTGCTCTTCTTATCCGTCACAGTTGCGACATTGCGCTTTACGACCGGGAAACCGAGCGACGAGGATTGGCTTTTATCTTTCAACATCGTTAGCTTCATCCCCGACTTGGAGGCACCCATGAACGCTGGAGTAGTGGATACAGTCTTTTCGGCAACCGAGGCGCCTTCAGGTGCGGATATCGTCGCTTGCCACTTTGCCACCTTCTCCTTGACATTCCTCATGGTTTTGGGCGAGACCGTTGCTAGCGCTTCTACTGGCGGCTGATAGGCTGCAAGGTTTGATCCGTGGAATGGCGCAACTGCTGTTATCGACAGGTTACCAGGATGTCGAGATTGCTTGGCATTCCCTTTTGACGTCCTCGACTCCGCCCTATCTTTTTCTAGCTTCAACCATGTTTCTTCGTCATCTGGTAGTATCCATTCCACGTTTTCAGCTGGATTCCAGCGTTGGTTTAACCCATTCATACGATATCGTCCCCTGACACAGCCCATCTTCAACTTCGCGCTGACCTGAGTCCATTTCCCGTCCCCTGTGTCTCCTCTTGCAGCGTCAACTGCCTCGAGGACAGAATGTTTCAGATTTTCAACGTTTTTTTCGAACGAGGGAGAACTGGGTCTTGAAGAGGGTGCCAGTACCTCCGGTTTGGTGGCAAGAAAAAGGTGTATGTCGCGTAGAATCTCGGTAGTGGACCAATGATTGAGTTTATTGGATGAAGACGCGCCCTTGCGCCTTGTTGGTCGGCGTTCGAGAGACGGTGGGAATACTGGTGTATAAAGCGACATTGCTACTATAAAGCACGGTCAAACTGAGTGTTCTGATTGATGTTAGTGAGACTGATTCGGGTTCGTAACGGAATTATCACAAACTAATGAGTGCGCCTAGACTAGAAGCATTTAGAAAGAGACCAGACTGATTTCCCCGTGAATCTTTGCCAGTCGGTGTTGAATAGTTGTGGCGTGCAGGTTAGCAAATCTCAAAACAAGTTGGACTCTTGGAGGCGGCACGGCAAGCGCAAGGTGAACCACGCACAGCGGACTTTGAAAATCAATACCATGGTGCACTCACCATGACAGGGCCACAAGCCCACAACCACCACAGTCAGGCGACTCAGACCGTAGCCGTCTTTCAAATCATAATTCTTCAGGATCAAGCCCATCAGCACAGGCAAGCACGTATCTGCTCGTGAGCACTGCTCACGCTGAAAATATCTCACCGCCCCCACATACTCACGGCAGTTTGCTTTCATCACTAGCGTTGCCTCGCAATTATTTATGATGTTTGTGGACAGTGCCACATCAAACACGCTATGATTCATTGTGAGCTTTACAGCTCTCACACCTTACCGCCTCACTATACTGGAACAAGCGTGTCAGTAGGAAATGGAACTTGTAATTAATAATATTCATGATTCCTCCAACGTATCCTCGAATTATTGTTCAAGGATGCTAATTGACGCCACCGCCACAGTGGCGCACCGATTAATGCAAGTCCCGCGACTCATCTCAGTTTATCCTATACACCCACAGGTAGGTCACCCTTGGCAGCGTGTCCAAGAGCTCGATATATCGACTTCTCCGAGGTTACGACTTCTTGTACTGACCCTGATCCAATCTATTCACCTTGACATTAGCGGAGCTCGTTATCCACGAGATAATTCGTTGATCATCCAGATTATCTCCAGCGTATGTGGTACTCTTAAGTCAAAATTTAATTTTTCATCCCAAGACAATGGAACGAACGCTGACATGACAAGCGTGACATTGGTGGGTGTAGGTGCCTGAGTTGTGGAGTTAGGTTTCTGTAACTCTTCAAGCTTCACCACCTACCAAAGGATGACTGTTGTTAGGTAAGACTACGATTGGCGACGGAATCGTACCTCGAATATGTCTACATGCGCCATGCCCGGTTCGTCCTCGGGGCTCAAACTCAGCTCAACTGTATATTATTTTAACATTCTGTGGGTAAATCCAGGGTTTAAAAACACCCCCCTCGGTTCTAGGCATGCACTGGAATAGAGTCCTGAAGGTCTTTCTCAACGATGTTTTCGTGTGAAATTGAAACAAGGCTGCATAACTGCGCAGCGCAGTCAACATTGACGCCCACAAGGTTGTCCCAGCAATATTGTCCCCTGTGTTCTCACTCTCACTCTCACTTGGACAATCACTCAGTTGAACTAAAGATGTTATTTATGTTTACATCAATCACGATAAACATAGCGGTCCCAACGCCGTGGCTCACAACCACAACCACCGGTCATACATGCGATACAGGAGACCTTCAAATTTAACAAGCATCGGCTCCTTGATGGTGCCAGCCACACACCGAACAACAACCTTTTGTTATCAGCAGTACCAATCCATGATCCCAAGGAGCGGCGAGACACCCCGGGCTGATGTTGCTACCACAATTGACTGATCGAGACAAATGTAAAATATACGTCAAAGCCTACACAAAGGACACCCTCTTGCGAGGCGCACGATCCTGTGCGTTACTTGACGGGCTTGACTTTTGATGGACCGCGGGCCCCGGGTGCTCTTTACGCATTTTTATTTTCTCCCTTTTCAGCCGAGCCCGCTGGCTCGCAATGGTAGCTTTTACCTCTTCCTAGAAACCACATGAATAATAATTGCACTCTACGCACAGTTTTTTTACCAATTTCTTTTTTGTCCTGCTTTTTTGATGTTTACGCTCGGATCGGGGGTGACCAGCCTACGAATCGGAATGATTTGTGATGAGAGAGGGATGTATCGGGGAATTTGCGAACTGCGAACGTGATGTACCTACCTGCGGTTGATGATGTCTCTCAGCCTTAAGCAACGCTTTGTCCTCCTGTATCTTTCCGATTGACACCGCTAGCTCCAAAGAATCCTAACCGCAAAGAATTTCATGAGATAATCTCTGGCCGAAGATCGAGTAATTGCAAGCGTTGTGTCACAACGAGCGCCCTACCTTGCCGTGCTCATGAAAAAATTTCCTCTTTTTCTGCTTCAATGTTGATAATGGGGGTGTCACGACAGGCGGTCCTGATCTCGTCATAACATGGAGTTTCCCGTGTCAACGAAGGCGCGGAGCAAAGACAAGGTTGTTCAAGTCCAGCGTTCAAACCGATGACTCAGCAGAAGATTAGTAATGCGACCTGAGTCCGACGCAATCAATTGCTTTCAGATTTGAAGCGCCAGGTACAGGCTATCATTTATCCTTCGTCACAGTCGGTCCATCATATGAAGGCATCAGGAGATTGGCGTAAAGTGACAAATATCACCGGTAGACAACTTGGACCGGTAGACAACCAATCGAATTCCAATGGAAACGATTCATAGGATGATGTGACTATTTTTTCAGCATCTTTTCGTCTGCGGTCCCGTTACAGTCAAATGCAGGGGACAGCCTGAGTGCATCTTCAATGAATGCCGGCAAAAGAGGGTCACCAACAGTACGACATGTTCCAAATTCACATTTGTAGCTCAAGCTTTCTCCACAATCGTTATACCAGGTAACCTGAGTTATTCCCGCAAATCAAGTAGTTTAACTTTCTTCAGGAATTGACAGGATGCAATCTAGCCTTATATATGGTATCACTAACTTTACTTACTTCATGCCGCAGGTGTGACCGAATCTAGAGTTGATCCCCGGGTTCAGATTGTGCCCGTCAGACCTCGTTCCTCTTACGATTAGTCGTTCTCGAGAAAAGGTCCTGCGAAAACGCTATCAAATGACGCATGGCAATACCTCTCGTTTTGGATGGCTGGGCATCCTGTTCTTCTTGTACACAGATGGGCCACCAAATCCAAAATGCATAATCCGCTTTAGCACCCTGAGCAAATACGCTACGTCCATTTCATTGCCGTGTATACTACATAGCCTATTGGGATATGGATAAAAGGGCAAACAACTTTTCATCAAGGACCACCCACCATCGACTCGAACACTTCTACAACACTCCTCTATTCACTACCACTATCAACCACCATTAACAATGTGCTGCTGGAGACAGTATGTGCAGTCGCAAAATCCCTCCATGACTTTGCTGACCCTCTCTTCAGTGTTCGCAATGTTTACCTTCGCTGTGGACACGCCGTCAACCTCGTAAGCATCACACAAATAACTCTCAGCAACGTGCCTAACACTAACCACTTTCCTACGTCAGCCTGATGAATTGGTGAGATATCACAGCGCAACGATGCAAGCGACGTCTAAAAGCTTTCGCAGATCGTCTGCGACAGTTCCAGGTGCAAGTTCAGCCCTAACCACCCTGCCAATTGCCTTCCGCCCACATGCAAACAAACCTGTTGTCAATAGTGCGTGCACGCGAACCATTTGCGATCACAATGACTGACCTCCGCGATGATGAAATTTTTTTTACTCCCGTTCTACTCGCATTTCGCACAACGCCACCCTCATAACTCGTCCGATCATCAGTCGTCAGTACCCTCAGCAATACTGTAAGCTTGTGATTGCTATCCCTTGCCGTTGTCGCTGACAAAAAATATGATAGCGCCCAACATCAACAGATTCTGCCCCGCGTGCGAGCAGGCTGGACGCCGCTGAGCGCTGGGCGCTGAGTGCCGAACACCAATTGTGAATACCTTATCTTGTGCCTTTAATTCTTAGAGTCAAGGCCAAAGACCCCTTTCGTTAATTATTCAATGTGTCACATATTATTTATAGTATATAACCTAACATCGGGATCGACTACGTGTACAGCTCGCTTTCTTGTAACTGAATATGGAATTAGTCAAAGTTTGTCCGACCGAGGAACGTTGCGTGAGCCCGGATAATTGACTCAATTGGATCACACTGTGCCGTAGGTCCCCGACTCTACAATTGAAACCTTCAGTCCACTTATTACAAGGACGGTTCCTTGATCAAATGCGATGACCCGAGTCGCATCATCGTGGCGCACAATAGTTGAACTACAATAAGTTTTTTTTTTCAAGCTTGCAACCGCAGTCTGATCGTTTTTTTAACTAGACGTCAGAGTAAGTTTGTATAGTGCCATATGGGTGTCTCTGGTGAAGTAATGATGTTCCCGCAGTTTATGTATTTTACTCCTTCTTAAAATTTATCGTAAAATGATTGGTCTACGTGGACGGCTGTCGTGTGGTCAAGACACGCGGTAGACTGTATTTGGGTATGGCAGGCTGATTGGTCTTTGCATCGGTGGGATTGCCGTTAGGGTGCGGCCGCCAGTCTGGCTCGATTTAAGGTTTGCATGAAGAGCTTCATCCGGAGGAGATTCACTTGACAGATAAATATCAATAAAGGAAAGTGTGGTACTAACACTGTAGACACTGAGCCATATTTTGGGTCATCATATCCGTAAATCCAATGGTATCCATTCACATGTACACATCTCAGGACGTCCGTGAACTGCCGGGTAGCCGAGCTGACAGCAGATAACAATATTAACGGGGTCACTGTCAATTTGACTGGCTCGGTTGAATGAACACCTAGACTGCACCAGTGGAGATGGCCTTTATTGCTGTTTGTGTTGCATTTAATTGCACGGCCGCGGAGACTGAAGTTGAAAGAACGGTCAGAACTAGTACCACATAGAGATCTTGAGAGTGTAACAAACGTTATGATGATGATTTACGTACCCTTTTAGGCAGCCCTGAACTTGGCCCTCAGGAGGATATCTAAGCGATTTTTAATTCGATAGCCTAATGGTTACGGTGGACTACTCCATAAGATTTTTACCCTCGATCCAATTAATAATGGAGTCATATGAGATGAACGTCTCAAAACTGTTACCCGAGGCCATTCGCCGAGACGGAAATGCGGTAATGTTTTGAATTGAATTGAATGGAAGTGTCCATCCAACTGAGATGAAAATGTCGAAAGTGCCTCAACGTCGTGCAGGCGCTACTAGTGCTATCTTCCATCGGATGGAAGTGATCATCCGCCGAGATGGAAATGACCCTCCGCCGAGAGGGAAGTGTTGACGTTGCGCCACTGTGTTCGACGGAATGGAAGCCGTACACTGCTCCCCTACTGTGATATGATGCTAAACGTCGAGTATACCACCGATCTGAGAGAGATCTAGCTGATACCCGCGCCTCCAGTTGAAATGGAAGACAAAGAATGTCTTTGCCGATAGCAGTTTTGCCCATCAGGTGATATGTGCATCGCCCAGACTTGTACGGATAAGTAATAGTAGGCCAGAACAGCAAGCCTTGTTCTTCAACTTCTATTGAATTATAAGCTGTACATGTGCTATAGCGCCAGAATTGTGGCGAGTTGCCGCCGCTTGCGGGAATAGTTAGCCTTGTCCGATTTTTATCCCACCATCAGGTATCACAGAAGTTGTCCCGGGCGCGGTGGTACGCACCGTACAGCAAACTAAGTAGATGGTGATATGATGATGCATATATCTGCGAAAATCAAACCGTCAGCTACAGATGCGAGTGATGAAGCGGTAGGCGCACAAGAGCCGTGAGTTACATTAGTACGTCATATCCTTGCTTGGTAACCGTGTTCTCATAAAAGTTTAATCTTTCATCTCCCAGCTAATCCCGCAGCCACATCCACCCTTCGCCTGTGGGTTCGCCACAATACGAAACGAGCTCCCTATCAGCTCGGTAGCGAAATCTATTGTTGAGCCGTTGAGAAGTCCGAGGGAGACAGCGTCAATATAGATATTTGAGGGAATAATAGCAGGATGTGTGAAGTGGCTGGTAATCCGATTAGAAACAACGTAACTATTGTGTTGTTGACGCACTAGTCTTCTGTATTTCGCTCAGAAGCAAGCTCCATTGTGTACTGGTAACCGTGGCATCCTCCCGACTCCACTGCAATGCGTAGGCCTGCACTAGGTGAGTGTTCCCGCGTAGTTATAGATTTCAGTTGCTTCGGTTCCATTGCAGTTCAGAAGACGTCAAGAGTTGACGAGAATAGTACATGACACACCTCGGCAGCTCTGTTTGTAAGCTCTAGCTTGATATTTTCTTCGGGTATTATGTCTAAGTCAAGCTCCTGTGCTTTTAGTTCATCCGGAGTCGGAGCAGAAGATATAAACGCAGTGGATTTTGGAACATGGACAGGTGCTGGGGGAACTGCATGCACGATTGAGGAGGATGTGAACGACCGCGTTTTGTGCAAGGTGGAGCCAGTCCTCAATCTTGTTATCGGTGTTGAGATTATCCCTGAGCGCATATAAGTGTCTGCAGCATGTCTCAAGCATGTCGACACCAAAAGTGCAAATCTCGGTGTGCTCATCGCCGTGTAAAGTTGAGGTCGTTGCCAGTGATGCTGACCAATGATGATGATGACATGTATTTGGTTACTTCAATTTACTCTAGTCCCACGTGATCAATCATCTAGTTCCGAATGTCATGTCATAATCGTGTACGTACATGGGCGTTCAAAATGCTTCGAGGTTCTTCCACGGAGTCCGTGCTCCGCGTCGGAAACAGGTCCGATTTCAAAGGGGGCTCCCGAGTGGAATTAACTGCGTGATACCCTTGACTTCCAACCCAACGACATATGTACGAAACGACGACTGAAGAGGATTCGACGACCGAAAGAGATTCGTTGATCTCAGATGGAAGCAGTTCAACACAAGATTGTCGCCCACTTGGCCCTCGGGACATTTCGAGGTCGACGCGCTATGGAATCTTGATTGGTCTGTGGTCTGCAACTTTCCTTTCGGTGAGTTTTTTCATCCAAAAGTTTGTCTGGATTTTCTGACCGGTTGTTAGTCTTTGAACAGTATGTTGAACGTTTTGCTTCAATTGATGAGTCGTAACTCTTACCAAAATATATCCAGCAACCCTAGTCGCCACCCGTACGTTATCTTGTTGCATTTGTTCGAATACTAATAATCTCATGCGGCTCTGCCATAGTGCTTCCATCTATCTCTTCTGATTTCAACAAGTCACATGAAGCTAGCTGGCTTGGTACATCGTGAGTACTACGGGATTCTTCGGTCCTAATCACTATTTTTACAACTCTTTCTTAGGTATCTGCTTGCGGTCTGCACCTTTACACCTGTATATGGGCGGTTATGCAACATTATGGGGAGACGGGGTGCAAACCAGTTGGCTGTCTGTATTGCCGCGCTGGGTACCCTGTTATGTGGCTTTTCTACGAACATGGAGACATTGGTTGCTGCGCGATTTGTACGTTCCTTCATCGATTTTACTCACTCTTTTGTGACGTGTTTTTGCAGCTATCTGGCATAGGAGGTGGTGGGATTGTTACGACCTGCACGTGAGACCAACATCAGCCAAATCATTCGATTCATGACTAAATTTGACCCATGCCGAATTCAGGATCACTACGAGTGATATGTATTCCATGCGGGTACGTTCTACTCTATCGCCCTTGCCATTATCATTATCTCAGGAATACTTATAGTCACGAGGGCTTGCGCAAGGGGTACAAAGTGTGTTTAATGGCGTCCGTTCGGTTCCACGACTTCTTTGAACCTGAAGACTTATCACTTATATTTAGCTTGGTCAAGGTCTAGGAGGTCCCATAGGAGGTCTTATAAGTGACTGGTAAGCGCACGCGCCTTATCTTGTTGCCCCTATCCATCATGCTTTCTAGGCTTGGTTGGAGATGGGCGTTTTTAATTCAAATGCCTTTTTTCGTATTGTCGCTCGTTCTTACAACCTACAACCTGCGATACGTCACCCCCGTAAGCGCTTGAAAAATTTCCTAAAGTTGTCCCTTACTCATATTATGTCAGGGTAAAAGCAACAACGCCAAGGACGTTCTGAAGAGAATCGATTATGGCGGAATTTTTTCCCTTCTAGTCTCTGTGAGTCAAAACTATCACATGTAGACTGTTCTCAATTCCTCGCAGGTTGGATCGTGCTTGGTATTTTTGAGTATGAAATACAACGAGGATCTCCCAGTGAGTGATTAGTCATATGAAATATCTAGTTGGCTGACCCTTGGCCAGTGGTCAAACCAATGGGTATACGTGCCGCTGGCTCTCGCTTGCATTTTTGCCGTAGTTTTTATCTGGGTAGAGTTGTTGGTTACCCCAGAGCCCATCATGGCGCCATTCCTCTTCAAACACAAGATCCCTGTCCTTGTCAGTGCCAACAACTTCCTTGTGTCATTGTGCAACTTTTCCGTGATGTATTTCTTTCCGATGTGGTTTCAGACAGTGGCCTTGACAAGTGCATCAACTGCGGGTATGTTGCTGTTGATCTGATTCAACATAACATTAACTGCAATTTGGATTATGGATAGGCTTGCATCTGATGCCGAACAGTGTGTGCATGTCCACTGGGTCTTTGTTTGCCGGGTAAGTGGATGCGTAGTGTCATTTTGTTTTTATTTTTCATCAGTGCTAGATGGATAATGCACCGCACTGGGAAGTATAAACTTCTCAACATTATTTTTGGTTTCTTCCCATTCATCGGGATCACTCTCATCACATTGATGCGGGAGGACTCCGGACCACTGCAAATGTGGCTGAGCATTGTGAGCGCTACCCTTGTATTCTTTGATTGATGTGTGAATAATAATGCCATATCAGATCCCATTCGGGTTTGGCAATGCCATCGTCTTACAGACAACTCTTGGTATGTGGGATATTGGTAATCAGCTATGCTTTTGATGGCTAATCACGTCGCACACAAATAATCAGTTGCCCTGCTGGCACACCTCCCTGGTGCGTGATTATGGCTCCTGTGCTGAAGTTTTTTATGATGTAATATATCAGAGGGCTCGATGGCCGTCGGAACTGGTTTTTGTCAGCTTTTCAGAGGCGTAGGTGAGTCATTCATACGGTCCCTTATTATTAAATGCTGACGGCTCCGGTAGGTCAAGTAGGGGGCGTTGCCATTTCATCAGCGCTATTCCAGTACAAACTTGACTACGAGCTTCGATCAAGAATACATGGTGATGGCGCAGCAGAGGTGAATTGTTACCCTCTAAGCAGTATCTCCCGATGCTATATTTTCTTGATCTAGATTGTGAATCGGATCAGGCATTCAACTACCCTAGTGAGCGGGTTGCCGCCGGACTTGCAACGCGCAGCAAGAGAGTCGTATGCGATCAGTCTCCGCGCTGTGTTCACGCTTGCTGCATGCTCCACGCTGCTAGCCTATATTGTCCGGCTACCTGTACGTTTACGGCATTTTGTACCACTTTTTTTGGTTCTCTGTTGAGGGTATCACGGTTTAGATTCCTGAGAAGAATTTAGACAGTCAACCCAAGGGGATTGATACCCAATCCCAATCCACCAGTCCCGAGGGTGACTCAACATCACTGCCTGGTGGAAAACAAGGGGTATGAGAACATTTGAGCGTTGCTTTGTAAATGCGAGCACAGATTTTCTCTGCTCTCGACCCATAACACTTAGAAAGAGTTACGATCGGAGGTTCAGCCAGATAGCGATAACTTCGCAATAATGTTTTTGTTCTTTATTCCAAACCTGGAGGAGTAGAAGGGTTTTTTACTTTCGCACATACTGAGCTAGTAGATGCTTGTGGCTTCTCCACTCAGCTACACCCAAGAAGTACGACAAACCTCCAATCAGAATTCCAATGTTGACACTGTTAATATTCCGTACTCGATGAGAAACTAGACTTCGCCGACTACATTTTTTCTGCACCCTTGACTCCGTGGCTCCGATCCTCGACTTCTCAATGTCCCTCGTGGTTATCCTCATTGATAGAATCACACGCCATCCCAGTGCCCCTCCTAGTTTTTCGTGCAGAGCTTGTACCTGCAGTAAAGTAGTATCCAAAAAAATATTCTTTTGTTTCAAAGACGGGTCCATGATCGATCCTTTCGGAGAGCAGTGGCAACAGACTCCAAGAAGCGAAAAACGGAACGCTGAATCGTAAAATGTTGATCTGGCTGAAATCAGTGTCTCAGCGTCGGAGGCGTTGGCAACGTTGCTTATTTCTTCTAGGAGGGAATCGCGCGCTGTACGACGGCGTTTCATGTTCTGAATCTGAATCTGCTGGTGGAGTGATGAATAGGGTGAATAAAGTGCTAGTGGGGAATGGAAGTAGCTCATGCGCTTTGTCACGGTGCCCGGTGTCGGGAATTGGGTAGTACGCGGGAGTACTCTGTGAGACGCGTCAACCGTTTGATAATGAGATAATGAGCACATGATGCTAAGATATCGGGTGGCGCAAATTTTGATACGGTAATTAACTATTTAGTGCGCCACTGTGGCAAGGAAGGTTGCTTATGTTCAGAACTTCAGGGAACAGTCTGATCCACGATGACTATCAATATAATACACGTAAATGTCGAAAAATACTCTGGACTTGAAACTCACAGGGGAAAAAAATCAGTGGTCATAAGGCCTGAAGTACGAGACTAGCGAGTTGGTCAAATTGATTATGGTAGTACGGCACTGCAGCAAGGAGGGCTGCTTATGGTTTAGGGAACAAACAGTCTGATTCCCGATGTGACAGTTCAGACCGAACTAATACACGTGAATGTCGAATTTAAAAACTATCTAGTATGATGGGAAAAAAAAATCAGTGATCGTAAGGCAGAAGGACTAAAGCAGAAAACTAACGAGCTGGTCAAATTATTTATGGTAGTGCGCCACTGCAGCAAGGAAGGCTGCTTATGGCTGCCAGGGGTTCAGGGAACAAACGGTCTGATCCCCGACGACGGTCCAGATCGTAATGATACACGTGAATGTCGAAAAACACTCCTGGGCCGGACTTGAAACTGTAATAGAAAAAATTAGTGATCATAAAACCAGAAGAAAGAGCAAACGAATTGGTTGAGAATCTAGGGAACAAACAGTCCGACCGATGCCGTTCAGATCGAAATGATCCATGTGAATGTTCAAAAGTGTGCTATTAGCCTAAGCTATCTATAGTACAGCGATAAAACAAATAAGTGATCATGGGACCAGAAGTAGGAAACTACCGAATTGATTGGCTTTCGCACATCCGCGTTAGTAAATAGGCGGGCATGTGCCATGTGCAGGGTGTAGTATGGAAAATCTGCTCACGGCAGGAGGTCACGGTGTAGACAACAGACATTGATTGGTCTGACAGGAATCATGATATCGGGTTGTACGAATTTTGATATCTGCGGACAGCAGCGAGCCAGCTGTTGGGTGTTCCCGCCAAGCCTAGGTACATGGGCGTTCAGAAGATAGCCAGGATTCCCGTCGTTCTGATCGAAACGAAGCATGTGGATGTTTTTAAAAAAGCGTTCTGAAGATCTGTGAAACTATCTATAGCACAACGATAAAAAAATCATAAGAGCAAGGAACGTTGAACGAGTTGACTGACTTTCTGCATTCGTGACTCGACGTGAAGTTGACATTCTCCGCGAACAGTGCTATATGGGTCTACGACCCCAACGGACAATATATATATTATATATATATAAAGTTGGCATTAGTGAGCAGGCTTGTGTTATAAGGTATAGGGATTGAATCGGCTCACGCTCTTTATTCTGGGAGGCGGACTTACAAGTTCTCCCGTAGACAGACAAATAGAAAGACGTTCCTGTGGAATAGGCGCCGAGATATCCCAGCGAACGAGGACGTGGACCCTAGTATTGCGTGCTTTCCAAATCTTATTATGTTACGGCCCGTTACGGATTTGACGTGACAAGGTCAACAGGTATACAAGACCCGTACTACGTGGGTCCATATCAAAATGATACATGTGGTAACTCCAGATCTATAAAAGTATCTAGGCCGAAGTGTGAAGAAGAACAAAAAACACAAGAATTGAGGCAGAAGAAGAGAAAGAGTACTTGTAGACATATATGCATATGAATTGCAACTGCGTCGAATGAACGAAAGAGATAGACCCAGCTAGCACCTGAAAATGAACATGATCGGAAATGAGTTTGAACGTTTGAAATTTCTCCGCATGACATCATCTTAGACTTTTCCTAAGTGTATGTCGGCGCTCGCCTTCGACACAGACGAAGCTCAAGATAACGTCTCCGGTGATGGTTAGGCCATGCGGGGTTATATGTAGTAGCCCAGGATTTGATCTCGTTGCGGGTGTGTAGGTAGCAACTGGGGCTTGCCTGCTGTCGTTGCTCGCCATCTTTGAGCGCAAGATTAGTAACAGTGAGGTACTTGCTTCAGGGATTCTCACCAATGCTGATCCTTCATGGAACGTCCATTTGTACGATTGCCCGTTCAATGCTGTGAATGTTCTTGACCTAGACGAAAGGGAAAAATAAGGCGACTGCAGCAAGATTGAAGCATGAAAAAAAATCGTACGAGCTGAAAAAACTGCTCTTGTTGACATATATCTCGTGTCCATGAACCACAGCTGTCCCAGGTCTACCAGACTGCCACACTACTCGCCCAATCTCCATTTCACTCTGCCCACCAGCGACCTTCCTGACGGTAGTCGTAAATGAGCTAATATATGTATCGATGCGATACACAGCACGACCCTCTGGGGACAACAGAGCAGTGTTGAACGGACTGTCCGTAGCTAATGAGTAGTTCATTTTTGGGGCAGTGCTACAGGCGGCTCAGTTTGGGCGGTATATGAGGTGCACTTATCGGTGTGTGGATAGTCTGAAGAGCGTGTGGCGAGAGAAGCCCAGATTATGCCACGGTGGGCGCCAGCTGTTTCCGTGCGCACGGGCGCGACATGTAGCGTTGAATTTTTGGGATTTTCATTCATGAGGGTTGAGGAACGATATCATAGCTGACATGAGTGGTTCGAACAGCGTTGATGAACCCATCAAATCCACATCTACTCGTGTTGCGACGCGTGCAAAGGCAGTGTGCTAGTGACGCTCTGATTGGATGGCATCCCTTGGGAATCGATCAAGAACCATTTCGGTTCGGCTGCTCGGAATTTACCGAGTGTTGTAGTCGTTCGATATCAGCCTTGCAATAGATTAATATTCGTTCATTGTTCATTAAATTTTTGTTATACAACACATCCAACATATATTTAAAAATTACAGCCCCATAGATTCATGTCCTGAAAGTCAACTGACCAGGACAGGGTAAGCGTCGATAATAAGAGGGAGTGAATCCACACACCAGACGTCTTCAGCAGTAGTAGTCACTGACAGTCTGCTCCGTTTGTATGTTCGAGGCGCTTCCGTACTTGGAGGCAGCCGGCGCATAGGCTTCCCTACAGCATGCACTCTGTTCAACAAAATACCCGCAACTACCTTGCATCGGGTCTCGCGCTCCTGCGCGGCCCGTTGTGCAGTCCGCTGACGAACGAGGGCGTCAATTGGGTTTGAGCCGGGGAGTCTGACGGTATATGATTGTGAAGCGAGGTGCGTGCGGTGAGGAATAGGTCGCTGTGGTATGGGTGGGACGCATGAATTTGAATCACTAAATGGGTTTTCCGAGGGGAAAGGGATAGTCTGTGGTGCAATAGCGCGAGGTGGTGGTGGTGGTGGAACACGACGGGCTACAGGGAAGGATGATAGACGACGTGAGCTTGAACTAGGGAGTGATACGGGCGCTAGGCGCCATGCAGCTGTTCTGGCAAGGCTTGGGTGGATTGGGGAGCCTTCGATTACGACGCCAGCGTTCGATGAAAATGTAGTGTATGATGGTACGCCTGCAAAAGTGCCATGAATTGAGTGAATACTGTGAGTTGGGACAGACATGGCAGATATGAGGGATAATACTAGAATTATAGAGGGATGTCAGTTGAGCCTAGTCTGAAGAATTTATAACCGTGTTTGTTTCAACGTGATCAACCATTTCTCACAAGCAACAGCCTCCTTAACGTATCTCCAAATGAAGAACACAATGATTTTTTTGGGCAAGTGCAACCAATTTCACCTCCTCCTCTTTGTTTTTTTTTTTCATTCCTTTTGTTCATTCGAAGTCGCTCGAGTTCGCATCTCCCTATTCAAAGGGACTCTTGTGTCGCCTGGGATGCTTCTTACTGTAACGACGGCCCCGAGGCTATGCTCCGCTGTCATACACCGATCCAGAATGTTCTTATCGGCAGTGCACTTCACTTTGGCCAGCTCATCAACTTCTATCAAGCGCCCTTGATGAATCTGGACTGGTACCTATATAACATTTGCAAACTTGACACATGCCGCGTGTGCCGCAGCAGAACCCACCTTCAAACGGTAGTAGCTGTTATTCGGCAGGAGCTTTCCTTACTTTCGCGGAGAGCAATATTCATGTGCGGGCCCATCTATGTCCCTCGAACGAGTTCTACCGAAATTTTAGTGCTCCAACATCTGTGACAGCAGGCTCCTTGACAGGCAATCTCCAGTTCGATCGTCGGACGACAGATACCTGGCCTTATCCCCCAAACGGTCAGATAACACCATCGTTGAACCCTCCTTCCTTGAAAACGCACAGGTGCTTTTCTATTCTCGCGCAGCGATGCAGAAGTCCTTCATCGGGGCTTGGATATGCGGAGGATGAAGTGACGTACGTCTGAGGAGCCCTTCAGCATCTTTCTTGATAACATGGCTCCAGCCCCCCGATAAGACTATGTTCTAGTCTTCGCTGCGTGTCACTTGCTCCACACTGAGGTAACATCTGAGAATCCGTGAGTAGAAAACCGTCATCTTGCAGACAGCACGCAGGGTCGTTCCTTGATTCGCAATCGCGTTCTTGATGGTAGCAGCTGTCATGATATCACTGGGCATGGACAGCAATACTATGAATGGTGTTTTGCGGGAATATCATAGTAGTCTGGGCGAGATTTCAGATGAAGGTGAGTGATTCCCGTCCAACAGACGCAACGCTGACATTAAAGCCAGGCCCATCGAGCAAAAGCCTGCATGATATCTGCCAATAGTCGCAGCTGTCCTTCTACACAAAGTAGTGCTTCCCGCGGATCCGCCGTTGAAACATCGACATGCAAATCACGGTCCTAGTATGCCTTGACAAGCGCTTACGTAGAGATTCTCCATCCCTCATACTTCTGCGCGCGTTTCCTCAAACCAACAAGTTGAAAGGCCCCACCTTTTCGTCCTTTTCTTCTTCTCAGCGCTCGTCTCGGTGTGCGACGCCACAAGATAGTTTTTGGCATACTCGCCATTCCATCTTCATCTTAGTGTGTTTTGTTTCCTTCACAGCGCCACTTAACTTCAGCCTCGAGGGTTGTCTATAATCGTTATCATTGCAGACTAGTACCTTACTGCGCCGTTCTGGCAGTCGGAACCTGGCGTGAGTTACAAACTGTTGGCAGCTGCATGCCCGACTCGAAGCTTACGCACATCAAGATTTCATGTAGTCTCGGTTCTAGTGCTCCACATATCATGGCAAATGAATCGTCTAGTCTCTTCTTCATTTCGGCTACCACCACCTCCAAAACTCGCCCAAGGTTAGCGCCTTCGGCGTTTATAAGGTCTGTTCTGCCCGTTTCCTTCGATTCAGGTGGCTCATTCCTCTGCACGCGCCTAGGGCTTCCGCATGCGTATGATAGTGAGGGCACGGTGTTCTTTCTTCGAAGGTACTGGTAGACAGGCGAGTCATTTGCCCATCCTTTCACTATATAGTACTGACGTCATCCTCTTCATATATGCTATCACCACAGAACTTGGGATTTCTGCATCGTCTTCCGCTTGTGTAGGTCTCATGTTCATATGTACAAGCTGCTGGTGTTCTGTCTCCTTCTGGAAGTGCAACTGTGTTACACCTCTGGTGTATCCCGCCCTACTCTTCATATCAGTGAGTATTTTGAACACCATTATTTTGACCCTTCAGTTTTCGGTATTAACTTCACGAGCACGTCCTCCGAGATCGTCAGTTCTAAGCCAATGAATCCAAATACACTGTTGAGCAGGCAAGCATTCCTCTGTATCCTTGAACTTGCATTGAACTGACTCTAGCCATGTCCTTAGGTCATCACGCAATCAACTATTCACATTGGGCGTGGCATCCATGTAGCCGAACAGTGTTATCCCTCTTTACCTGTTCGACGACATGAATTCCATGCCAAAATTTAGAAGCCGTTGTTGTTCTTTCTCTGGAAACAAGCTCCCGCGTGTTTCGACCTCCTCTGCTTGTTGGTGAGTTTTTTTGTCTACTTTTCTCTGCCAGCTTTAAGCCTCAGCTCTCAAATCCGAACTGACGGGTTCAAAGGCGCTGGCGGATCATGCTGTATCCTTGAACTGACTCTGGTTGTCCTCCTAAGGCTTTGCGCATACCCATTCTTAGGTATGCAACGAGAATCACCCTTAATTTCATTCTCCATTCGGTCTTGGATCTTTGCAGATATCTGGTAATCAGATCTCTGCCTATCTGTGTAGATCCCCAGATTGCCATTCAATACAAGCTGTTGACGTTCTTTTTTCTCTTGCTGGAAACTCAACATTGTAAAGGTTCTCGCGCATTTCGTCCGTCGCAACTTAATTCAGATAGTGTTATACAAGGTCATCCACTGTTTCAACTCATAGGACCGTCCTCTCCTGATCACTTGATCCGTAGATCTTGTTCTCTCTTTGGCAGCGTATTGTCTGCGGTTGACCTATTCAGCAAGTATGTATGGCATGCAATGAATCCGCGACTCCCAAACAGCGAGAATACGCATTCCGAAAAAGCGGAAGATCGTTATTGTTATTGGGGAGCCAGTCATTGACCGCTGGTTCCCACTCGACAGTGTTCGACCTAGTCGTCATTCATACTTGGGAACCGGGACCAGTGCTCATTCTAATTGTATGAGAAGCTGGATGAATATACAAGGAGCCCAAGTACATTCCCTTTCGGTACCCACTTGCTCAAGTTTGCCAACTGATTTATTATCAAAATCGACACTAGTACGGCGTTCCTGAAATCATCCTGTTACGACCGGCTTATTTTTGTGTTTTTTTCTTATTCCACGCGAACAAGGCTAGTACAAGGCTATGTGTATTTCAAACAGTATCTTCCACAGAGCACCGTTGCCTAGAAAGTTGTGGACTGCCCACTCCCAGTGTACGCGCTCGTCTACCTGAAAGGTAATATAGTTATTTTGATAGTGTCTACCACCGCTCCATCTGAACTATAATATATCCCCTACGCCCCGACCACGACTTCAAATCAAACTCTAACGCTCGGACCAGTAGACCGTCCACGTGACTCACTGATGCGTTCATTCCTGCCTCCTTCATGACTTCACCACCGTCATTAATCAATATGGTCCCAATCCCAGTTCTTACAACAAACTCGTCATTTCTGTCAACTCTCAGTCCCTTTCTCTTGTTACTGTCACCATATTCTCAGCCTGCTCACCCCTGTCAAAACCACTATCCGACCCTCGTTATTCTGTCAAACTATACTCATTCATATCGTCACTTATTCAAATTTTCGTACCCTCTTTCCTCTCCTTCTACTCTACCCTGTCAAGCGCGGCTCCACTCCCTTTTGTATCCGTTTTCACATAATCGTTTTGGCTCATCTATTACCGAGAACCCTTACCGTTTCGGAGTATAAGTAGTTCATGTACACCGTGACTTCTTATCAACTTGGCAGAATCGGATACTCTGATTCCCCCGCTCTACGCACTACAAGAACGCCTCACAAAAAGTCTCCGCCTCTAAATGTCTTCATACTAATCTTCGTGTTATCTACCAACACGTCTCTTATCTACTTCGTTTCGTCCACTTTTCCCGTCAAACTCACTACTAGCCTTACAGAACAACCCCCATGGACTCCCAGGTAACTCTCGTTGACAACGATTTCGAACTCGCTGTTCCAGATCCGGCATTCGGTGCAACAACAATACTGGACTTTGACCATGATGTGATGACATCGACGAATGCCACAGTGCGTGGACAGGGTCGCCTACGATACTCTGTGAGAACCGTCAGGGCTAGTCTGGCAGGGACGAACCTCAAGACCGTTTTCAGCCAGGAAGAGAGGATACTGGCAACGGTGCAGCACAGGGATGTCATCCCGGATTTGATGACGTTAGGTGGTGAAACTACAAGGCTTGGCAGCTGGTTCAAGATGCCTATGTTTTCATCGTTGTATGTTGCATTTGATAAGCTTTTGCGAGATATTTTTTTACGAGGTTTGATCATCTAGTCCTGCGTCGTTCCGCGAGGGGAGAGAGACGTATTGCTGGAAAGAAGGCCGGGGCGGCGGAATTGATGTGGGTTGATCATGATCTGCAACAGATGTGAACAAGTTTTGACAACCTTCTGATAGTTGTACAAGGGAAGCGGCGCTAGTAGTAGTACTAGTACAATCGCTCGCTTCTACCCCTCTAATTTCGTTCTGACGCACGATCGGAGAAGGATTATGTGTCGTGCTCACCTGGACTTGCGAGCTGAAGCTGATCTCATACGCGAAAAGGTGTTCATATCCTGTGTGCTAATTGTGCAAAAGACGAGGAAGGACGCGCAGGCGAAGAAATGGGACTTGGTGCCAGCTAATAGTCAATTTGGATTGATCGCCTTCTGTTGTAGCTTGATGAGGCCCTTTTGAAGCGCTGTGTTTTATTTATTGCCTGTATTTCATGAGGAACTTCTGCTCCAAATCAACTTCAGTCTTGAATATGGCACGCTAATTAGCAACCCCGAACGAGTCACTCCAGCTCATTGACAATGTTGTACAAAATATGTGCATTAACAACTTGGTTTGACTCATTCTACATACTGGCCAGAGTACGTAATTGAGTAATCGTGAACGGATATTCCATGGATGTACAAAGTATAAGAGGCAGAACATGAGTGAAATGTAAAGAAAATACCGAAGGTAACATAAAAGTTGAATGATATCAGGCGGCGATTGGGACTGCAGGCCTAGATAGGAACTTCATCTACAACAGGGACTTGAGCAAGCACAACATCCGCAGGGGTAGCATTGCTTGGTTCTGAGGGGTCACCATCATTTGACTGAGTAACAGGGATCGCCTTCTTAGCACAAGCACGGCGCCTTCGTTCCTCCACACCTTTATCAAGCTCTTGGAGAGCTTGATCCACACGTGTCACAACCGCGCGCCTTGCGTTTCGCACTACATCGGACCCAAAGCTGGGAATGTTGTCCAAATCCGCGAAGAGCAACGAAAGCGCATGCTCCTGAGCGCGAACAGGCGCGTTGGCCGGGGTGTAAGTCAATGCAAATACATCAGCGGTGCCGAGGGCTGAAGAAAAATCGAGTTCGACAGGGAACTGAAAGACAGCGAGGAGGTTCTCAAGACGGGCAGCAACAGAAGAGATCTGGGAGATAGAGGAGGCGACTTGGACCGGCGATGCAGCAGCCTCTTCTTGGGCATCAGAGTCAGTGATCTCGTTAGCTTTTTCTTTTCCCTCTTGTGAAAGTCTGGGTCCTTCCTCGTTGACTGATGTGGAAGTAGCAGTCAGGGTTGTGATATGATCGCATTTGACAGGAGCTTCGATCGTAGTGCCTTTAGAGAGACGGACAAGAATCGCCTGGAGCATATCGCGCACTTCAGACCGGTGCTCTGCCATAAGACGGCGTTCTTCCATCAAATGGGAAGAGATCATGTCCTTGAGCGAAGGCTCATCCGGGCCAGAAACAGTATAATTACTGGACATGTGAGAACATCTTTGGTTGACGGTTCCTGCGAGAAAGTTCTCAGCATATAAATGATGGTGAGGAAAGAGTCGTTGCTTCTCGAACTGGGCCTGGAAAGCAGCAAAATCGTGCCACTCTCTGGTAGTAGCCTCGTGCTCACGAACGGCCTGATCGCGGATGGCACGGTTGGCCCGTTGGATTTCAGCGTTCTTACGGGAATTGTCGCTGTCGAACAAAAACTGTGTGTCAAAATCCTCAACCTCTGACATACGGGTACGCGGCAGGACATCTTGCATCATGCGTGTCTGGTTGGGAGACTCATCGTATTCTTGTGCATGGAGAGTATTGCGAGTAGGCTGGTTCCCAAACTTCTGTCGTAAATACAGAGCCAATACGCCCTCACATTGCTCTCTGTCGTACTGGGGAGCATGAGGATCAAGGACGAAGGGGAGCGGGCGGTAGTGGTAACAGGGATAAGTCATTTGGACGGGTGTAGTGAAGGACATTGTGAATATGGGATTGGGATGAGTTTATGAGAGATTGCATGTTGAGCACTGAATTTATATATCTGGATGATGTGGACTTGTGGTTAATCCTTTTGTGAGCAGACCACTGACTATTCTAACTTGGTGCGATTGTGCTCGAACTTGATAGTCACGATGACTATTGTCACGACTGTGACCATGAGTAAAAGTCACTGTGATTCTTCTCGCCACTTGACGCTTTGACCAGGGCTTTACTTACCTTTTGACATATTTTTGCTCTCTGTCAAAGCTAATTGCTCCAAGAAACTGAGACAGCTATGAATCGCTTTCGAGTGTCAGGCCTCATCGATCATCCTTAGAGTTCGACGATATCACACTAAACCCGTGCTGGATCCGATGCAGAAACTGGCATTGAATTCGATCGTTTTCGAGCAGCGTGTACATGTACCAACTAGCAGTATGTAATATTGAATATGTATGGTTGAGTCATGGAATATAAAAAAAGCTACCGTGACGATGGACCCACATGTATGGGATATGCAACACAGTAGGGGATCCTATGTGGTGCTAACTATACCACGATCTTGGAATACGGATTTTCTTTTTCACTTCAGTGTCAGGCTGGAGTGTGCCTGCAACGGAAAGATGAAGCCAGGTGTTTAGTGGGGGAAAACGTGCAACCCCGCTTTCAGTTTCCCATGTCTCCTTCCCGACAAACACAGTGGCAGGAATGCCAGTCCACATAGCGGAGAAAGAGGCAGCTTGCAGCGGATGCTTTGGAATCTCTTTGGAAACTGCGACCAAGCGATGACCAAGGACATGGGGATAGCGTAGTACCATCGAGGCCACTTCACGGCATAGCTTTGAAACCAATCCCAGTGTGAGGACGTTTTGTAGATCAAGATAAAAAGCGATCTCTTGCCAAAGTTCCAAGGGCAGCGGTGTAGAGCTAATGCTGGGTGGTGCACCGCTAATCCCCCGAGCAAAGGACTTTTTGCGCCATGCATCTATTCCCTTGTGCCCACGCCAGACCTTTATGACACGCACAAAGAGTGCAGGGTCAATGCGATAACCAAGGCGAGCAAGAGCGGTGATTCCTGGCGTAGAAGGAGACACTGCGAAGAATGACGGCAAAAATTGGAGGGCAGTGGTATGACTAAACGTCGTGTGTATGTCCTTTACCACTTTGACAATTGCACAGTGGGAAACAGAGAATGCAACTCCAAAGTAATCGCCTGGAGCATACCGTTGGTCTAAAATTGATTCGATCAAGCGTGATACAGAGGCCTGCAGGCATCTCTCGTTGTCTAAATGCATTGCGAAGCAAACCACGGTGTCTTTGCGAACCCATACACATTCCTTTCTATCTGGCTTGGGAGGATGGAACAACGCGAATGGCGCTTCGAATATCTGAGGAGCAAATGCAAAGCTGATAACGGAGGCATTAAACCATCCCACATCTGTGAGTTGATTGTGATTGGATATGGTCTCGAATTCGTGAATTAATTGGCCAAGTTGAAGGTCTGAGTGGGACATGCAGCACCCAATGATCATCTCTAACAATGAGACCCGGACCTGCTCATTTGTAGATAAGATGTCGCTGATGCCGAGCAAGTCGCTCAAAGCCGCGCCAGGGCTCGTGCAAGCCAAAGATCGATGTCTCTAAGTCAGAGTCGTCTATGACTGGCGCCGCTGGCCTCTTGTACCTATTCTCAGGAGAACACTCTGGTGAACAAGCTAGGTTGCGGTAATGGTCTTCGGAAATGTCTTCAAGAAAAGCTTTTGTTTTTGGCAGGCATTCCAAGGAGTAAAATGGTATCCCGTTTATGTCGAAGATATTGTGATCAAGGTCGATCCCATAGGCCCATTCTGCGTCAACGTCGAACCTAATGTCTACCCGCCGGTCAAAAATGGTGAGACCGTCATCAAGTGCTAGGGGAAAAGATTGGCCGTCAAACTCGTCAAACTCGTCCAGCATCTCTTTTAACTCCTGTTGTTTCCTTGTGATGGCATGGGGCAACCGCATCCATTGAAGCACCTTTACGCCAAGACCCTCCGGATAACAGTCATAAAGACGATAGTAGCAGAAATAGATATTTCGATAACGGTAAACATAGCACCCTACGAGTGCCCATGTCTGCAGGTAGAAGTTCAAAAAAATCTGGACAATCGAGAGTGTCATGTTGGATACACCGTTTATAAGGGCTACGAAGTATGACATACCTGCAGGGTGCGCTTTTTTGTTACTTTGGACTACCACAACTACAAGACTGTCGGACGAGAAATTAAAGTTACCAAGTAGCTCGAGTAAACCAACACCTCACGTGACATTTTAGACGTTTCAAGTGTCGTACACTCATTTTTCTTGCAACACTTCAAGTTTGATAATTGTTTTGAGATGCTTTTCAGCTCTTTAATTGTCTGAGTTGTCTTTGTCGGCTGGATGTTAAGACATTCAAGTTGTCCCCCAATAAATAAGTCAATTCAAGCAACGTGGTATTTTACTGACGACTGCATGTATTGGTTATCGACTCTTACACTCATTCAATCCCATACGCTGCTACTGATTACTCTTGTCTGATCCCAACTTCGAACTTAGTGTTTCTACCCTTGGGTCACATATAGTTTGCAGCCTCATTGTTCAGCTAAAAATAGGTATGTCAGTATTGTGACGTCAACTGACGGTCAACGATACTTACAGCGCTTCTTGTCGTCGTAGCTAATAGGGAAGTAGACACCAGCAGCCTCGTCTTCGGCTAAATAGGTATGTCAGCATTGTGGTGTCGACTAACGGTCAACGATACTTACAGCGCTTCTTGTCGTCGTAGCTAATAGGGAAGTAGACACCAGCAGCCTCGTCTTCGGCTAAATAGGTATGTTAGCATTGTGGTGTCGACTAACGGTCAACGACACTTACAGCGCTTCTTGTCGTCGTAGCTAATAGGGAAGTAGACACCAGCAGCCTCGTCTTCGGCTAAATAAGTATGTCAGCATTGTGGTGTCGACTGACGGTCAATAATACTTGCCACGGGCCACATTCTCGCGCTTGGCTACGGCTGCATGTTATGTTAATAAATATAATGCTACTGACATCATGAGTACTCGCAGGGTCCCGTAATCTCTCCTGACATGGGGTATGCGACTGCCAGAGCTGCCATGGAGGCAAGTGCATTAAGCAGGAAAAAACGCTGCATGTTTGAAGTTGAGAGAAGTCAAGTTTAGAGCTTTGTCACTGCATACCTCGAAAATCAAGGATTCTTCTTATACCTTCGCTTAACCAGTTGGACCTTGCTGAAGTCCGACGTGGCACGATATGATGATGACAACCGTGACTGTTTAAAGCTCTGAAAATGGGTTTTTGTCATGAATGACTTGGACTTCGATTCATGAAACATACGCCACCTCATGGGTTGCTAGCTCAGGACTTGTGGGGCGAAGCTGTAACAACACTGTCTGATGAGTACTAATATGATAAGTGATGCAATCATCATGCAATCAATTGACTAACGGGCATTATACGGCAATGCTTAATTGCAAGGTCACTCTTTCTCGTCATGATAGGGTGCCAGCTGTAAGATAGAGTACTACTATCATTGGTACTCCACTCTGGCCCTCCACGTTTGCATCGAGGCAGCACAGACTCGGAGGTAGGGGAAATTCAAATATCTCAAACTTCCCATGCCAGGTGACCGTTACAGCGTTGTGCTAATTAGTAATCACTCCCGGCTTTGCAAAATAATACGAACATTCTCAAATGCGAGTGATTGAAGTGAGAGCACGACAAAATATGATATTGCAGTTGCGAGTACAATTTGTAGACTACCAGTATGTGAATTCAAAGCATAGAAAGCATAATGAAGGCACTACGGAGGATATCAACGGATCAAAAGCAGCTCAGCGGATCAAAACACGATAACGAAAGTAAAACAATTGATGGAACGATCTTTCGTGATGGTCTAATGGTTTGGTGAAAGCCAATGATGCTAGGACAATGGTATCAGACATTCAGAACGCGTCGATGAGACGCGTCATATTGGGTCACATGTTCTCAAAATTACATCCAGAAATTATCGTTCCTTTATCAGCGTGGCGGCCCCAACGTCCACTTCTTATTAAAATAAGTATCTAGATGTATTCTATAGTACTGAATATACCACTTTCTGTACTCAACTAACGATTTGACGAAGAACTAACGCGTTTTTCCCGGCAGATGGACGGTCAAACTGCAGCGAGAGATATTCTAATAGCTTATATATGGCCGTAGTAACCTTTCGCGATCGACTCAGCAACTGCACTTCCTTGCCTGTAGAGCAACTGTGGAGTAGAGAAACACTTCAGTTGTACTACGTCGTAACATGGACGATCATTAACAATCATACGATCCCTGCTGCTGCATTCATTGAACATTTCGTTACCATACTCATCAAAAGGCCGTGGCTAATGGAAAGCCAATTCGTCGAAGTCATGCACACATGCACACCATCACCCAGCCATGCATCAACATAGATGTAGCTGTTGATATAGAAGCCAATTTGCATGGGCACCACTTAATCAGTGAATCGCCGAAGACCTCGGAGAAGGGCATATATTAGGGGAGCTCACAGTAGGTCGCTTTCGCTTTTGCTGACACTGTTATGCATTCTCAGTGCTCACGACATGAGAACAGAAGGAAAACGCCCAGGGAAATTGTCGGGAAATGGGTTGGAAGAGTTGTTGATTTCTCGTTTGTTGTTTCTATTTGAGGGTGTCTTGAACGCTACTGGCGAAGGTGTCGCCTGCTAAATGGGCATTGGCCTCTGTTATTTTGATGACCGCCTCCTCCTCCAGAGTCCGACCGACAAGTTGCAAACAAACAGGAGCGTTCTTGAATTTCTCTGGGTCATCTGAATTAATTATTGGCATCGGAACATCACCGATTAGCTGAGAACCAACAGCCTTTCCTCAAGACGTGGTCGCTGGTTACCTGCACGAAGGGAGGTACGTTGTGACGACCTCAGAGTTTTAGAAACGGGCGCCGAATTACAAGGCAGAACAGCGCACACCACGGCAAATTGATCATGCACAACTTGCACCGGAACTGTGAACCGCATCGGACTGTTACAGGAGGTGAGAAATGAAGCGAGAATTCTGGAGGACCATAGAACGACTTTTTTGAGACCGCATCGACCCAAATCAGGGGAACGAACCTGAAAGATGCGAACGGTGACGGTAAGAAAATGGCAGAATCCTCCTCCACAACTATGACTCGACCTTCAGGGTTTGTTATCCAGGCCCCGTATTCTACTTTTGGTTTGAGATGTACGCAACTTAGGCACTATAAACCTGAAGGAAATTGGAAGCAGAAGGGCTGTCTTGCTTGAAGTTGCAATGTGGTTGACAAGTCCTCGACGTTGTATGACCCTACATGTCTGTGTGATGTGGGAAATGTGGGAATAAAAGCTTCGCTGTGATAAGAAAGCGGGTGCCAAACATCCCATAACCCTGACCGAACACGGATGCATCCTTTGAATAGTAGACGGGACGAGAGACCTACATCAGCTTGACCCCCTTGCGGGATTCATGTGCGAAAGAATATCCCTCGCCCGTGGAGATAGTGCGAAGGTGAATTCGGAGTAGCTCAGCAATTTACTGGTGAACAATTGTCTCATCCATGCAAGAAAATGTACCAAAAGTTGGAGTTAGGTCACCGTGTGAGTTGTAGGGATGGGTACTCGCTGTTTCAGGCGTGCGTGTCCTTAGATCAATGACTGTGAAAGGACATCTCCCCGCCACGCAGTCAAGACAATGCTGGCTCTTGAGTTATTGATGATTTTGAGAAAATGGACACCGTGACAGTTCTAGTGGAACAGGAGTGAGTAGGCGGTTGCTACTACCATTTGCCTGGCTTAGTCAGCAGTGTATTTAGCGACGCGCTGAGGCAAGTTCGCGTATAATTAATCCGAGTCACCGACAAGTTTGGGATGAGCAAGTCCAAAGCAAGTCAAGCCAAAGCCTTAGTTCAAAGGACGCCAACTCAGGGTATCTTGGCTGCTATATTCATCATGCTCAGCACCTGGTGCCGTCATCCTGCAATACCAAGCTAGATGACAATTTTTGCCGTGCCATCATGTGCTACCGAATAACAGCCTCGTGGCCCGTTGTGCTTTCGGGGAGGGTGATAAAAGAGTTTGTTGATGGCTCATAGCCCATTCCACCGCCCCAAATGCCAACCACTCCGCTTTCTCTTGCTTTGATCCAACTCTGGATCGGCGATCCAGCGCTGCCCTGGTCCAATCCGGTATGGCAGTCTCTAACACACGTAACTGGTGACCCGTGGGCGTACGACCAATATAGGGGTGTAACCCGTGTCGCTGAATGGACAGTAGACACAGCTCGGGCAGTCGAAGCGTTCATGAACAATTGTAGGACAGCTGGGGATCTTGCAGACATCGCTGTGAAAGGGAAGGACGATGACCATGAAGGTCGTTCCGCGTGGAACGCCTGGGTTAAGACGTCATGGCCCAAATGGAATATCAACAAACTTGTCGACCAAATCTTAGAAGAAAACGGATGCGAGTCCCATGCTGTCATGGCAAGGTTAAAGTGCAAGAGCACGGATGATGTGAGTTACGTGTTAATCCGTTTATCTTATAATATAATGAAATCCGAGTACTTAGTTTCCGACGATGGAAGCTGCGCAGCTGAAACATGCCGTTTCCATCAATTTGGCCGATTCATTGTTCGGCGATGATGCATTTACCGACGGAACGTTTATTGTGCCATGCGTCATGACGTTTATATCCACTGTGATGGTATTGACGTGGAGCAGGTATCGGAAGGCTATGAAACGGCAAGTTGACGGTATCGGGAAGAAGCTTCAGGAAGTTGAGGAGCAATGGCTAGGTAAGTGGCGCAGGTTGGTCAGTTGGGGTAAGGGTCTTACTGTAGCGCAGCCTGGGCGGTCGCAGATTCAAATCCTATCTCGGTCAGCATGCGCGCCTACCTGAAGAAACTGGATTCTTTGGTTGCACTTGTCAGCCAATTCAAGGACCGGGAAACGGTGGAGAAGCTCAATGCGCGTCGTGAACAAGTCAATGCGATGCTGACCGGTACCAAGAAACTCCCCATCAAGGCAGAATCCATAGAATGTGAGCAGCCTTTCAGATCTACAGCAAAATCCGAATGTTGAGTGTTACTCGTTTTACTCGATTAAGCTGAACAAATGATGATCGATTAAGCTCGACGAATGGTATACCAGGTCTTACGAATCACGTCAAGCCCTGGGTGCACTGTACCTGTATAGAGCAGTCCGTTTCTTCTCGCGTATACACTCGTGACTAATTTTGATCGCTATGACACATAGAAGATACGAAGCAATAAACTTGTTCAACATAAGATTGAAATCTTCGACCAACGTTGAATCTCCGGGCAACACCTGTCCACGCTAAGCCAATTGCAAGCATCATCGCACACGGTCCTGCTCATTCGAAATAATAAGCCAATCAAAATTCATGATAGGAATACGAACCGCAGGCGCGCTGGGCAATACGTATTGCGCAGGACACTTTTTCTGAACTTTAGAGTAATTTTAAACGATGCTTCGTTCGGAACACCGCTAAATACCTGTAGTTACATACGTAGGATACACACCCAGTGCACGTATTATAAACTAGCCATTTCCTCAGCCTCGTGTACGTATCATACTAGCTGGTACCTGCGTCCCATCAAAACATCAGCTTCTCAACGCAATTCGACGCGATCAAATGATAGCAGTCTCTCAAGAATCAATCTGATCTGAACTTTTCAAATTGCTCAATGATTTTCACAATCGAAGCTGCGAAGGAGAATGCATAGAATCGAGAGAGGAATAGCGGAACTGCATAGATATTACGAATCTGGCATATATGATGTACAACAAATGTATAGTTTTCGACGTAGTTAGATTTTTTCGTGTCGTACACGGGCGCCTATTCCTATATCTGCAAACATAAATCCAATAGATGGGAAACAAAGGGGGTTTGGGAGAGCGGTTCCATGCTAGCGGTGTCAACGATGATTACAAACTAAAGGCATACAAGGACATAGTCCAACAACATAACACTTGAATGTACAGCGCCAAATGGTGCACCTCCGAAGTCTACACCACGAGTCACGCACCAAAAATAAGTGCCCCGCCCAAAATGCGCGCAATCCAAGCATACGCACCTAAAAAAAACAGCACTGATCCGATCCTCGTAGTTACGGATCATCATCAATACATGCCGACAGTTGAGAATGCACATATTCCTGCGCATATAATACCGGCTTGCGTTTCGCCAGTGGTCGTGAAGCCTCGTGCCGCCGGAACACCATCTGTGCGACTAGCTGGGATATGCTTCCTATGACGCCCTTCTTGCGGCGTTCAGGACTCTTCCCTTCGTTTACATCCATGCCGAGCTTGTCGCCCAGCTTTAACCTGAGAAGAGCTCCGACCTCTGCGCTCCTCTCCCGTTCTCGCTTCTTCTTCGACTTGCGCATGTATGCGTCTGTGCATTCCAGACCCTCGGGCGACCCCTGCAGTGCAGCAAGTGAGCGCTTACGCAACTCGAAGAGTTGTGCGAGCTCAGGGTCGCTGTCCATATCGTGCACGGAAAGGCAGAGATTGAAATCCTCAGGCGAGGGTGAGCGTGGAAGAGGTACGTCCCTCGGATCATGGATGAACAAAAGGGGCTGGCTGGCAACAAACGGGACGGTTTGCAATGACGCGAGGGGCACAAATGCGGATGCACTGGGGAGGAGGTCGTCGTCTGTGTCAGCACCTGGAAGCGAGAGGAGGGATGGGCCAGGAGAGAATGGAGAAGGTGGGAGGTTATCTGTGTCGTCGGGCAGAGAGGAGCAGGACCGCCTGCTGGGAGATGATGGTGGTATATTGGGTAGCGCTTTTTCATGCTCTAGCTCGGGAAGACCAGAAAGGGAGAGATGAGGGGATCGCAGTTCTGGAGGGCCGTCGATGACCATGTCTGTCGACGAAAGCGCCGGACATTGGGAGGAGGATGGGGGTTGCTCATCTAGTTGATGCATGGGTATGTGTTGGTGCGATGGCCAGGGTATGTGGAGCGGCACGAGTCTGGGACAGGGCGGATCAACGCCAAGAAGGTAGGGCGCCTGATCAGATGAAAAGGATGTTATGTTGTTCGATACTGATGTAGAGAGATCGCCAATGTCCTCGCTCCCTAAACAGGGAGACCAGGAAAATTTGGGCGAGGGCGGATCATCCCAAAGGGATTTCACCAAGTTGTGTTCGGGTGGCGGCTTCCAGGGTGGTGATAGAGGTGAAAGCGGCGAATCTGACTCGGCGGAACTATCCGACATAGCAGATATCCCGTCATAGAAATCCTCTTCAAAATCACTCTGATGAGCTGTATGCCCACTCTCGTCAAACATCGAATCATCGTCATTATCTTCATAGCCCGGTAACTCTAGATTATAGAGTAATTGCGTCGGTGGTGGCGTTAGAGGTCTATGACAAGCAAGGTCCTCACGACGCATAACAGTCGGGGAGTCCAAGACGCCTGGTGAATGGGTAGTGAAGATGGGTGTAAGTTCGCCTCTTTCTTCTGGTAGTGAGATGGTGCACTTTGATGGAGAAGTGCTGGACGGTGGACTCGGGTATAAGTTCACCGGAGCAGACTGCTTCAAAAGATTGGAAGGACCAGGCACGGGCTGTGTGTGTTTAGACTTGAGAGGTGGGAAGTCGTCCTCTGAAAACAAGGAGAAAATAGGGTTACTGCTGCAGCTTGGAATTGGCTGCCAAGGTTGGGAGCAGAGTGGTGCAAAGGTAAACACAGGCCGCAGCTCTGGTTTGAGTAAGGAGGAATCATTCAGAGAGGGAATGTATTGAACTAGGGCAGCCCTAGTCAAATCATCCCTGGTATCCATTATGTCCACCGATATTCAAGCCCTGTAACGAGCGCCGAGTCTGATCAACAAAAAAAAAACAAGTAGACAAAAAAACACGAACAGAAGACTTACAATTAATATCAAAGGTTGCAAGGCATCACAAAAGACAGAAGAAACAGATGAAATACTCCTGGATGATATCGAGTCAAAGAGCGTTGAGTTGCAGTGCTGAACACCGTTCTCCTCGTGCCCAAGCAGCTTGTGGCTGAGAAACTCGTGTTCGGTGATTTCCTTGATGGGCCTGCAGGAGATCCACGACGTTGAACCACTACTAAATAAAGTACTACAAACTTACATCAACCATGTCACCTGCTCTCTAACACCTGACAACGACATCATCTTCAATAATTATTAGGTCTTCTTAAATGTGCTAAAATCCGATCCGATAACGTCTCTTCGACCTCAGTGGCATGAGGCTTCAACTCCGTACTTTTCACCCTCGATGCATACTCCCTGCACGCATTGACGCTCTTCTTCAATTCTGGATCGTCTTGTGCTAGCCCAACTACGTTGATCCCCGTAAAATTGAGTTCGAGAAGTTGGACAACTTTATGCAGCATATCGGGATTAGGAGAATAAGTCCCAGAGTTGTTATCAATCACCAACTCCCATCTCACACCGCTATCGTCCGTTTCATCGGAGAAGTTCTCCCAGCCACCTTGTGGGCGAGGGTGAAACTCTCCGCTATACACTACGCTTTCTGCACAGTTGCTAAGCAGTGCATGCTTCGATGCAAAGTCAACAAAGAACGCCGCCCCTGTCTCTGAGAAACGGAAGGTGTCGTCTTCTTCGGCGATAACATACGTGTATACTGCGGGCTTGACGCGATTTTCAAATATGCTTGTGCCGTCTCGACGTAAGCCGCCTCGCAGAAGCTTGAACACATCATCGGCACTTGTGATGACCCCAAATCCGTTTGAAACGGACCGGGCGTATAACATGTGGTGGCCAGCCATGATGCCGGAACGCACTGCAATTGATGTAGGTCGTTTGAAAATTGCATGTGCCGCCTTGTAATCGTGGTTCCATCGTTGCACCATATCCCCAAACAATTGCGGGACGCCTTTAATATAGATTTTCCATGTCGAATACAACCGCGTGTCCTTGAGATTGGTAAGAACGCCCATTGTTGGTGAGTCGTGTCGAGAATAGTGGATCGGGCCATCAAACGAATATGGTAGTGATCTTGAATTATGTGCCGACGGAGAGGATTCAATCTTGAGAGAAATGAAACGTTGATAACCACAATCGGTCGCGATCGCACTCTTACCTTTAACCAGAACGATCCTTTCTTTCGACCCGAACGCTTTCCAACTATCTCGACCTCTCTCGTACCTGGATTTACACTCGTCTGGAATGTGCCGATGTCATTATCTACCAGTGCCCCAGTCTCCACCTCTTGTACAACCACAGACAACGTAGCCGTGGAAGGAACCATTTTGACCATCCAGGTCTCGTCCCAAACTGGGGACAGGGTATTCACCTTGATAGTCGACCTGCGATAAAGTAGGCCAGCGTCAAAAAGCAAATAACGAAATACTCACGTGTACGAAACCTTGTCGTCAAGCGTAGCACGAAAACACGGGTTCATCATGCCAATAACGTGCACCTTTGCAAGATCCGACGCCCCAATGAACTTCAGAACCAACTCATTGAAACTCAGCATGTCTCAACGAAAAACACACTCACCCTGATAACCAGATCCACGTACTTGGTATCTACATCGAACTCCTTCGTCGCGAGCTGGATGGTGTCGAGGTGGTTGCTGAACTTGACTTTGGCGCTCTGAAGGGCGTCGTGAGAACCTTTCATGGCGGCTCGAAGACAAATTGTGTGAGAGAACATCGGTCACGGTGGTCCATAGAGATATTTTGGCAAGCTGCGCACACCAGTGGATCACACGGAGGAGCCGATGAGCTCAAACCTTACTCTAGGGTTAGGGTTACATGACTCTGCGGCCCGCTGGTTCCATGTGGGGCGCAAATGAATACAGTCCGAATCCGTGACAAAGGGAGTTTGGTGGAGATCTCTAGCTCGCGATTTCCTTAACAAACCGACCCTGAAGAACAGGCAGGTTCACGATGATAGTAGATCCGCCGTACCGCATCGTCCCTTTAAATGTGCCTTACACGCTACTAGATGCTCACGATAGTCAGGATGAACGAAACTAGCCCCATCCGCCACGAAATTGAATGGGCAGTATCATATCTGACCGTCCCAGCGACTCGAGTATCATTGCAGTTCTTCATCCTACGATAGCTGTTATCGCCATAACATCACGCGAGCAAACTCGCCACAACTTGTGATGCCAAAGATAATAAGCTGGTTGTGATGGTTTTTGTCATACCAATAACATGAATAACAAATCCCGCTATTCATGAAATCAGCGGTGATAAACATCCAGTAGAGAGCGGACCGCCCAAGATAACAATTAAGTAATCGAGTGATCCACGTGTTGACGCGGCGAGACCCAGCCTGTTAATGAAATGCGCCAAGTTGGGTAAGTTTCCGGGGACAATTCGACTCGTGGCTGGATTGACGTATTTGTATTTGTCCAAATGAATGATGGTATTGGGTAGTTCTGATGCAGTTGAGTTCCAGCTTGCCATCGTGCTATACATGACCGGCGTGCTGCGAAACCTAATCACTGCTCGAACAGGAAAGATACCAGCTGCTTTTCTATCAGGATATATTTGATCCCAGCCACCAATTATAGCGGTTGCGAGGCCACGTTCGTGAATAGGGCACATCAACGCAAGTGCGAGTCCACTGACCAAAAGTGATCTCGCGCAGCTTGTAAATGGTATAAGCGCTGTTGTCCGTCGAGCAACACGACATTATTGTCAAACAGGATCCCGAGATACCGCTTAGGCGGTTGTTCATAACAGTGGGGAGAGCCGGAATATGCAGTACAGCCGCGGCTGAGTCGTTGGCTCGTTGTGAAGAAACGTTGATAGCTGGATGAGATATGCTATTTGAGCCCCAGACTCAGTTCAGTGATCTAGTTCTTCGCGAAGGCATCGTTCTAGAATGCATAAGAGTTCTAAAATCCATTGTTTTGGGAGGGAAAACTTCAATGTTTGAAAGTCAGCAGCCCGACACAGCCACATTCGTAACACGAACATCGAGCTAAGATATGTCAGTACTACAATAAAATTCACACATAAGTAGTCCGAGCTTCGCTCAAGGACATCATGATCTAGACGATATGGACGACCTTCCGAAAATAAAGCCCGTTCTTGGGAATGAATTTACTTGTGTAAAACTATCAAAAACTTAAATGTCATGGCCACCGTCCATAATCAACCCCTGCCAACCCCTGAAAACACTTCACATTACAAACTTGTTACAGACAATATGCATCGACTTTCCTGTCCCTTTCGAGACCTCTATCTCTATCTCTATCTCTATCGCTTTCCCCGCCCATCTATGGCTCAATCCCGCTCGAAGTAGCGCATAAAGTCAAGGCTGAACTTTTGAGGTGGCCTTGTAGCAAGCGAACACGAGCATCTCCTAGACCGCATCATGTTCATAAGGAACTACTTCAAAAAAGATCTAGCGACTTTGTGGTACAAGACAACAATCTAGGTTCTTCCACATCTGGATTGAAGAAGATGCTCTCTCATCATATACGAGCGCGCGAATTCCTTTCCGCAGCCTGTACAACCAGCCCTAATCCTCATGTAAGATTCCATGACGTGACGAGTGAGGTTTCCCTTTTTGCAGCGTATCGAATACCCGTGTCAGGTGCAGTTCACTGTGTCCTATGCTTGGCTAGCCTGGAACAGTTGCGCTTCAAGTCTGGTTGGACAATTTGATGGGACATGCCCCTTCTTGAAACTGTCATGGAAGAGTGCGTATAATTCTAGTGATACATTGTTAGCGTTTCAATGCAAGGCTGCAAATGATAGCGAATTCACCGAGGCGAGCAATTAATTTCGGTGAGGGCCCAGAGTACATGCTGTAACAAGGCTGAGTTACGTAGTCGGCAGAACTGCGGGCGCCATGGTGCCATATGCCTGTACAAGGTAATACGACAATATGAGAAAACAAGAGATGATATTTCACGATAGCAGTCTCACGAGTATGGTCCGCTGAAGGTGATGGAATAGCGTTGATAGAGATCAAAGTCGGGATCTCGCGGCTGGTCCTCGTGCACAAAGCGCTATCCACAAAATAAACTGCTTCCTCAGCAGGAGGACGATTATTGGGTGTAGTAGACCAGCAACAGGTCATGAAATCCCATTGTTTGTCAGTAACAAAACAGTCATCCGGACGAGGATGCATTTTCCCTTCAGCCACTTTTAGTAAGACTGCGATGTCTTTGGTCAAGTGACGCCAAGGAATATCTCCCGTTAAAACCTGTAGGACGGGTTAGTGAGTTGCATTAACAAGGACTACCACCGACTGACTTGGAGCATGATACAACCAAAGGAGTACATATCACTTCGAGTAGTGGCTGCAGAAGCTAATTCTTCTTCAGAGATAAGTTCAGGAGCTGTCCATCTCACTGCTCCTGGATGACAACTCGTCTGCACGAGGTACGTCATGTCAGCCAACTTATTTAAAGTTCCGGAAAGACCAAAATCTGCAAGATACGCCTTTCTGTTACCATCGATAAGGACGTTGGTCTTTGAACTGATTATTAATGTGTGAGGGATAGAATAAATAACGAATCTTACACCAGTGAGATCTCCATGAACGATGGGGTTCAAGCCCATATGTCTGTCTTCTGTCAAACTAAATGTATGAACTGACATGAAAAAAAAATTATACATTTTTCTTTGGATATGCACGTTTTCACCCACGATAGTTGAGGCCAGCAGCAATGTCACGAAGCTTGTCAAAACAATGAACCCGACTGCGCAAACTAGGAATATGTTTGAAGTGCTCACCAAAAGCAGACGATCATGCAGCCCAAGGGTCTTGTTCCGGAGGAGAAACGACGTCAGAGTGCCGTTGGTCATCCACGGAGCGACTAAAGCTTCTGATGGACTAAAACCCGTAGCTGTACCCATGAACTTCAAAATATTAGAATGCCGCAACCTCTTCCAAATTCCAAGCTCTCTCCGAAACCTCTGAGAAAGCATGAGAATATGACTGTTCCCTCGGATAGAACATTACCCTAGCATTAAAGTATACTGATCGAAACGCTTTGACGGCGACCTGCGGGCGAGCGTTAAGTTAGTAAATGTAGAAGAACTAACATCTGCACAAACCTCTTCAATGCCATCTGGTCCACAGTATGTACACTTGTAAACATCTCCATAAGTCCCGCCGGAAATCGAGTATGGGTTTTGTCGGGTGATAAGACTGGTTAAGTCTGGGATGAGGGTTGAAGTGATTGGAGTGACATCGAGAGTAGTAAGTGAGTTGTTCATACTGGAAGACGAGACCGTGTTCGAAGGGAAGGGTAGTGCATAAGCCAGAGGCGTTGAGGCCTCAAGGTCACCCTTGTGTGGAAAGCCTGACAGCGCTCTGTGCCAGACAGCCGCATCCCCTTATCATCACGCATCCATAATAGGCAGGAGGACTTCGTGCACCTTCGTGCAACCTTCGAGTTTCTTTTCTCACTCTTTTACTTCGCCGCCAAGTCCCCGATCCCAACCGCAATATTAATGATGCTTGTGTCTCGAGTCTCGACGTACGCAATGCGACATGCCATCAAGTGAAATAATTATTGGATCACGTCGTTTTGCATAGACTATTCTAGCTTCGACACCGTCCCTTCACCATTCAACTGCAGAATTTAGCCTGCTTCACGGACCTGGCATTTGTTAGTGGATAATTGCACCCTGCCGCGGCGACGAGGTACTCACTGTCTCATGATACTGACCGGTCTCGCCGATTTCATTATATGTCTTAGGCTGTGTCCATACTTTCGTCTGTTCGCAGGTTCACCGATGCCCGTCTGCCCGCCGTATGACCTTGGGCTTTGACTGTATACGTGAATAACACGTCTGTCATGAATCACGATCGGCGTTTCGTTGGCTTCATCGACAGAGAGGCCGACGTTAGACAGATATAACTCTGGCTGATATGTACGATTCTCAATAGCAAGGGACCACAATCGGTATCTTCCTTGCTGCACCCGCCCTGGGTCCAATACTTGGCGAGTCGTTATCGCAAGCCTTCGACTGACATGCCTGTTTCTTGCTTGCATAGCCGTTGTATCCTTGTCCTTCTTCATCCTGTTCAAGCATACCTACCAATGTGAATGGAGTCTCACCTATTGCTCATGCCGAAGATGATAAGCTGGTCGTCGAGCATCACGATGTGATGGTTCTTGTCATACCAATAACATGAATAACAAATTCCGCTGTTTATTAAATCAGCGGCGATAAACATCCAGTAGAGAGCGGAGTGCCAATCGAGTGATCCACGTGCTGACGCGGCGAGACCCAGCCTGTTAATGAAATGCACCAAGTTGGTAAGTTTCCGGGGTGGCTGGATTGAAGTATTTATATTTGTCGAAATGAATGATGGTGTTGGGCGCCAGCCGATGGAGGTAAGTTCCAGCCAAGTTCCAGCTTGCCATCGTTCGCATGTACTGTACATGACTGGCGCGCTGCGAAACCTAATTTTCTATCAGGACATTTGATCGCTGCCACCAATTATAGCGGTTTGCGAGGCCACGTTCGTGAATAGGGTACATCAACGCAAGTGCGAGTCCACTGACCAAAAGTGATCTCGCGCAGCTTTGAAGTTTGTGGAGGGTGTCAACGCTGTTGTCCGTCGAACCACGCGACACTATTGTCAAGTAGAATACCCGAGATGACTGCCTGGGCGGTTGTCTGTGGCAATGGGGAGAGCCGAAATATACCGCAGCACGGCTGAGTCATTGGTTCGTTGCGAAGAAACATTGGTAGCTGAATGAGATATGCCCCAGGCTCTGTTCAGTGATCTACATCTAAAAGTGGACTTTGCAGCCCGGTTGATTTGTGATGGAGATCGCGACTCGAGGCTTCAATATCAATTATTGCACGGACCCATGTGGCCAAACAAGGACAAATCTAATTCTATCTTCAAGTTGTCACCGTGCCCTAGCAAATCCTCCCATCGACAGACTTTCTGGTACAGGTCCACCACAATCATACGTTTTGTCCTCCGTGACAACTATTTCAATCTCCCCACCTACTCTAAATGTATCATAGAAATCAATGTAACATCTACTTTTCGCAGGCCTTCCATTGATCGTTACGTTTTTCACGTACGCAGGCACACCATTGGGTATCGGGTGCGCCACAGACGCAGGAGAGTAGTTGGTAACAGTTACCGTAGTGCTAGTGTTGAGGTAGCTGTTGTGGATGGTATATTTTGGCGTAAAGGGAGAGACAATAAGGTAGTGCGTCGTTGAAGGAACTGTACCCGAGTTAACTGGATGGGTGGGTGAACCGATGAGGAGCTTACCTGGGTACAATCCTAAGAGATGGAAGCTGAGGAGTGTTGCCATTGCAGCCTGATCGTCGTTTCCAGGAAGACCTGCGGTTTCTGGATCTAATTCAGCACCATTCCACACCAACTAGCTTCTCGAACTTTACCAATGTTAAAGTTATTCATGACAACATCACGGACACGATCAACAGAGCGCCAAGGTTGGTTCACATAGTGGTATCCGATGGGTGTCTGCTCCACAGGTCAGCACCGTTTCAACCTTGCATATAAGAGATTAACCTGGAAAGAAGGCTCGTTGCCTGCCTGGTAATATCCTGCCTGGACGTCAACAAGGTAAATGTTAGTTAGGACGACCCGTAGGATGAACCTACCTCAAAGAAATGATCGAGTCGATTCGTGAACGTTGTATTTCCTCCCATGAGCTCAACCAAGTACCCCGTATCATGCGGTGCATACCTGTTATTATCCATCATAAGGCATCCAACACGTCTTTGCGAACAGAGATACCCACCAGCTATACTCCCACGACGATGATTCATAGAACCCGCTCTGATTATCCTCCTGAAGCGAGCACTCTGGATTGTTCCTGGTGTCCTTCGGCGAGCAGTTGACAGGGTCGGTGTTATAGAAGGTTCCATTGGGTAATCTCTTCTGCATGAACCCTGCGATGATAATATGTTAGGATTGACATCCCTACATCGACTCGAATTACCTTGGTACCCATCACTCTTTACAGTTGCATCCCAGACATTGCGGTACCACTGTAAAGTTTGCGATCAGCGACTTGGACACCACTATTCGCTCACATATGATCGGTTAGTGTAGTATGCAACGTCGTCCGTTTTGCCAAGCACTTGTGCCACTTGGCGAATACCGAAGTCCTCAAATGCATACTGGAATGGATACAGCCATGTCTTGAGATCGAAACACAAGCATTGATAAGGGAGGATTCACCTCGAGAGTTCTACTTCCCTCTCTGGTCTGTCTACCGGTGCTCCCAGTGTCTAGAACAGCAAAAGGTACGTAAGAAAATTGCCTGTATATCAAATTCAGCGCTTATATCTGATGCGCCACCAACGAAGTCACGTACTTGTAAACATTCACCTGCCTGCCCAATGTATTCCATTCGGGCGGATTCACCTGCCCGTCCGTGACGAGCGCGGCATACAGCTCGTTGAGGTCAATTCCCAGCGCTCGCGCCTCATTGTGGTAGTTCACCGCAAACTGTGCAACGATGTTGTCGCCGCTTGATCCGCCCTGTGTCCACCCAGGAAGGTTATTCGCGCGGCATTCCGGCATCCAGCCGAGTTTACGCCAGCCATCGATGTAGTTGTCCACGATTTGTGCGAATTCAACCGGGGAGTGAAGAGTCATGAGGGGGTAAAATGTTCGGAACTGCGCATGTGGGTGAGTAAAATTCCGACATCACATCATTGCTGCCCACCGTGTCCCAGCTACAGTAAAGAGAGTCAAAGTAGAATGATGTCGTGTTCGCAAATGCGCCCTGAGTTTCTAAAGTAGCATTATTCTGCAGAAACGTGGTTAGCTCAACTCCGTTACGATGTTTGCACCTACAGGAGTTAATGACGCTCGGTACAGCGAAGAATACAGCATCTCCGTCACATTATGGGGCGTGTGTACAACATCAACCTCGATCTTGCTGAGCTTCTCCTGCCAAAGAGCTTTGGACGCCTTCAGGGTTTCATTGAAGGAACTTTTGCCAATTTCCTCCTCGGCGTTGGCACAGGCCTGGTTTGTCGATACGAATGAAATACCAACACGAAGGATCACTTCCTCTGGGTTACCCTCATATGAGAAGAGTGCACCTGATTGGTAGGGTGTACCGCCTATCAAGTTCTTAGAGAGATTGAGGTGGGTCTGACCGAGTCCCTTTGCGTCGAGGCCGAACCTGATGATCATATCGTTAGTTCGAATATAACAGCAGCACGCGATGCTCACTTATCACCCGTCCAGATGCCATATTCGCTCAGCTTTTGAGTTCCGCCGTTCAAGAGATCATAACAAGCAAATACTCGGTAGTGGTGCGAGCCGGGACCGAAGCTAACACAATCAAACTGATTTACCACATCGTCGATCGAAAACGTTCAATGCCTACCTGGAGCCATAGTGGCCGCCGAGTGTGATACGACCCTGTACTGGATCGATATGGAGGGACCCGCCCGCAAATGATGCCGGCAAGTCATTGGCTAGGTCGAGCACAAAGTACGGTTTTGAGCCCTTCGGGAATGTGAAACGTTCTAACCCAGCACGACGCGTCGATGTAGCTTCTATCTTGATATCATTATCTAAAGTCAGCGAAAAGTAGCCTGGGGAGGCGTCTGATGCGCTCATTTCAGCTCCTAGAACTTCCATATAACATAGTAAGACGCTATACCATCACTATCGTTCTTCCTGTACCTCTCACGCGCCTCCAGCGTGGTCGTGCACGTGTGGAATCCTGAAGGACAAAGGAGGGGCATGACCTCGAAGTTACCATACGTCCCGAGGGATGACCCCGTGCCGCTGTCATGCAGGGGACTTATTCCGCGAGCTTTCTGCGACGGATCCGAGTTGTATCCTATGGGTGATTCATCACGCATTGTAACGGAAGCGTATATGGCCGCAGTGCAGAACAGCTTACCCGCTGGCGCGTAACCTGTGAAGTCGGTAGCGAATTTGACCTAGAGGTAGGCATGCGCGTTGTTGTCACGGTGATATTTAAATTGAGACGTACCATTCCGAAGGGCTACCGACGCTCCTGGACTACGCAACAGGCATCGTTCAACAGCTTAAGACGCGTCACAAGGGAAACCTACCAAACATCTCCATAATAGGTGTGATCTGGGAAATAGTTGTCAGAACACGTGAAGCTGCCAAAAAATTACCCGATCTACCAGTTCCGATGAAAGGATTCACGAAAGCAGTGTAGTCGATCTTCGTGGAGTTAGATGCCTGAGCAGCTGCTATAGCAGCACTGATACGTGCTTGAACTTTTGGCGATGGCTGGGCGTATGTCGTGCTAATGCACACCGCAGCAGCGGATGCTAGTAGCCAACCAACCATGATGACACTTGTAATTCCCTTCGTGTTGTGGGGAATAACCAACGTTGAGCGAAGGCTATTTAACAGCGCTTATGTAGATCCTCCAGAACATTTATATGCAATCATTTAATGACCTGAACACTGTCGGACAACCGCATCAGCACATGGAAATACCTTGCGTGCATCTGGAAGAACGTATCGTGCGCAGGCTTAACTATATCCGTGACGTAGCTCCGAACGTGTAAGATTCATCGCTATGGCCACGCCAGCACAGAATACGGGATATACATACAGAGATGAGAAGTACAAGCTCATCAGTATGCTACAGGGGCGCGTTAAAGTCGGGACTTTGTCAGCGTTGAACGGAAATAAATACAGGATGAAGTCCGTCACCGCGATTTGCCACGTGTCGTGGCGAAACCTCATGCTTGCCCAAGGTCTAAGGCCAAAATTTATTAGCATATTAGCAAAGTGCTGAAATATAAACCCACAGAGGTCATGGTAAGCCTCGGCTCTCAAGCTGTTTGCGAGCAATGCGTTCGAGTTCCTTACAGATAAGGTCGAGACCCATGCCATCGCCATTCCAATATAATTTCTCTTCCTCCGGAAGCCTCGCTAGAACATATTCTGCTACATCACCAGGACCTCTACCAATGCCGATACGAAATCGATGAAAATTGGTTTCGCCTCCGAGTGCCGATATGATGCTACGGACACCATTGTGTCCATTGGCAGAACCACCCATTTTTGGAGACAAAGCCTTCAGTTTGTGAGATAGTGAATCGTGGATAACGACCATTGCATCTGAGGCTTTGACAGACTTGTGGAGAGCTCCTGCTACCGATGGACCGGTGATATTCATGAGGGGCTCTGACCGAGTATTCAAAGTCATTGAGAAATCAAAAACAGTTATATCACTTACTTGGTTTCAGGAGCGTCAGAGATACGGCAGTTTCACCTAGTGTGACCTTTGAACGTCCAGTCACGCCGCCCATCGTCCTGTCATTGGACATATGTATATGGAATCTTGCAACTAAGGCGTCGATTATGAGATGCCCAATGCTGCAGTTTCAGTCAGTCTTTCGCGTCAGATGTCGATTGCATGGAATGGGAACCTACCTATGGCGGGTCTGGGGAAATGGAAGGTTACCAAGACCTACAACAAGCAGTTGGGGAAGTCCTGGAGCAACGGTCATCCTGCAAAATTTGTTGATTGGTTTGGATATTAACGTGATGATTTCCAACCCACTTTGGTACTCAACTATGTAGTCATAGTATGCATACTCGTCCGCTCAGCAAGCACCTGTCTTCGACTTCCAAAGGTTCTGTAACAATGATACGCCTAATTCTCTACCAAATTGACTGCGGGAATACCTTATGTCAGCGTTTGTCACATGCTCGCGAAATCTATTACGCCAAGATCGCTGAACTTGAAACTGGCACAACCGCGGCGGATTTATCCGCGGCCAACAGTGTACCCATTTTGTCCAGAGTCAGGCCCCAGCTACCGCCTTCCAAAGCCCGGGTGTGGACGACTTGCTGCCAGTAGAAGGGCGGTATTAATGATCCAGGAAGGCATACCTGCTCATACATATCCTTCTCATGCTCAACGTGCTTACTCCCGACGATCTCACCAATGACATCGAATATGGCGACTTGTACGAGGACGTCAAAGAAGAATTCTCCAAATACGGGAATGTCGAAGATCTGCGCATTCCCCGGCCGGTCAAGACAAATTGAAATGGGCTCCTGGAGAGCCTGGACAGCAGACTGCAATCGAAGCTCATTTTGGAGATCGGAAGTGGTTATCTAGTTGCTCAGTCGTATGTACGTACTGTACTGAATCTGATGTTGTTCCGTACAGATGCTTTGATTTCAGGCAAATGAAGTGCCTCATGGCAATATGATAATTACTCCAGTGTTGCCCAAGGGTCCCCACTTTGACGATCGCCAGTCTCTTTATTCCGTTTGTCCATCTCGGATCCTTGAGTTTCCATTTTTCACTCAGGCAGGTTTTCGAAAGGATTCAATCACAATACATAAGCGGATGGCATGCGCTGCCACCTGTGGACGGCACGCATTGTCAATGACATGTGTCCTGTGGAAGAATGCCACCGCCTGGCTGATAGGTGTCTCTTATCTCATTCGTAACGCTGGTACCCATATCACACAGATAGTAACTAGCAAAAGCGTAATCGCAAGGGGCTTATGGATCTCTTTTCACTCGTAGTCGACAGGAGGTCAGTGCCGTGTCACACCACTAGGAATGATAACTCAGCAGAAGCAGAAAATTATAGTTGGCTGCGAGCATCAGGGTGAACGGTTATCGCAATAAGCTCATGGTTTACCTTTAGTGTGCGCCTCGACCGTCATCGGCTATCTTGTCAGCTCACCCCACCACCACACGGCTGCTTCGGCGGGACTACTTTTGACATGATAGTGGCCTCACAAAACTAGGATTCCGCGTGGGCTGCTGTAGGCTCGTGCGCTAAAAGAGCTGGGAACGGTACACCTGTGGAGGACGGCCACTCCAGGGCATTTGAGGCTGGAGGCGCGGAAGGAAACCTAAGCACATGCACTCTGCTTCAAGAATGCTGTCAAAGCATGTGATGGCGTGAAGCCATGAGTTATATACTGGTTGATTTTCCAAGCACGTGACGAACGCGTCGCGATCGAGTTTGTTTATCACCATACAAACTTTAATTTTCTAGGAAAATTCGAGGAGTATAAATACGGCGCGCCCTCGCAAATATTTTCTTCTCTCAGTTTATCCGTGTCTATCTGTGCCAGCATATTCTTACGATATTCATTCTTCTCAACCATCATCTGCCATTATGACTCTCTCTACCGGCATGACCATTACTGTCCGCGTCGCCGTCACTGGCTTCCTTTCGGTCTCTTGCTTCAGACGTGTTGTCGTCGACAATACCGCTCAGGTTCCTATCCAAAGCAGAGAATGCTTCCGCTGGCCTCGCTGTATACTCTGTCTGCTTGTCGACGATTACGCTGGTTCTCGCCGCCGACAAAGCTGCACAGAGGCTCCTCAGCAACGAGCCCAAGCATATGCTAGCCACTTCAAAGAACGCCAACGCCGACTTTAATCCTCCATCCACTCATGACGTGACCACCTCTGTCACGCCTCAGCCTCTTGAATCATCTCATTTGCACCCATTTCCATCTCCATCTCAATTGCGTTTAATCGAATCGGCGGAAACAATATCCGCCCCATTTTCTACTTGCATGCCTAATGAAAACACCACTGTAAAACCGTATAATATGCAGCCATCTCCCTTATTGCGTTTAATCGAATCGACGGAAACAATCGTCCGCCTCAACCACGGGTTCTAATATTTGTACGCCTTGCAACACTCTCACCTCGCCGGACCTCTACTGCAAACGCCTGTCCATCGATTCCAGCACCACTCTTGTACCCCATAACGACGACTCAGTTTCCCGACGTTTTCCTGGACGATGGTGCCTGGGACGCTGATGACTATGACTTGGAGTCGCTTAGCAACGAAAGCACTGTCCACAAGGTAAGACACAGTGCATCATCGAACTTCACATTACCTGATGTTTGAATTTCTAGGACGATCGTTCTGAAATCCAGCCTCAGAAGGACCATGCACTGGAACATGTGCTTGATATACTGATTGCCAAAATGACAGTTCTCACTCTCGATGATCCGCCTCGTCCTTCGAAGCTTCGACCACTAATTCTAGTCAACCGCCATAAGACGTCCAAGGTTCATTGTCCTCCGCCTGCCTACTCTGTGGACACATCGACCCGACGTTTGGAGGTGTTCACTCTCTCAGACAGTCCATCTACCGATCCTGGCGTCGCTCTTCCTGGACCCGGCTATCCCATCAACATGCCGACTCGAATTATGGAGGCTCTCTCTCTCGGAGATCGCCCGTCTTCCACCTCTAAGCTGAAGCCTCTGATCCTGGTTATGAAACACGCCACCCCTCACCTCAAGCTGCCTCCTCTCACGACTACTGTACTTCGACAGCCTAGATCCAAAACAACAATGCGGAGCCAGACGGATTGGCCTTTTCCGCCGAACCCTACGATCTGTACACACCCACAGCCCAGCTGATTCAAGACCAGCTCCGCGCTACTAGTGACACACCCACACTCCGATGTCAGGTCCCCTACGACCAATTCGGACGACGGCCTCCTTCTGTCCCCTACGACCCGGAGCTTCACCGCCCAAGAAGTTGAAGGCCACTTCCAGTCTACGCATACCACACGTCATGAGTCTCCGACAACGGAGGTCCCCTGCGACCCAATCTTGACGACAAACTAACCGGTCTTCACTCTACTATTATGCGACCTCCACGATCACGCACGCATCTATGAGAGCAAGTCGCTTCTTATTTTCTTCAGTACTACCTCCTTGATCTGTATTTTCATTCGACTGGTCAGTTTCATCATAGACTCGTGTCTGGCATGTACCAGTAGGATTTGTCTCTTTTGTTCCCTAATCCGGTTTTCTTTTTCCTTGACTTTTACGAGACAGACATTGAACTCATTATCTCATCGCAGCTTGTAATTACTACGCTACTAGTAGTACGTATCCTTTCATTTTTCCCATTCCTTCTCTACAGACAGTCTGCTTCGATTTGTATTCTCATTTACCGGTACGACACTGGCCATTTAGTTTCATTATCTCCTCGCGATGTATACTTATTTCGTGATCTTGTTACATTTATTTCATACATACACGATTAATAGTATGAACTTCGAATACAATTCATGTTCCGAGAACTTGCGTGAGGTTGTAGTTGCATATATGCATTTGTTGCTGTTAAAGAAGCCTGTCGTATACTGGAAATTTTTGTCGTCTTCACGATACATCATGCCGCGCAAAGAAATTCGGGTCCAAGTGAAAATGACGAGGTGCATATCAATTAATATTGCGCTAGGTATTTCGGTTCATATAGGGGTAGGTCGGCCAGCTCTACGATCCTCGCGTCTGCTCATATTACTAGCTGACTCGTGATTCATCGATGTAGTCCTTCTGCAATGTATCAAGTTCCCGTACAGCGAATAGTGAGGAGGTCGTTGGTACTATGTTCAATTTCAATGTCTGGCGTGCCGTCTGCCTTACCGCCGTTCTGCCGTTCTTGCCGTAAAGTTTGGGAAGGACAAACTTCAATGTGAACAACCCGACACAGCCACATTCGCATTGCGCAACACCAAACAATGCAAGATCTAGATCTGCCATCAACTCGAGGATTGAGAGATGGAAAATTTTATTTCTCCTTTCTGGTTTTCTATTTCCCCCCCTTAACAATATTTGCAGTACCAAGCTCGAACACACACCTACCTACGATAGAATAGCGGGAGTAAGCCCCATGTACGGTCTAAGACCCAAAGGACTTTGATATTAGCACATACTTGTACATATTAAGCCAATGTGGAAGATCAATTATTCTCTACAGTCGAAAACCCAACATCTACGCTAGCCCTCATGCGCTCTCCATAACGAATCGTAAGGAAAATGATCCTACAGAAAAGAAAATCAGTATCAGTCCTCAATCGTATAGTCAAAGGAACCCTTACCCTTGTCCTAGAAGTGCGAGGACAGCGACAAGAATGTACGTCCACATAACACCAATGCGTTCGATAGATGGGATAACAAAAGCGGTCGCAACAGACAGAATGAATGACCTGACACCGCTAGAAAACAATTGAAAATGAGTCAGTGAGTTACCGGTGTTATAGTCATCGAGACTGACGCGTTGGCAGCTGTGATTTCTGCGCTTTGCGAATGTACTACATCTACATTATAAGACCCAATTGGGTTTAGCACGAAGACGACCTTTGAGAAACAGTATGTTGCTTGATGCACAGGGATGATAAACTAGCTGTGAGGACTTACCCCCACTCCATTGATAAAAAGACACAATAAATTCAACGCAAGACCGATCGGACCGTCAACATACGCTATGAGCAGCCCTGACACTCCAATGGATAATGGGACCATGAACAGCCCTCCCATCCACGTCGCTCTCAGTCGATCTTCTGGAGACCACGCTCCTTTGCGCTTCTTCTGCCACTTCCTAATTATAACATCTGATAAGCGGCCAGCGAGCGGTGCTCCGACTGTCAAAGAATGAGTTGATAATCTGCGATCACAATGATTTGTACTTACTGAAGTTTCCGAGTCCATTGGGGAGGAAACACGCTCCAATGATGGCTCTGTTCGTGATGCCATACCGTAAACCCTGCAGGTACCGCAATTAGTTTGTGATATGGAAAATGACTATGAACTTACGATAGTGTACGCCAGCGGCACGAGGAGAACTACATCATTTTGTGTGAGAATGCACTGAGGATTTGTATCGAGTCAACGTACCATAGTCAGTGACCATTGCTAGACTCGACGCAAGCATCTACATTGCGCATAAAGCCAAAGTTTGTACCCAATGCAACGTACGGGTTATAAGCACTCACAACTCCAAATAGGTTCGGACTCCGAAGTAGCCAGAGACACTTCAGAGGATTCACCCATGTGATATGGATCCGTTTTCTTCGATTTAGTTTATCAATGCCCAATGTGCCGGGATGGCTCGTCTCAAGTAACGAAACATATATTAGAAGGAGTTCGAGCAAGCTCCATGCAGCAAGGGAATAGTGTAAATTGCGCCAGGACCAATATTGCGCCGCAGCACCTGTTCGAACACCAATTCTAGATTCAGCATGCCTCAACATTCAAAGAAGTTTTACCTCCAAGAAACGGAGCAACAGCAAAACCGAAAAGCGTGGCCTGCAACAGCCGTGTGTCAGTACCACATAGTCAATAAATCATTCAATCATGGTCCCTCACACCCAAGAATATCCCAATACCAGTCCCGCGCTCCTCCAATCTGTATATGTCCCCAATTACGCCAGCGCCCAACGACAACCCTCCAGAGCATCCGAATGTCTGAACGAACTGCCAGAATAGCAGACTCCGCAACGACTGCGACATCGCGACACCGCAGCTACCAATGCACAAAAACGGTATCCCGCACAAATACATTGTTCGACGTCCATCTGCATGATATTGTTAACTTGAGACGAATGCTAGAAGGAATGAACGCACAAAAAGACGAATACGCAGCCCAAACCAGCGTTCCAACAGCAGTAGCAAAGGTCGACAGACTGACAGTCAAGCTATATAAGAAAGCCAATTTGAGCACGAAGTGGTAGCATCATTCATAGACGATACGCACCTGACAGCAGCATGCGTGGAGTGAAGTTCCTTAGCTACCTGGGGAATAGAAGGTACCAATGACGCTGCAATAAATTCTGATGGACTGTCATCAGCATGTAGTGTATCCGAACACATAGACCGCCTACTTGGTAACAAACCCGCACAAGTGACAATGAACACGATCCACCTCTTCTGACCTCGCGTGAACCGGTCGTAGATTATATCGTGCGCGGTTTTATCGCCATTGTTGTTTGATGTCAGTAGGGGGCTTTCTTCTGAAGCCATTCCACGGGATGAACTATGCCCAAACGCCGTGGTGGGAAAGTTGAATGCCATTATACGTCGAGCATGTTCATTCCTAAAAGCAATCGACGTAAAGGCACTGCAATCAACGTAACGCACTCACCGGCTCTCTTATCGGTGCCGGATAAAGCTTTTGGGTGCTACGAGAAAAGATCATAAGTAAGTACTGTCACGGAACTAGCCTGTAGTATGCTTGCAGTTCTGAGTTATTCCGGTTACTGCTGACTCGGAATCACCCATTTATAGCGAAGAGTGGCGCCTTCGAAGTCCCTAACTGTGTAGAGTATAACCATTATCGGTTAGTAGGCTGCAGACAAGTCCCAGACTCCCACTGGAACACCCGGGCTTGACCACCATTGCGCTAGTGCCTCGAACTAGCTTCAACTACTCAGAGAGGGAGAGAGAATTTATAACAAACAAGAGAAACGGGTGATCAAGGATATCATGGTTGTCAGAACTTAGTCTGAGAGTCGTGGAGAGTCCGGCAAAGTTCGATACCAGATAGCCCGGGCCCGGTCCCGGGATCACGACAGAACCAATATTAATAGCCGGCACCTGCCGCCGGGTCGGCCCCAGCGATGCTACAGCAATTCATTCTCGACGTTCAATTTTCGTGCAAAACATACTTTAATTCTATTAGGCACGTTGGTAGCTGTGATATACGACTACGACGACGATACGAGAGCGTTCACTTTCAATGGCACCTCCAGGTGGCCGTAGCACGCCTCTGCGCTAGATTTAAACCGATCGATTTGCACCCACCAGGCCTAATCATATGATTAACTTTCTCAGTGAAATGCGCCACCGGCATTTAGCATAGTGAATCAGCTCCGTATTGGTAATTTGACGAGTATATTATCTCCAAGCCTCGTTTCTAATCTCTTCGAATAAACGAAGATCAATATTCTATGAGTTGTTCTCTATGGTCGAGACACCAATATCCACGCTGGCCCTCATGCGATCACCATACCGAATCGTCAAGAAAATTATCCTGAAAGAATAAAGACACGAAACAGTACTACGTTAGTGTGCTCGATCTTACAGTCAAGAAGATCCTTACCCTTGTCCAATGACAGCAAGGACAGCCGCGATAATGTCCGTCCATGCAACACCTATACGCTCGATCGATGGAATGACAAGAGCAGTCACACCGGATAGAATAAGTGACCGGATCGCTCTGATAGGTAAATGGTCGAGTTCAACTTTGATAAGCATGCTATATCGTGAAGACTGACGCGCTAGCAGCTGTGGCCTCTGCGCTTCGAGAGCGTGCCACATCCACATTATAAGAACCGATTGGATTGAACACGAAATCAACCTGTAAAAAACCAGTGAATCGCTTTGCGCACATCGTAAGAGCCTAACTAAGAGAACTTACGCCCATTCCATTCGTAAAAAGACACAATAAATTCAACGAAAGACCGACCGGGCCCCCAACATACGTCGTGATCAGCCCAGACGATGCAATAGATAACGGGATCATGAATAGTCCTCCGATCCATGTCGCTCTCAAGCGATCTTCAGGACACCACACTCCTTTGCGCTGTTTCCGCCATCTTCTGACTACAATGTCTGATAGGCGGCCGGCAATCGGTGCTCCAACTATTAAAGATAGCATCGGTAAATAAGTCATTACCCATGGTATGTACTTACGGAAGTTTCCCAGTCCGTTTGGTAGAAAACACGCCCCGATGATGGCCTCGTTCGCGATACCATACCGAACACCCTGAACTGCGATCAGGACACGAGATGAAAGATGAGTGTCAGCTTACAATAGTATACGCCAGCGGCACGAGGAGAACTGTATGATTTTCCGTGAGAATGCACTATACAGCGAATATCAACGTACCATAGTCAGTAAGAAGCACTAGAGTTGAGGCAAGCATCTAAATCCCACAAAGAACTAAGAGTTTGTTGCGTGTACCAACGTAGACTGTAAATAAACTCACGACTGCAAATAGGTTTGGGCTCCGAAGCATCCAGAGACTACTGAGAGGATTGACCCATGTGATGTGGATCCGTCTCCTGTGTTTTAGTTTATCGATACCCAACGTACCAGGATGGCTCGTCTCGGGGAACGAAATATATACGAGAAGCAGTTCGAGCAAGCCCCACACAGCAACGGAATAATGCAAATTGCGCCAGGACCAATACTGCGCCGCTGCACCTGTTGTAATGTACCGCTCGATTCAGCATCCATAAACATCCGGAGAATATTTACCTCCAAGAAACGGAGCAACAGCAAACCCGAAAAGCGTGGCCTGAGATAGTCTTGTCAATACCAGTACTGCCAAACATACAAGAGCGTTCAACACCAGGATCACTCACACCAAGGAATATTCCAATAGCAGTCCCCCTCTCCTCCAGTTTATAAATATCACCGATAATGCCAGCGCCCAACGGTATTCCCCCAGAGCATCCAAACGTCTGCACGAATCGCCAGAAGAACAAACTCCTCAACGAAGTTGCCATTGCAACACCACAACTCCCGATACATAAAAACGGCACGCCCCACAAATACATCAATCGGCGTCCATCTGCGGGATCACAGTTAGGAATTGAAACTACCACGAGCTCATAACACGCTATGGATACACGCACAGAAAGACGAATAAGCGGCCCAAACTAACGCTCCGACAGCACTCGCCAAGATCGAGAGACTGACGGTCAAACTAGGGAAAATCACTCAATCACAATATTATATACGATGAATCTGCAACACGCACCTGACAACAGCATGCGTCGAGTCAAGATCTTTAGCTATTTGAGGAATGGAAGGCACGAATGTTGCTGAGACGAACACTGATCGCATTCATCAGCATCACATCACTTATCAGCAGTACACTTTCAAATCACCAATACTCACTAGGCAAGAGACCCTGCAAAAGAAACTAGAAACACGATCCACCTCTTCTGGTCGGGGGTAAACCTGTCATAGATAGCCTCATGCATAGAGGACGCCAGCAGAGGGCTGTCTTCTGAAACCATCGTGAATTGCGAGATAACCTCGCTTGCGGTGGAGTGATTTATATGCAATAATTTATATGCATGCCCGGCCTCTGTCATAGAAAACAATCTATATATATAAATCATCCTGTGACCTAATGATTAAGATACCGGGAGGAGCAACTGTCAGCAAGAACATACAAATATCAGGTGCTCTGCTCCAACTTGGAGCCTTTATCGGTCCCGACATGACGCAACACTCGAGTCCGAACACCCTGGCCCGAAACCCCATCACTTAGCAGACACAAAGCTACCATTAGAGTAGATTGACATGTGGTATGGCTCAAAGACAAGGAGTCTTCAAGATGTACTCCGGACCGGAAGAAGCAGCAAGAGATAAAATTTGCTGCCTCGAGGCGAGGAAGAAGTTAAGAGTCTTTCTCAGCGTACTGATACAGGGAAAGATGTGCGTTAGGTCTTATCTACCGATTCGGAGAGATATCACGTGTGTAATCGGTGATTGTTGCTGGCGCGATCACTGAACTCGCATAAATAATATGAATGTTCATGAGCGAGGCGTAAAGAATGGCAGCAGGTTGTCTGTCGTAGTGATTCTGAAGGCTGAAGCAGTGCGTACTAGGTCCGTTTTCGTGCACCAGGAAATGACCGTGCCGGGTGTGCACTGTAGAGAAAGGAAACACAAAGGTATGGGTCCACTAAGAGGCGATTGTTTAGTGTGAGGTGGGTGGAATAACTGACTCGGACTATGAAGGTCAAAAAAATCATTGTCTGAGGCTAGTTGGCGGGCTCACAGATAACAGGTAAATTCGAATCTTTTTATTCTTGAGCAGCAATGAGCCTACCCGGCAACGTTCGCATCGTCCTCTACGGCCTCAAGTTCTCTGTCCTCGAGTATGGAGGACTTTCACTGCGCTCGATACTCTCTGCTTCTATCCATCACGGCACGACTTGAACACGATGATCGTACCTTGTTCAGTTGTGCGCTGCGTCCGCCTCACGAATGTTGAAGTAGATGGTTCCGTAGTGGTGTGTGTACTGTGTGTCGTCGATTTTCTTGTAACCTTTGCGGCTCTTTGCGGCCGTTAGCTGCGGTTGATGTGGCTGTGTTAAATTTTAATACGTCGTACTCTTGTTCAAGTTGGTTCGTCAAGTTGCGATCAGTGTATCTCATCCCTGGTGTTTCCACAACGCCCATTCGGACAAGTCGTACAGAATCGTTCAGCTTTTCTGTGCACACCGTCTTCAGCGGTTTGCATTGTTATTATTTTGAGAAATACACTCAATTCTCAATTTTGCCTTTGTGTCCTAAGGTTGAGTGATACGACTCTGTGATGGACGCCTAGGAGCAGCAACCATTACCAGACACTCTGAGACTCGCGTGTCCCATTCAACCTTGGCGAGCCACTTTCGCTGAAGACTGATCATGACATTCTTCTTTACTTCTATGGCACAGGCTCTCTCGCTAACCCTATATAGCCGGCCATCTTTCTCAGCGCTCATACCAGCGTCTATTATAGGCCTTGACAATGTGAGAGTACACGTGCACTTGTCATTTTGTTTCCTCGCATCATCATGCCTGGCAGCTTAGAAGAACGACACATTAGACTTGAAGGTCAGTCCCTCCTTCGTCTCTATTTTATAATCCTTACATATGTTTACAGTCATCAGTGGACACAATCTTAAAGTCCCCTCCTGGCGCATGCCCGCTGGCATTTACGTATCCATCAATGTCGACTCCCGGAGATACTGGAAATCAACTATCGGTATCTTATCACCTGATGAATCTGTAGCGTGGGGAGATAGTATAACTCTGTAAAGTTCACAGGGACTCTTCGACGCGATACGAGAACTGATCATTGGTTTATAGATTGTCACATGCCTCACCTGCGTTATCAGTGGAGATGAGGGCATCCTATGAGCTTGGTCAAATGCTAGGCAGTGGAGAAGTCGTAGGGAAGCTTCGAACATCATGGGATGAACTACTCAATCATGGTGATGAGCCATTCGGTGAGTAACTTATTTCTCATTTATACACATCTACTAACATTCCGTAGATCTAATATTTCCACCTGTGTATGGAGTCCACCCTTCCCTCACATTGAAGGCCGCTGTTGTATATGCTCGCGATGATCACGACGGCTCACTCTTTGATGTGAGTGATGCTGGCTTCTGCTGTTAGATTTTGCTGATGGGACACCATCTATAGTCCCTCGTAGACTCTGAGATTACTCGAGATACAAATGCGGGCTACGTACGATTTGCCGAATACATGACGAGCAAGACGGTCTCTCACCTGAACGATGCTATGCGGCATTTTCAGCTGGTCCTTGATCAGTGTCCAATCGACCATCCTGATCATGCAGGGGCTCTCACCAACCTTGCGTTTGTCCGCTTGGAAGGTTATATTCAAGACCATCTTCAAGACATTGACATCACTACTTCCCTCTTCCGCAAAGCCCTTGCATTGCGTCCGCAGGGTCACCCCTTATCCCTCTGTGATCTCATTAGAGTGTTAATCTGCCGCCACAGCAAGGAATCTGCCGCCATCTACATTCACGAATCTGCGCAGCTGTGCAGCAACCTCCTGCCCCTCTGTCCAGAGGGCTCCTACCTTCGTAGTATGCATGTAGACAGTGTGGTCGGCTATGTGATCTGCAATCTTCCAATTGACGCGTCTGATGAAGGCATCCACCTTCGACGAAATCTACTCGAGCTCTGTCCTTTGAGATATCAACTCCGTCCCAGAGCCCTTCACTCGCTTGCACTGGCGTTAGAAACCTGCTTCCAACAGTGTGGCAGGATCGATGATATCGATGAAACTATACAACTTCGCCGTGAAGTTGCGTCTCTGTGCCCAGAGGGACATTCTGACCGTGGTGACTACTTACTCAACTTGGGCTTTTCGCCCGAGTTCGATCGCCAAGGCAAACCTAATGACCTTGATGAGGTCAGCTCTTTGTACGAAGAAGCGCTGCGCCTGTGCACTGTTGTGCACCAATACCGAGATTTCTCATTGGACAACCTAGGGTATGCCCTTGTTACCCATTTCCACAATCACAAGGACACTAATGGCATCACCCAAGCTATCAGCCTCCTTCACGAGGCCCTGACATTGCACCCACCTGGGCATCCACATTGTGACACCACGCTTAACAACCTTGCCCTCGCTCGACACAAGATATGACAAATGTCATGTCAGCGAGGATCTTAACGAGGCCATTGATCGATATCGCGAATCCCATCGGTTAACGATCCAGAGCGCCACAGAACTCTTCACAATTTGAGTTCGGCGCTTTGCTCTCGTTTCACGCAGCCTCGGACAAATGAAGATGTCGAGGAGGCCATTACTCTCTGCCAAGAATCATTAGAAGCTTTGCCTTCACTGCATCCTGACAGGTATCTCAGCTATGGATAGCTGCAACAAGCCTATAGATCTTGTTTACCTGATGCACATCATCCTCGTTGCCGGTCAATACTCGTGCAGCGCCATCATTATCCCAACCTTAGAGAGCTTCATCACGTTCACTTGCCGTCTATCGCTCTCGCAGATCTGAATATTCTCAAGGGTCACTTCACCAGGGAAATAAGACACACGTCTCGAATCAACCCAGCTGAATCGAGGACGGATCTAATAGTACTCTTGCAGGTTTATGGGACGAGATAATGCTACCCGTCGTCGATGTACTCGAGCACGTCCTCAAACTAAAGCGCCGCTCTCGAATCCGGCTGTGTCCAACTGCAACTTTCACGCCGATTGCTCTCCATGCGGCTAACCCTTCTTAAACAAAGCCAGATTACTCTGGGAAGGAGCCATGCCTGGAGGATCTCTACATCCATTCTTACACACCGACACTTTCAGCTCTGGTCAGGTCTAGGCAAAGCGTGCCACTCCATTTTTCGTGGCGATTGGACAAGGTCAACCGGGTGCAGGCAAAGGAAAGGTACTCTTGGCTGTTGACAGTGAGCTCGAGCTTGTCCATAAGCTTGTCCCTGCGACGGCCAGGCACATCACTATTTCCAGCGACGCGGCCACACGAGCTGGTGCCCTCCAAGCTTTGCAAGACAATACACCTGGGTGCACCTAGCCTGCCATGGCAAGCAGGACCCTATGCAGCCTTACAATTCCCATTTCGTCATGAGAGATCAACCTCTGACGCTGCTTGACATCATGGAGAGAGATAATCCGCATGCAGAGTTCGCATTTTTGTCGGCATGTCCGAGTCATACTGCCGTCGGAGATGAGAAGACGCCCGACGAAGTCATTCATCTTGCAGCTGGTCTCCAGTTTTCAGGGTTCAAGAGCGTCGTCGGTACGCTGTGGGAGGTAGACGATGCTGTCGCCAAACGTTTTCTGTCGTATTCTGAAATATCAGTAGCTTGTCAATCCTAGTAAGTACTTAGACGGTCTGACTTACGTCATTCAGTAGGCATCCCGTATTATCATACTACTACTTACTGCTGGCACCTGAAGCTTCTGGCAATGGAGTGTAATAACTGCGAGTTGAGACAACGTCAGTACTATTGCGCAGTCTGTCTCAAAAATCAGTAAGCAACTTAAAAACACTTATCGCAACCCGTTCTCACCTTGCATACAGCCTACGTGATTTCCGCCATCAAACTCACCATTTTTCCTCCGACAGAAATGAACATGTTGCTCGTGCATTTCATGCATTCAAGTCTATAGAATCTAGTCGCCTCCAAATTCGTGCAGACCTTGCAAAAGTGAATCGCAGCCTCGAGCAATTAGTAGTCGGCCGCCTTGCCAAAGTGAGAAGAGACTGTGAGAGCAGTACGTGCTATACCCTTGTTCGCGTGTGATGCTCTGACTTAATCTAGAGCGCGACCGTCTCCGTACTCTTCGAGAGGCCCTTGGTCAGCGCCGACGCACACTTAACACCGCACGCCTCCTTCCACCTCAATCGCAAGCACTCGCCAAGGAGTCTCAGGAACTTTCCGTACTGAGCCAAACTATCGCTAGAGCACGATCGGGCCTTGTACAAGAGCTATTAGAAGTCTTTCATGTCGTCGAAGTCGGCGGACGACCCGCAGTGGGTGGACGACCAGGCGCAAAAGGAGAATGGACTATCGGTGGACTGATTCTTCCAGTGCCAGGAGATGTTAGACGTACGCAAGTGCCTACTATGTCAAGAAATTAATCACACAGGTCGTATCATAGGATACCCACCGGATCACATTAACGCCGTAATAACTCATACCATTCACTTTCTTGGACTCCTCACTTTCTACCTAGGCATTAAACTACCTTTCGAAATTTCGTGGTCTTGCAGAAAACTCGGGGTTGGTGTCCCTTGGATCAGAGCAGGACGAGGGAGTGAATCATGGGCAAAGTGCGTCTCCTCTCATCATTTACTGTATTTTTACTTGAACCGTTTCATGTTCTCCTTCTATACATAGATGGACAGCCAAACACCCAATGCACCTAACCTCCAAACCATCGTCTACACCATCTTCTCCCACCTCATCACCATCCTGTACATCTGCATCGTTAGCTGACTCAGAAGCTCCAGAACAGGTACCAGCCCACACCCAAAACCAGTCATTCACAACCGGCTTTGCGATGCTTCTTTACAACGTGTGTTACCTCGCTCATACTCAAGGTGTCGAGATCCCCTTGTCCCAGGCAGGCGATGCATTGGGTAATTTGTGGGCTGTATGTTGTAGTGGGGAGCTTGGACGGTACGTTGTCTTTTACTAAACGTCGGATACTCTATTCCTGCTTCATTATTTATCGTTCTCATCCAAATGTGTCGTTTTTTGATTAATATCATCACAGTCGATCACACTCTACCACCCCGCTCCTCTTACCTCCAACACCCCCCTCTTTCATGCTCGACTTTGCGCAGGTCCTTCAAACTACTGCTGCTAGTCCCGCTCGGGCAGCACGAATACGGCCGGGACGCTCAGCGCAAGAAGCTGGCATCGGGAGAACGAGGAGCGAACGTATCGTGGAGGAAGATGGCTGGGATGTAGTAGAGCTTGGTGAAGAAGAGGGTTTTGGATAAACGGATGAGCTGGGAGACTGTGGATTATTAGCATGAGTCACATTGTTCCAAGAGCTTTGATATGAACCTGTAACAGTCAGTCTTGTACGAATACATTTAAGGTCAGTAGCAGGCTGGCTTAGACGAGAAGCTCGCAGAAAGTATGCATATGATCCCCATGGGCTCAGTACTACTGTGATCTCCGTGTATGTCGCTCGAAACATGTGCTTTTCCTCATGGAACGATCGAGTCCTTCACAAAGCACTCCATCGCATATTCGCTTGACAGCAATGAAGCGGTGTAATAGTCACATGTGTTGGAATGTCAAATTGACCCAGTATGTCAGTGTCGAATTGAATGAAATGATACAGTATACTACCACTCATCATACACATTGTCTTTTCGCTTTCCGTCTCAGCGACACCTTTCTATTCCTCCTCCTTCGGAATCGTCTCCCCTCAGTCCTATTCAGAGCCTCTCTTTGTTTGAGAATAACTCCGCCCTGGTCTCTTCAGGTATATTCATGCCATGATCATCGAGGACTTGGAGGATCTTATCAAACTGTCCGACCTTGCGATATCTCTTCGCTGCTTGCTCGAACTCTTGGGCATTGAGATAGGCCTCAGCAGCTTTAAGATCATCTCCTGCTCGAACGTAGCAATCCGCCGAGCTACGATAATATTGAAGCTTCTGATCTCCTGTCGCGGTCGCCCCACAATCATCAAAGACATTGGCAGCTACGTTAAAAGCTCTTTTTTGGTCGCTGGGTAAGGCCACTCCGACACTAGAGCGTGCAACTTCTCGCAGTTGATATGCTTCACAAACCTTCACTTCATGACGAAGGTTAGCACGTTTGAAGCAATGGATAGCCTGCGAGTAGCTTTTATGCGAGAATAGTGAGCGCCCAAAGGATGCCCATTCTTCTGGAGTCGAGGAGACGGCTAGATGAGGGAAATCGGTACCAGGGGTACAATTCTGGACTTGATTGCGAGACGTCCAGAACGTCTGAAGGGAAAGGGTTATCAGATTGAGTTACGCCAACATGCTGCTTTAAACGTACACGCATCGGATCAGATTTATCAGATTTGTCAACGATCCACATGTTCTTTCTTGCTCGAGTGATCCCAACATAAAGAAGTTTGAGCTAATAAAATTAAGCAGGAGTTTATTTTGAGGATCGGCGTGCCTACCTCGCTACAGACCCCAGCGTATCGCGCCTTGTAACGCTCGAAGTTTGGTACATGTCCCTGACCGTCTATCCCATTGAGAACTACGCGCCATCGTGACAGATCTACAACAGAATCCTCGAAAAAGTTGTACAACAGCACCTGACCGAAGTTAGACATTCATCAGATAGCAAACTTAGCCTTCTCACATCATTGAATTCCAGGCCTTTGCTCTCGTGAAGCGTCCTGCATATATACGTGAAAATGACAACACAGCAAAGGTAGTCTTAATACGACTCACATAATCAGTCCAATTTCACCAATTTGGTCTCGTAACTTCTGACGTGCTGCATCGTCACGCACGAGAATGCCTAGATACGTTGTCAGTGTATGAATGAAACCTCCAACCAATTACTTTACATTGCTGGGCCCCGAACTCAATGTGACTACCGCTGAAAGAATCCTCAGGAGGAAAGGAGATATCGTCCAGGCCTGCTTACCTCGCCCCGAACAAGAACTGTTCATAACGGACGGTGTCTTTATCCCAACCCGTAAAAAATACAGGCTTCAGCCCGTCAACCACCCCCTTTTCTGGCTGAAGGTTATCGATTGTGTTGCGCCAAAATTTTGTGATGAGTTCGATCACAGAATGCGCGCAGTTGACGATGCCACCGTGCGATCTGTAGTTGATCGCCAATTGAAATGTAGTAGGCTGAGGCAAACATGCTCCAGCAGAATTGACCGAGATGTTTTGCTGCTGTTATAAGGTATCAATTCGGGCCCGAGATAAGTTATTCCCTGCTGACCTCCGTACGGTAGAGAAACTCTGAGAGATCCTCGAACCTGAAGGAACTCCCTGCAGAGATTGTCTGTGCGGTGTCCCCAGCCCAGAACAAGCCGTCGGGATTCCTGCATAATTGCCTCAAAACTATAATAGAAAAATCTAGTAAAGGAATCTTTGTCAACCAAAGTTGTAGTAGCTACTTACAGAGTGCGTCGATCAGAAGGTTGTCTTGTGCTTCGTCGACATAACTAGTGCAGGCGGTCAGGGGCAAGATGCATTAGCGGGGATAACACATACAGATAATCGATCTGTTGGCCAGGAAACCTCTGACTTCGCAAGGCCTTGAGTATCGCATGCGTGCTGTTTGGGCACATATCGTGACATTACGTGGGTGAGAAAAGGGAATAGGTCGTACCGGTCTGCAACATCATGATGACGTCGCTGCCTCTTGATTTTCGTATAATACTCGAAGATGTCATACAGAATTTCCCTCTGACTCGCAAAATTTGGGTGAGAACGGTGAGAGAGACGGAGGTATTTTGGGCGATTAAGAGCTCCTTCAGGACAGGTCAGCGTGTGTTGGGAACCTTTGATGATCCCTGTATGTATATTCAGAAATTGTCGGTGTCAAGGGAATACAAATAGTACTCACCCATGAATTCGCTGAAAACCAACCAAGGGTCTGATGGAGTAGCGTCAGTACTTCATTTTCATCACGAGAGAAAGGGACGCTACTAAGATTTTTGGTGAGTTTCTGCGGAAAATGAGGCCAGTATTGACTCGCGAATACGTCATAGGTGACGAAACAGTCATGAGCCTCAGCATCGTCAACACTGAAAAAACGTCCTGCGTTATCTCTCGTCTTGGATACGTCCTTGCTCAAGACATCTGCGGCGATCATCTTCGCCAGCTACATAGGCGATTAGCTTGGGAACTGTTTGAATGGCGGATTGGGACGTACTCGGTCGAGAGTTACAAAAAGAGGAAAGTGCTTATCCTCAAGCTCGCTATATTTCATGGGTATATTCATCTGTGATTCGGGCAGGTCGTCGAGATCAACAAGGCCCTCCTGAACACTTGGTGCCTTCAATTTTACAAAATCCTCCAGGGTATACCCTGCTAACCCCATAGATCTGAGAAGTTTCGTAAAATATTCTTCCACTTTCGTAGCGAGCACTCTGGACTTGGTAACAAAGATTTGGCGTGGCTTCGGCATGTCAACGCCACTCATCTCCCAAGCTCGCTGAATGCCGAGAATCCTAAACAGCATCGTCGTGGTTTTTCTAGTCGAGTGTGATAAATAAGCTACTCATATCAGGAGCAGGACTCACCCTGTCCCGCTGCGACCCAACACGTAACATGACGTGGTACATTCGACAACCTTTTGTTCTTGAGGTCTGAACCTATTGATCAGTAAATTTGTCTCATTGGGGCAGAACTCACGACTCACGAGAGTATAAACACGTGCTGTACGTCTTGCTTTGCGATAAGACCTTTTGCAAAGATGAGAAGAGGTGACGAGTCAACTATATGATCACCCACTATTCAGGATCGCCTAAAAAAAGAGATTTCAAGTCAATATTAACGTGCCTATAAGCTATATGTATAAGCTTACTTGCGAAAATGTGACATATTTCTCCAAACTAGAAAATCGTTAGATGGAAATTAATTTGTATCAGGATGGCAAAATTTCATACACAAGCAAAGAGTGAAGCTATGTCATGAATCAATGACCGCACAGATGACAACTGAAAATACTCAAACATGGTCTATGTCTTCATCACTAAGATCAAGTGGGCTTCCTGAACATTCTGGTTCATGTTCTGCTGGTGGGAACGACGCAGGCAGAATGACGCAGTCATTGGAAATGACTGGTCTGTTCCGGAAGGTGCGTCTGCACAGGCAAAAATTCACCGGATTGCTTCGAGAGCCAAAAAAGAAAAGACCTGACCTCTTACAATATTCTTTGCCCTTGCGTGCGAGATGGCTACCCAAGGCATCCCATATCTCGCCAAGCTGAGCATGCATATAAAGGCCATATACCTTGATCACTGGAGTTCATATGAGTGCTAATGGCAGACAACGATAATTGCGCTTGGCTCGCCTTGTCTTTCGGACTGTCAGACTTCAGTCTCAGTATCATGCTCGATGTTGAGGTAAGGTAAGAACAACCTACCTTCCCATCCTGGTCAGGGACACAATCGATCTGGTACTGTGAGAAAAGGTCAGTCTTCCCCTGCTCTAAGCGATGTATGTAAAATTACACCTACTACTAATCGTAGGTCACTTGTTATCTTGGCATCGTAGATAGGTATGCCTGCATCCGGCCCGTTACGTGGCTTAAGATCATCGTCTAAGAACTGGCCATTCGATAGTTGTCTGTGGCAACGATGAGATCATTGCAGTAAAATTCATCAGAAGACAGACCTGATCTTCTTGAAGATGATCTTGAACATCTTCTGATCTGTTCTACGGAATTCACGTAAATTTTTGTAGGCCTCTGCAGATACGAGGATTCGCCACTCTCCAAACCCATCCGCATTGTCGAAATAAAGTGCAGACTCCACAGGCTGCACCATTTGGTATGCATCGGGTAGGTTTGTTGGGCTCTCGACATCCTCGGTTGACGAAACTTCAGGCGCAACATCTTTGGCAGACTCTCCCATGTTTGGGAAGAGTGAGGCTTTGATGTCGCCTGTCAATTCCGTCCTCCGCAGAAGCGAGAGGTAGAACTTTTACGAAGATCTTCAGGGGAAACGTCAAAAGCAGTGGGTATACTCACCAAGAGAGTATCCTTCAGCTTCGCAAGAATGTGAGTAGACAATGATGCGGCATCCTCGCTCGTGAGAGGCACAACCACACCAAGCCTTGCGAAGAGCGATGTGTCGATAGTCATATGAGCTTTCAGGCGACGATTACGCTTGCGCATTTTCTGAGGCACCTTCTTTGTGGTAAATCCATAATCAGATCTGACGTCGAAGAGATCAATCTCGTTTTCAAATGACCCTGCACTAGCAAATTTCATAGTGTCCAACGCGCAAAGGACAGGTAAAGCGCGCTCAATGAAGCCTCGGTGGCGGCTAATGTCCCTTGAGACATCCATCGCTAAAGACTCATCTGGCAAAGTTAAAAAGTACATAGACAGATTGTCTAGCATCTTTCCCGCAATAGATGCTGGATATTCTTGAAATTTCGTTGGAAAGTCTGTCATGATCTGTGAGA